TGTTTGACTCCGTCCGGCCTGAGGACCTCTCCGTATACCCCCGAGAGGTACGCCACTTCGCGAAATTTCTCGGCCTCTTTCGGCAACTCCACCACAACCATAACTGTACTCTTCAACATCACACTAGTCTGCTCTTCAGAAGTATTATTAGAGCCCAAAACAATTCATTTCTTGCCTTCATTTCTCCCAATCCTAAGAAGAAAAAAGGGAGAAATGAGTCTTAGAAATGAATTGTATTGAGCCTTAATATTAAGTAGGTAGTGTTCGTACACTTGCTTCAACTCTTCAGCTAGTTCCTCTGTTTTCCTCAGCCTGTCACCGAAAAACGGGTCTGCGAGGATTTTCCTCACGCGCCTTGTCATCTTGTCGTCCGTCCACGCAGTGCCAGTGCCCGTGGCGGTACTATCGCTCTCGTCCGCTGCAGCAAAGAACGACATGGCACTTTCGTGCTTGACGCACAGATTCAATGCTGGCGACGCCGCCAACATAAACGCACTCTCGAAATCAGCTTCGAACGCATCCGGACCACCGTCGATGGGCACCTGTGGCTTCACGTCGATGAGCACCTGTTGTAGTTGTTTCGTATCGTGGAGGACGCACGCCAGAATTGAAGTCTTCAGCTGGAACTCCTTGTAGTGCGCCGCGTTTCAAAACTTTCACAAGTGCTGCAAGCAACATTTGTGTAAACATACCTTGCGGCCGCATCGCCGTAAAAACCGCAGGCTTCCCGTCCTTGGCCAGTGCATCGCGCACTCTCTGGGCTTCTACCAGCTCCGAAATACGAAATGCTGCTACAGACGAAATGGGCCACTTGTCACAAGACTCAGTCTCCATAATCCAATCGTACAAGTACAACTTCGATTCCTTGTCTCGTCCTATTTCTTTAACCGGAACCCCTTCCTTCGACAGCAGCTCCACCGCAGCCCCAACTTTCTCTTCCATCTCTTCTTTCACCTCTTGCTTTTCCTGTGCGCCCTCCACTTTCGCCTTCCTCGTCACGCCGATGCGATTCAAAGTCACGCCCTCCACGATGATCGCTCCGAAGAAAATACCTTTCCCACCCCTGCTGACAGAACCACGCCAGGTGCTCGCTGTGTTCATTTTTGCTGCCAATCAAATCGAAATAAGGTAAAGGATACTCAATTATAGGAACAAGAAACTGCCTTATCTTGAAAGAGCTAATGCTATTAATTGTTGCACGGGATGAGCCTAATATTGTCGAGGGGAAAACTAACCGGTTGTACTAACCGGTTGTCTTACTTAGTGCTTTGAGCGCCGCAGGGCCTAAACCTTCACCAAAAGGTGAAAGCCAATCAAGATTTGCAGCACACCTCTAAAAGAAAATGGGGGGGAATCAAAGACCTGCTATGGGAGGAGGTTAGTTACATAAGAATCAGATCAATAAGAATGTTGCAAAAGCGTCTATATGAGAATAGTCCCTTTATCAAAGTTTGGGTCATCTTTCTCTTATTATTTGTTGCTCTCCCAGAAGCATTATTTACAGATAGAATTCTCTCAAACCAGTCGCAGAGCTAATGCTATTAATTCTAATAAGCTATGACCAATACTTTTGTTGCCCAAGGCAACGTCTTTTGAATTATCAAAATGATATTTGTGCGTTTCTTTCAAATAATTCGTATCATTTGGAGACAAATAATATTTGTCAAATATTGCTACACACACACTAAAGCACTAGCACGACGAGGACGACGCCCAAACTAAAATAATGACTTCCTCTCCCTCGTCCTGGACTCCCTTGATCAAGAAGCTAAAAACTCAAAGTCGTCCAATAAGTAGACGAGCACATAGTACAGCAACTCTCTCCACAGATGGTCAGGGTCCACGCTTTTGTTCTTCTTCTTTCCTCCAGATTTGAGTATCTTCTTTCTTCCTAGAAGTAGACCAGAAGTAGTGGTGATCACTCTCTCCAAAACAGACGTATGAAGAGTACGAGTCCTTGTGCTAAAACGGTCGTCCCGTGGACAGAGGACTCAAAGTAAGTTATTATTTAGGTCTACTCATGTACACTCACGCGCCGAAGAATGAGTAACCGACACTAGACAGTATTTCCTTCAACTGTAAAAAATGACCATAATCTCTCCTTAATTGTTACGACTGTTGTAGCGTAAGTTGCTTTTTAAGTCCATTCTCTGAATGCACACGCAGTTGGGGGACCATGACAACACTGACACACACATTTTTCAACATCAGAAGGAGTAGTCCAGCAACTAGAACCGGTGCCAGGAGTCTGTCACAGTTTGCCTTAGAACTACTGCTACAACGATTCGTGTACTCATTTCAAAGATAACATCCTCAGCATGGGTTGTCTTGATGCTTGATGTCTTCATCATGCTTAATTTATCTTCACAGTTGTTCTGTCACAGTTTGTCTGACGAGCAGCAATATTCAACAAAGATTGTAACACGTTATTATCATTAATTGTGAAAGTCAAAGTTTAGGTTTGTTTGTTTGTTTCTTGTTTGTTTTGATCCGCTCCGGACGACGCGTACGATCCCGCCGGATTTCTTTGTTGCAATGTTGTCAAAAAAGCTACAAAGGCTTTCATCCTTTATCCGGTACCAAAACGTAGGTTTTCATCCTTTATCCAGCAACAAAAAGACAAGCCCTCTTCTAATCCTTTATACGGCAACAAAAGCAAAAGGACAAGTAGCGCTCTTATCCTTTATACAGCAACAAAAGCCAAAGGACAAGTAGCCCTCTTATCCTTTATCCGGTACCAACACGAAGGTTTTCATCCAAGGCAAAGGCGCAAATTCCAAAACCGCTGTTTTACACCACCATGACAACATAGTTTTCGTCACGCCTGACCAAGGGTCAGGTACTGTCTTGAATTCATTGTCCAGGTACCCATATTTTCGCAAGAAATCTGCACATTTTTGATTGCGCAGAGGAAAGGAAGAGTTGGACGTGAGCATATTCATATTTTTGTAGTTCGTCTCACATGTTGAGGTTGATGTTGATGCTCCCGAAGGAGTGGCATCTTCAGCTTCACGCAGCCCTCCTGATAATGTTGATGCTCCCGAAGGAGTGGCATCTTCAGCTTCACGCAGCCCTCCTGATAATGTTGATGCTCCCGAAGGAGCGGCATCTTCAGCTTCACGCAGCCCTCCTGATAATGTGGGCGAGGACCAAATCGTTTGGAACAAGCGTCCTGCCATGGTCCCGGAGCTGCTCCCAAATCTTCGCCTTTGGATTTCCTCAAATTTCTCGCTTAATGAACTATATACCAATACCCCAAGCTCTCTAGAAAATGCTTCCGTACGAATCAAACGGTTACGAACTGTCTCTACTAAGACAGTAGGTCTTTTTGAATCGTTCTCAGAAGACAGGAGTGGCGCTGTCGAACTCCTAGTATCCGCAGTTCTCCCTTCAACGTCGAAGCCTGAAGAAGAGGAGGACGAGGATGACGACGACGACGACGAGGATGACCCGTGCTTACTTAACCAAGAGGACGTCGAGGAAGACGGTGACGTTGACCCCCCAGCACTAGTATTTTTTAGTGTGGTGGTCAAATCAGTCTCGGGCTCCAGATGATTGATCCCAGCTGCATTTAGCTTGGTCAGATCAGCCTCCACATTGATCCACTTACTCTGATGTAAGCGGTTTAGAGCTTCTGCGACAAAATGCTGACAGTTGCTCCGATCCATATCTTCTGAAAATGCATCCACAGCGCCAATCTCACGCCATAGATCCGTAAAGGAAAACTTGAGTCGAGGAGGAGGGAAGTTGTGGTGAGAAGATGCAGAAGATGGAGAACAAGAAGACAGAGATGTTGGTGAAGACAGAGATGTTGGTGAAGGAGATGGTGAAGACGGAGATAAGGATAGAGACGATGAAGATGGAGTCTTGTTTGTTGAGTTGTTGTGTGGCGCGCGTGGTTGTTCTTGTTGTAGGCGAGGAGGCGGAGTAGAGGTAGTGGGCGTAGGACAACTACCAGCAGCTGTTGATGGAGAACTTGTATTGCATGTGCCGGGTCCTCTTGAAGAGATACTGCATGTGCTTGCTCTCGTACTGCTGCTGCTGCTGCTCATAGAAGTAGAAGGACCACTCCTCGATCCGACAAATAACTCCTGCTCATCGTCGTGATGTTCGCAGCTCTGAGGCAACTCACCAGATATATTATCAATCCACCCATAGGCCCTCCAACTATAGAGTTGCTCTCCCGGTCTCAAATGTCGTGTCCAGACTCCTGTGTCTGCGTTCTTGTCAATCAAAACTTCACTCCCATTCGACATCTTCACTGCAAGCACAACATGCTTGAAATTGAGGAGGAAGCCGCCTGTTAGAGCTCCTCGGAGATATGATTGATGGAGATCATGTTGTTCTCTATTACTCGTCTTAACGGATTTTTAATCGCCCCAGTCCGGAATAAGCCTATAAGCCGAGAGCACGAATGGCCGCAGCGGGGCCATCAGACACCCTACCTAGCGCATAGCGATGCACAGAAGAGACAAGCAATGGACGAAGCCCACCCGCTGCGCCCCAGCATGACCGGCGGAAGGAGACACATGGCTACGCCTTACACAGAGACAGAGACAGCCTTATAAGAGACAGACGTAATAGAGAACATGATCTCCACCAATCATACGCGAACGCGATGAAAACCCTAGAAAATGTCAACTCTGGCGACAATCTTCTGGAGCATGAAGATGTCCTTCTTCAGCCTACTTAGCCATAAAAACAATCCCAAGCTGGCAGACCTTTCTCGAACTTCTAGAGAAACTATATGATTGTCTCTACAACAAGCGAGGACGTCATCTGGAGGCTTCGACGACCACGACGGACATGCTGATGTGGTAGTGGTCCTTACATGATGTTCTATATTTCCACCTTCACCTTGCTTCTCGATGTAGTTCTTGAGATGAACATGAAGATCTGCAGCACCCGTATTAAGATTAACATCATCTACATCTACCGAGGAACGACCGGCACTTCTACTACTTCTATCGTGGATCCTTACAATTTCCCACATCCTTACAGCTCGAATCCGTTGCATGCCTTCCGGTTGCGAGACATACCTCTCCAACAAGGTTGCAGGTCTGTACCTCTGCCACGAAGACGAGGTCATGAAGTTTGTGGCACTGGTTGACGGAGATACTGAGGTACTATGCTCCCCATTAGCTGAAGAGCTTGAAGACGAGGTAGACGAGCTAGACGAGGTAGACGAGGGCATGCATGCGGAAGAGGGTGTTGCCTTCGGAGAAGTTTGACACCAAAACACCTCATCATTACAAGAGATGAAGGGCAACGAGTATCGAGTTCCATGGATCGGAAAGTACTCGAAATAGGCCATTATACTGATTTTTGATGGAATATTTTAGTCACTACGTGCAGTCTTGAGTTTGACAGGAGTGGAAGGGTGCACGTCGCAAGCAGAAGGTCTATGCCTATCATCAGTGGATAGATCATGACTGTCCAAAAATTCTTAGGTCGTTAGGTTAACAGGTGTCCGCCTACCAGGAAAACTGGCAGACGTGAGCGGCTGCTGAAGAGCCAAAACAATGCTACGACCTAGAGCTGGTGTTCTCTCAACTCAAATGGACTTTAGTTGATATTGATGGTCAGCGGAAGGGTGCCCTCTATTTCTCTCGAGAACTAATAGCCATCTCCTAAAGGTGCATGCCCTCTACCGTAACGCGCTGCCTTCATGCATTCTTTTACTCAGGAACGAGCATCCTTGTCTACCACAGACAAGAAATGCAGATTTTTTCAATAGACATCAGTAGACAATGAAGATGTGTACATTCGTTGAGTCTGCTTGGGTTCACAGTATCGCTAGAATTTTTTGTCCTGTCGTGCAACTCATCATCTTTGTAGTTACAACTTGTTTTTACGTACTAGTTGCATAGTAGCTCTTCGTGATTCATCGTATTTGCGTACAACTTAGCTTTTCGCTGTGCCAAATGGGATAAGTTACAATTGATGCTGTAATCCTAATCAGGTTCAGGTGTAATATTTTCCATAAATTATGATTAAATGTATCCAATGATCGTTCTTGTTGCTTCTGAGAATTGATATTTGATATTCATTACATCATAGATACGTCAAGCAAGTCACAATAGGTTTTTTTACATTTTTAGACCTTTTGATATTGAAGATATTGATATTCCTTGATATCAGAGTTTTTGATGAATACAGTAAACTAATATCCAGATGTTGTTCTTTGTCATAAATTGACATCCCGATGATTCTTCATGGAAGATTCTGATTTTTACGAAGTTGTCACGCTATGAACATTTATTTATGAAGTTCTGGGTCTTGTCGTTCATCTTGGTCCTCCTGAGATAACGATAAGCATGTCATTGTCAAGTTCAAGTGCATGGCTAACTAAACGATTTCTTGTAATGACAACTACATTGTTCTTGTTCTAGTACTTGTTTTTCCACTATTTCAAGAACATGGCAGTTGCACATCAAGAGAAGGCGTTGCAACAGGTTTTTTTACCACCCCGTCTTTCCTTTTTCATCACTCCCTTAGCTTCCAGCACCTTCATCCGTAAGCCTCGTCCGGCGTTCGTTCTTGTCCTCCCGAGAAATAGGAAACTTCTACCCTACCAGTCCTTCTAAGTACTAACACGACTAAACCACGACCCACTAGTAAACTACGACGGTCGTAAAAATTATAGTATTAATATACCACGATGGATCTTCATGCCTCCACACGACGTCTTCTACAAGACTTGAATGGTGTAGTCTACTTTGAATCCCCTTCCGGAGCATCCTCTTTTGCACCACCACAGCAAGAACCGTTTTTAGTGCAAGCGCACGCGCGACCCCGCCGCTTCGATTGAGACAGATCTGGGGGACAGCATTGCTTAGCCACCTCCTTCCAGTTCTCCAAGTTCCATGCATCGGTGGGAATATTTTTCAGATGGTTAGAAGAATGAACAATTTTTGTACTAGTTGTAGGTATTCATTCATTCGAACCACGTAGCAAGTCGTGTTGATTTGTAGTAGTGGACGTTTTCACTCATTGGGAATATCGATTTAGGGGAATGGCGTCCACCCCCCTTTACCTTCTTACTTAGGAACGACATTCCTTTTCCCATATCTTCTTCTTCGCTCTCAATGAAGAGTCGCATCATACAAGTAGGGAAAATTAATGTAGCTAGTCGTCCGAAACTATAAATAGTTCTTGCACGAGTAGAGGATGGAGCAAAGCAGTACGTGGTAAACGTAAAAATCGGAATCATTCTACTTATGTGTATTATAATAGACCAGTTTATAGAGTTGTCGGATTGGATTCAGGATGAGACGGAACGGATGGACTTGCGCGGTCCGCTAGTCATTTCAAGTAGGACCCGAAGATTTAGGGGGGTCGTCCATCTTCCGATCCATCCGATCCTTCCAAGTCCATCCACCTACGTCCGTTCTGTAAATCATTGTTATCCTTCTACTATAATAAGGTTATTAAAGGATCTGGGTTGTAGTAGTTTGCGTGGATAGTCGTAGTGGGTCTTAACTTTTCGGTTCATGTATTTCTCTACTTCCGGATCCTCCTCCTCCTCCTCCGCGTCCTTTTGTTCATCCTTCTTGTGAGCGTCCTCCTCCGCGTCCTTTTGTTCATCATCGTTCTGCTGAGCGTCACCTTTTTTCATCTTCTGAAGCTTCTTCTTGTTGCTATTAGAAGACAGGAGAGTACAACTATGTCATAATGATTCTTGTTTAGTACTCAGAGTATGGGTATGCTAAGACGTGGTTTATTTCGACGAAGTAGTTACTCTAGTACACCAACTACCTTCTTGATGTTCTTTAGCAAGAACAAGAAGCAGTACTTACATTATATCAGAGCTCCTTCAGTAAAGAAGATGCTCGAGCTCCCGCTCCCATTCAAAAAAACAGCGGACGACCACGAAACAACTGCAACTCATGATTACAACATAATCTTATTTAGTTCTTAGACTTACTGAACAGAACAAGTAGAGATAAGAGAAGTACTAGAAGATGAAATGCCTTAAGCGTAGAAGTTCTTCTTGTAGAGGTTCTTCTTGTAGAAGTTCTTCGTTTCTCCAGGAAGGAAGGGGATTTCTTGCCATCTGTCTCATCATCAGGCTTAAAGTCGAGCAGATTATGCATACGATCATCGTATTTCTTGCCGTACGTTAGAGGTTGTGATGTCTGACACTAGAGTTGTTGGCGTAACGTGTTGAGATCTTCAACAACAACATCACAGACAGTGCTTTTTGGAAATCAGCTCTACCATGGATTACTCATCTCATCTCCCTCTAGAAGAAGAGGAAAACGACGCACTTGTCTTCTTCAGGTGGTCGCGGGAACCAAGAAGATGCAAGAATAGGATTTAGGTTGCCGTTGCCGAATCTTCACTCGACGTGTCGAAACGAGCGCGGGCGAAGCGCCCCAAGGAGGACGTGCAAGAACCAGCATTTTTGTCATAGTACAAATACGGTTTCATAATTGAATCCAAACAAGCCCTAGATACAAACAAGCCCTAGATACAAAAAAGACCTAGATACAAACAAGACCTAGATACAAACAAGTAGCCCTAGATACAAACAAGACCTAGATACAAACGAGACCTAGATACAAACAAGACCTAGATACAAACAAGAACAAGACCTATAATTTCTTCTACCTTTTTTAGTATGTAGTTTTATAATCATATGTGACGACCACCTGAACTAGATACAAAAAAGACCCATTTCTACTGCTAGTACATAGTAGTTCTTGACAGCCATGAGCTAGCACTTGATTTCAAAAATGTAGTTCTTGACAGCCATAAGCAGACACCTTTTTGTGACATGTACTGCGTGATCCTTGCCCCCTCCTCAGCAGTATGCGTTTCGATTCCTAGTGGGATTAGAAGAGAGGTCGTTGTAAATAAGTAGAAATCTTCTTCACGAAGACTGGTGTCTTTGTCCAGCAACATGTTCATCACTTGAACTTGATGAACTTGACGAAGGCCGGCTCTTGAAGTAAAAGTAATGGCGAAAAACCTTAACATCAGGTCCTCTGCTTCCCTAGCGATTTCCTCTTTTAGTTCCTTTTCGTTGTCTATGTCAGCACTTTGCGCAAGTTGACTCTGCAGTCCTTCATACTCGTTCGGGTAGTTAGAGTGTGGATTAAGAAATACTCCTTCTTGGTACAACACTTTAATCAAGATGACCTACAAGAACAGCACGTAAAAACTCTCGCGCCATAAAAAATCTACTTCTAGTAGACATCACTGACGCTGCATCTGTTCTTGTATAATTTTATCAATGTTGATCATCTTCTCAAGTACTCGATGATACAGAGTTCGTGTTGTATCCTTACTACTCAATGAAAAGCATAGTCCTTACAAGAAGAATCACGCTTCAGCTTCTACATTACACGATAGACATCAACATGAAATCATGGATGATCCCATTCACATTCTCAATCTTCATTAGAATTCTTGACACCAGTCTTAACATAAGCCGCCTTTAGCGTGGCACTCTTCTGTTCGCCAGATGTCAACATTCCGAGTGCTAGTATCGCATGAGGACACAGTGAAATATTCGGATTTTCGGCAGCGCGCCAACGGAAAAGAGGGAGTTGGAGAGAATATTTTTACTAAGTACACATCAGTAGACCACAAGCAAGAAGTAAAAGCGTCCGAAAGGTGTTCATCATTTTCATCAGACAATGCTTACTATCACTATGTAATTGTAAGTAAGTAGTTGTGAAGATCGTAATAACATCACGGGTTGGATGAAACGAAAGAACAAGATTAATACTAGAACAAGATTAATACGGACATCAGGATTCAGATCGATGCTCATGCTCTCTTGTTTCAAGAACTCCAACTAGACCTACATTGATCACTATTTTTGTAGCCCCCATAACGACGGCGTCTGCGACCGTGGACAAAGTCCTCCAAAACGAAAAAGGCCACAGATAGGATCTTCATCTTCATCACGGTAACCCGAGCTGCACCCTTGTGCTGTCGACCCGCTCTGAGGGTGGTCCTCGGAGCGGATCTAGAGGCGGAGAGGGTGGAAGGGTTGTTCGAAGAGGATTTCATCTTGTCGTTGTGGTTGTAATAGTTGTCGGTGGTGTAATTGGACGAAATGGTGGTGTAATTCACTGAAAATGTTGTAGTTGATTATTGTGGTGCTTAATAATACTAGGAGTTGTACAACTTGTGGGTGCTGTTCTGGCAATTATCTGGCTCTTGTGATGTGAAGTTGTAAGAGTTACAGCTAGAGGATACGATGCAACACTTAATCGAGACTCGCTAGATGTTGTTCTTGCTAGATCATGTAGATCGAATAGTTCTTGTCGTTGTTAAAAACATGCTTATTCGCTTTCACTTGTTATCAAGAATCATGCTGGATCAAAAGGTGGGGCTCCACAATCTCCTAAATTTTTTGTGGAGGAGGAACTCAATTTTTGAAGACGATAGGGAAGTAGTCGATTTAGATGTTCGTTAATCGAGATCATGGTCGTTCTTGAGACTGAGAGGTCAAGAAGATTAGTAACATGACTAAGGTGTCGAGGTGTCGAGGATGAGAGGTCAAGGTTCAGTTGGAGGTCGAGAGGTGGTTGAGGTCGACGAGAAGATGGCAGTTAGTCACACGATAACCGATTCCGATTGATGCAAACATCTCTGGATTTGGATTTGGATTTGGAGGCCTTCATCTACAGACGACTTTTTTCTCTCGTACGACGTCGATCCCAAGATGAAACCATCACCGAATAGGAATATTGATGATACCGTTTTTACTCATAGCACATCATCATGTCTTCAAAGCATTCCTCCAACTCCATCTCTACAACTCGTCCGACACATAACCACGATGAACACCATTGATTCACAGTAGAGAGGCTATAAAAATTTTAGCAGGCTTCATCACACGCTAATACAAATGATGAGTCAGTGTTGAACAACAAGAACAACATCAACAGAAAAACAAAATAAGTGTGTAGGAGGTAGTGCGTCAGGAAGTGTTGGGACTTTGCTGGGAAGCACATTCTACTTTTGTCACAATTATTCTGTTATTTTCAGCCGCCACCAGCTTGTTTTTTTCCCACACTCATCCAGCAAGTATTCTTCCCGTCTACAAGTGGCTCAACAAGGAATATTTCGAATCCTAGCATTTCTGGCACGTTCTGGTTGTCGGTATCCTTGTCCTTATCCACTTGTCCTTGACGCTCCACAATTCGAAAAAGTATATTCAACGAATCATAGTAAAAAGCCCATACTTTTCTCTCCTCTATTGCTGCTGTTGAACAAGGCGTTGCCGTTGTTGTATTTCTTTCTTTCTTCTTTTTCTTATGTTGCCAGGTTCTCATATCCAAGGACACGACTTCCTCGACCGCACGTTGTAGAGCCGTTAGTTCAGTCTCCGAATTCACTGTCGAATAGAACTTACAACTCTGTGAACTATGCTTTTTCAGCTGTGCCAGAGCCTCTTCAGTCCATGTTACGCGCTTACTGCGTTGTCGGGCGACGCACCATTGAGGGAAGTGGGCTGGCGCTTCTACAGCAGGTAGTTCTTGCTGTTGTAGGCTGGTAGAAGAGGTCGTTGAAGATGTCGTGGTAGTTGTCGTAGCTGGGCAGGTAGTGGATGATGAACTTGAGGCAGAGGTTGTGCTAGCACTTGCTCTAGCGCTCGTTGCGGCACCCGTGGTGCCCGAAACAGTGCCGCTAGACGATGAACTTTGGACATGACACAAAGGGACATGCGCAAGCTGGGTCATTTTCTCTGCGACTCGAAGAGGAGCTACTTGAGTTTGACCACCTGCTGAGGGAACTGCAGCAGGACTTGATGTGATATCGTGGTCGCTTGAAGATGTCTTTCTTCGCTTTATCGTGGAGGAAGAAGAACACGCAGAGTTGTCCTCTACCTCCTCCTCCATCGGCGGATCGACCCTACACACCGGTGCCGCATCCAAGACGTGATAAGGCTTGATATCGACGACAAAGGTTCCATCCACTACATCGACTCCACTGACAAGCAGTGTTCTTCCTTCCACTTTCTCAATCTTCATCACGGTCATCCCTATAGCATTCGGTCTATGCGGTGCGCGAGTGGCGAAAATTCCAGCCGCATCATGGTCCCCCAGTCGTGGTGGCCGAACTAAAGCTTTACTATTGCTTTGGAGGTAGTTGTGGTTCTTGTTCGTAGTAGTGGGACTACTAGTTTCTTCAGGGTTCCCAGTAGATACTAGGGTTCCCGTTCCTCCTGCACTCCCACTCGAAGAAGAAGAAGAAGATGAGGATGCCTTTTCCTGCTTAACCGCCTTGGACCCGTTTCGATCGAAAAGAAACAAGACCCACACATGACTAAAAGCTTCAATACCACGAAAAAAGTCTCCGGACATGTCGTCAGCGAGTTCGATACGACCTCTGGTGTTAGGACATGGCGCGCCCTGCCGAGGGCATCCAAAACAGGTGTGAAAGGGGGATCGGAATGTAGCCACACGTCGGAAAGTGACAGTGTTCTCCAGTTGTAGCGTCTGCTCGCGGCCTTGGGCTGCATGTCCTGCTCGAGCAGATGCAGTCGTAGCTGCTGCTGCACCAGATGAACAATTCTCGTTTCTTGATGGCTTCATTTTTTGCATGTCACTAAAAGTGGGAAGAGACATCTAGAAAAAGTCAAAAAAAAGGTGAGAGTAGAGTGCTAGTAGTTTTAACATGTTCTTCTTGGTGTTGCCCGTCTTCTCTGTGTACAAGGGTACTAGTAAAGAGGGATTAAATTTGAGACTGGACATCCTCAACATGGTCATGAAAAATTGAGAAAAAGCCAGATCATCTCTTGGTTCGGCTTCGATCTCAACATCACAGGTCACACTTTTATAAGTAAGATGATCCCGGTAAAAAGTATTTGATCTGAAGCAGGATCCTTATTGGTCCGAAGCATTGATAGGGTCATGGCCGGTCAAGATCTCGACTTCCTGGACGACAAAGCGCCGTGCCATTTGAACTTGGATGACACCGTCGGTCATCCGATTACGAGTTTCTAATGCGTCGCATGCTGAAGCATGTCCCTCATCCGTAGCCGTACTTGCTATTTAAATTTTTGCTAGTATACCAACAAGAACAGTATCTTCGATCGAAACAGAAAACAATACAAGTGTCTGTGACCACTCATGGTAAGCAATAAACTTTGACTCAGAGTACGTTTGTTTGTAATAAAACCCTCATAAAATTGAATGGCACTTCTAAGTGTGCGGTGTCATCTTTATTGCCGAGCCACTCTTTAACTTTGAGCGTCAACGACTTCACTTACTTGCCTAGCCAAAAAGCCTAAGCAGCGGTCATTTCATCCACTGCTCTTGCGTATATGCCACCTTTTACTAAAGCGTAATTCCGCTCACGCATGCTCAGATGTGGCAGTTGACCTGTTGGCCTGCCGGTCTTCAGCAACCGCCCAATGTCGTCTACTAAGGCAAACGTCTCGAAAGTTGGTGGTGCCCATACAAGCTTAAACGCAATCCTTGATCGGAACTGCACATGTGCGACGTCGCTAGGAGGTGTCATGTGCGCACCGTTGGTACAGGTTGTCCAACTGCCGCCTTCTTGATCGGCATTGTTTGTGGCGCCGGTCACCTCCGATACGATTGCGAGGGAAGCAAGGGGATTAGAGCAGGCAGCTCATTCTTATCAGTCTTGTGGAGGTTCTGATTATTTATGAACGAGAAAAGACACACCCATGAACGCTCATCACGTGATCTTCTGCAGCGGGTCTGATATTATTGCAACTACAAACTAAAACGCTTACTATTTCGACTTTTAATAAGTACCAAGTATAACTCTAATTCCACATCGTGGATTGATCATAAGTTGAATATGCGGTCCCAGCTGGTTTTGTCTCGAGATCTGAGCCACTGCGCCATCCGCGTTCGTCTCGCTCTGCACGCTGCCAAGCATCGTTGTCAAATCGCAATGGTTATCATCGTTAAAGCCGTGTCCGGTCACATTTGACAAGTGCTTGAGTCCACCCGCGGCCAGGAGAGTCGGTCGTACAATCAGATCCCAGTCGGCATCAAGGTTGGCTTGTGGTATTTTGTCGACACGATCTAGGACTGCGATTAACCGTGCGCAAGCGGTTCCGGGAAATGCGGTGTCCATCAACTGGTCGCTACCGGTTAAGCGACCGGTCGGGAACGGATAGCGACGAGCGAGAGCCTGCATTCTTCTTTTTGATAGTAAATTTTGTTGGTTTTCAAGAAAGCTGCATCCACAAGAGTTGAAACTTCAACGCCTCTAAAAAATTAAGTACACAACTACACGTTTTCTACGTAAGTCTCCTGGAAGTGGAGACAAGCCTAGTAACTGTTTTGATGCTGTTGACTTTCGAACTCTAAACTGCTCTATAACTCTTTCTTTTTTAGCGGTTCAATTCGAGGGTTTCTCGTTGTAGCGATAAATCGGGGCTCAACATCCGTAAAAATGTCTCTGGGAGATAGCTTTACTAGGATCACACAATTGTGATTCACGTTCATCAGGCTCTGATCACAAGGAAAGTAGATACTAGGAAAGTCAACGGACCGAATACATTTTCTAGATGGACATTCTTTTCATCCGAACAGCCACTGGATTCACTTAGGCCGATCATGGCCGTCATGGCAGCCACATCTACGCTGCTCCCTTGTCGTTTCATTGTTTTTTGCACTTTTTTGACGATCCTTTCCGTACACATGTTTTGTTTTCATGAAGACGAACCTTGGATATCCATCGGGAGTGCGTAGTCTCCCTTCGCCTTCTGATCCATGCAGAACCAGAATGTCAAGGTTTACCCCTCACAAGTGATTTCGAATGCATTTAGTGGTTATGGCGCACAGTTCTTGATACCTAGAATCATAAGCACTCAGGATATGGATATTTGAGCTAAAAAATATGCTTTACACATTTGTTGAAGTAATCATGTTATTGCATGAAGATGATGTCATGAGCGTCCGACGTGCACCTTATGTCCACCAGCCTGGAAAAGATGAGGAGAAGGCCTCCCCAACCCGTCAACGATTTTACACCACCTTCTTCTTCTGCACTATGTTGATGTAGATGTAGTCGCTTCTCATGTCTATTAATATGTTGTGTTCATCGGGTGATGAAGTGGAAACGGAAATCCGCCTCAGTATGTTGTCCTGCACCACAAGAACTTCAAGAACTCCTAAAACAGACAGGAGTCCCATCTGCATCTTAGGCGCCCATACGCAAGTTCTGCAGCTTAGCGCAGGTCTCATCGAAGACCTTGCTTTCGGATTGCACGTACATCATGCCCAAAAGCGCCAAGCACTGAGGGGCATCGGTGTCCTCAACGGAGTCGAAAACGGACTTCTTGATCGGCACTGGACCATAGGTGACCTGTGCATCCTTGGACCATTCGCTGAGGGTCTTGGTATCCATAAACTTGAGGAGGGCTTGACCTGATCGGTTGTGGACAATGTGAAGAATTGAATTGTGGGTCATGTTGACGCCAGTAAAGATCAAAATCTACATCTACCTAGTAATAGTGGTCCGTCCAGCAATATATCTGAAGTGACGTCTTATTTCATGATCTAGTGGTCCATGTAAAAATAAATCGGCTATCCACGTGGTTCCTATCCCCTGATCTTGCAACCAGTATCAGCATCTCTGACAACCATCAGCTACCCCGACATCGACGCAGACATCTACAACACTTGTACTTGCAATTTATATCATTATCCACCTTGACCACTAGAGCTGTACATCAAACTACAACAATAAAGGAACAACCATTAGTTTTAGTGCTGATCACGTGAAAGAATTCTACTTAAACAAAAAGCTAAATCAGTACCGAATTGATCCTCGTCAGCCTTCATGCCGATCCAGTTCATCTTCTCAGCGAGTGCCTCGAACGGGGAAGCGGAGGCGTGGACTGCGTTGTCTCCAACGTTGGGGATGGAGGAGAGACCATAGGACTCCCAGTTCTTGTAGAACATGCCGCGAAGAGAGTCTTCCGGAGCAGTGACCGGGTCGGTCGGGCCGAGGACGGAACCTTGTTGATGTTGTTGGAATTATGAATTTTGTGTCGGAATTTTTTCGATTTATTTTAGGTTATGATGTTGATGAGCGCTAGGGCTTAGGGTTAGGAGGTTTCATATTATTTACGTAAGTAGTCGTGGTAGAGGATTCTGATGTGTGGTAGATCTAGCTACTTGACAAACAGCAGTAAATGGCAGGTGCAGATGCTGGAAAACTACAAAAAATGGACATGGACAATCACGAGTGGTTGGTTGTACTGGTGTGTACTAGTAGTACGAGTAGTCGGATTTCATCAACTTCTACCATAAGATAGTTCCAGGGCCACAATCGCTTCAATTTCCTCCTACTTCCTTCTAACTAGTTGTACCAAGGAGACTGTTCTTCAGTAGTTACTGCAGTTCTATTTACGTACGTATGCTTCTGAAGATAGTAGTACCTCTGAAGTCTTCCCAGCTGAGCTCCTTGGAGTCCCACTGGACGACGAAGTAGTAGATAGAAGCAGACTCGACAACGTAGTTGCTGCGCATGCTCATGAAAAATCCGTTCATGACGTAGATCGGATCCTTACCTGAAGAGAATTACGGTTGAAAAGGAGGATTAGAATTTCAGTACTAGTAGAGTAGGTAGTAGTTGTTCTCCAAGAGTTCTTCTAGTACTGCTACTGAATGTCCTTAGTTCCTTCTCCTTTTCACCGGCCTTTTTGTTGTATGTGGTACTAGTAATGTGTGACAGGTTAGGTGGTATATGTGTCGACCGCTTAATATTTCTGGCTCCACCAGTGGCGCTACTACAACGAGTACTACTTGAACAACTTGTGCTCATCTTCATCTTCTCCTACTACTAGTAAGAAGTATCTATAATTACCTTCAACAGTATCGACCAGTCCGCAGTAGAAGCCTCCGCCGAACTTGACCAACTTTCCAGCCTTCTTCGACTTAGCCCAGTTAGTGTTCAATTCCTCGGAGTCAATGCCCAGCTTTTCGCAGGCATCCTTGGCGTTGAAGATCAATCCAGCAGCCAAAGTCTCGTCCCAGTCTTTTCCGAACTTATCCTGGAACATCTTCTTCGGTACATTGAGTTGTGCGGGCTTCAAGATGGTGGCCTTGGAGGCAATGGCATAGTAGTGGTTGTCAATCAGCTGCTTTTCATCGATCTCCTTACCAGTGATCAAACCTTCTTTCAACACGGTGACCTTCTTGGCCTCAAGACCAGCCTTGACGACCTCGCGGGCCTTGTCGGTGTTGGCGTGAGGCTTCACGAAGACGAAGGCGCTGTTCATCACCATTTTGAGTCGTTTTTGTTGTCGGTGGGGTAGAAAAAGAACTACGAAAGTAGAAGTACTCGCTAAAAAAAAATCTAGATAAACTAGAAGAAGAGTGGAGAGAGTTGAGAGATGTGATTAAAAAAACAAGGCTGGTTGGAAGTTGTGTGTGGAGATGAAATTGTGATTGGACTCGCTTGCACTTAAAACTTGCGATCAAAATGCTTATTCTTCGTGAGAGAAGAAATAAACGGCAACAAGATGATCTGCACCCTAGGAATAGATTGGTCCTCCTCCTTCTTGCTTTATTATTTTTGGGAACATTTGGGGTCAGCAAGTATCGGGGATCATCTAGCTTGATCATATTTTAATGCAGCACCTTACGCTCGGAGGAGATCATGGGTCATTCTCTGGTGGATCTGGATCATGTGACTGCCAACATTTCAGATCATAGAAGTCTCTGTGCCGTAAGTAAAGGGCCACTTCGTGAATGAATTTGCCTATCTGACTGATCAACTTCCCACTTCAAGTCGTAAATTTTTCGGGAGCTAAAGAACTGCGATGAATTCTATTGGTGTTATGTAGAATTAACAAGCTCTCGAGCCAGGATGAATACTGCCTAACATGAAGTCGCCTTCACTATTCTTGATTCACTACGATTTCTTTATAACTCCCACTTCCTGCAGCTGCCTTTATGAAAACAATCTCTACTCTAGTAGTCCGCATCTTCTAATGAGTCGGAGTCCCCAACCCAGCAGCATGCTTATCCATCTTCCACTTCTCCAAAAAAGAGCTCAAATCGATCCCCGTTTCTTCCTCTTTCCGTGTCAGCACTGCGTCCACCAGATGGGCAAAATCTTCGTCGCCAAATATCCTCCGCATCAAGAGCATTTGCTCCGTAACTTTCCGCTTGACAAATTGACGATTCCGCATGGGTTGTGTGCCACGAGGTTCCCGGTGCTCTCTTTTGAAGCCAGGTTTAGAGGCGAATTTGACGCCGTTCACTGTCAAGTAGTCTAAGGCTTCGGCAACGTAATCACCTATCTCGGATAGACCGGAAAGGATGAAGTCTGCATGTTTGATGGCGACTGGTCGTTGGACGCGTGGTGTGCCGCTTGAAGCAGAAGTTTTACTTTTGTCCGCACTGACTACATAATCGTCAGGATGCAAGACGTAGTCCGTACTGTTGTGCGTGTACGTCTGGCCCAAAATCACACCTTTGAGGCCGCCAAGCTCCTTGCGGTTTGGATACAGGATGATCTGGGTTTTTCTTCGCCCTTTACGCTTTGAGGACTCATTGAGTTGATGTTCCGCTACTAGTTGTACCTCTCCTGCAACATGTTCGCGGCTGAGACCTTTCGTGCTACTACTGGTCGTAACTGTGACTGTTTTCTTCTCCTGCATAGCTCTGTCACCAGGACCTCCAACTGGAGCAGGGTTCACCCTGTCAATACCTGCAAGCACTCCACCTTGAAATAAGTTGTTCATGTTCTGATACGTCTCATGCGCAGCGTTAGATTTCTTGCTACGGTGTTCTCCACCCGCCGAAGAACTACCCACCGTCTCCAAAGGCAACCCAACTCGTCCGTGCACGCCCACTCCATAATGGACTACCATCCTATGCGGAATCTGCCGAAAGACACGGTCTATGTCAAAAATCCTTGCTGTCCTGTCAAATCTCGTACGCCACGGCGCAATCAGAGCTGCATGTTCTGGCGAGAACAGGAAATTTGCAGAAGCGTCTTCATCATACCCAATGAAAATGTCCCCCTCGATAGACTTGAGCACGATATCTAGGAGTGACGGCGAAGGCAGTTGTTGTTCATCATCTTCATCTTCATGTTTCTCTCCTATGGGATCGATAATCTCGATATCAAAGGGGTCTTCGCCTTTAGATGTGGTTGATTTCTGACGGAACCTGTTCTGCAAATACTCTGCTATGTCTTCTGCATTCGCTAGATTGCCACCCGTTATCGCTGAGTCTAAACGACCTCTTCTACGCCCATCTGGTTGAGAGCTTCCGCTTTCTGCAGTACCACTACTACTACTTCCTCTAGGTTTGAAACTGCCTGCTTCCTCTAGGTCCTGAGGTCTGCTATGTCTTCTAAAGATCAAGATCTTTGGCTTCTTCTTGTCTATGCGTCGGATGTTCACTATCTTTCCATATTTTTGGTCGCGCTCAATTTCCAACTTTCCTTTCCTCCTTAAGGCAAGATCGATGAAACTGCGAGAATCCATTCGTATCCTAGTACCTGGTTCATCTCGTCCGCTATATTCTCTATTAACTCTATCGTCCTCTATATCGCCTTCACCTCCGCTATATTCTCTTCTAACTCTAATATCCTCGTCTATATCGCCGTTGCTAGTCGTGCTACTAGAAAAGTCTTCCACTCGTGATGCTGGCGACAGCAATCCCAACCTTTCATACACGTAATTGCGAAACGACACCAACATTGACGGATCTACTCCAACTCCAGCTTTGTGCTTCAACAACAGGTTGTATTCGTACTTCCAGGTCAAGTCTGGGTCCCTCCATTGCAAGTGCTTCCAGCCCGCTATTAGATGCGGTAGACAGCGCCCACGTGGCATCCGTTCAAAAGGATTGACGGTGGACGCGACCGTGGAGAGTAGGAAGTTGTCTGACGGGGAAGAAGATGATGTTGACGGGTTGATAGTGGCTTCTTTCGTCCTTGTCCTCGAACTGTTAAACTTAAACAGCGACGGAGAGAAGGCCATTGTCGAAACATTGGAACTGTTTGTCGCAGCAGGCGGCATTCCATCTTTAGGGCTGTTCATCATGTACAGATTCACGATCGGGTGCTCCTGTGGTCTGCTCTTGATCTTGATGTTGTTCTTTTTCAAGTTCGTACTTCTTCTAATATTGTCACTGCTGCTTCTGAGCAGGTTTTCCACAGACAATGACGCTTGTTCTTTCGCTTTTGCCGCGGCGACTGTGCTGTACAAAACGTTTTTGTCCTCCACCGTTTCTTGCTCTCTAGAATTCTTGACAGCACCCTCGTCGTGCCCCACCGCTTCCTCTTGTTCACCAATCAAGTCCTCCAGTCTGTGATAATCGACACCGAGAAAACCCCAACGTGCCAAGGAGCAGAAGACTTGCCACATCGAGTCTAGTGTGCCCATCACTGAATACTCGGATGAGGAGGACAGCAAGACATTCACCTCTGGTTGATGTTCTGAAGCTGAGGGCGCAAGCAGGAGAGGATACGGCAATCCATTATCGACAATCTGCATGTCAACGAAAGGCAGGGCTAAAACAGATCTTGACCTTCTTGAAGATGATGTCGCCTTCGAAGTACTCGCAGTATCCCCGTCTCCTTCTTCGGGTTTTGATATGGCACTGGCGCTAGAAGTACTGGGTTCGCCATCCTCGTGAGCATCATCTTCTCCCCTAGAAGCCCTTCGTCTTTCCAACTCTTCTGCCAATCTGGTCTCTTCGTCGGTCCAGCCATTCACTGCAGGCATCCAGCCGCCAAAGGAGTTAAACTCTTGATTGCCAATCACCAAGCCCTTGGTTTCTAGAATCCTACTCTCAGGCCAATAGGGGTGCACAGGTTTAAACGGATTCGAAAACAGGAACCGGAACGGTTTGGGCGTCTTCCGGAACCGCTTGAAGTCCATCTGGATGTAGGGCATTGCCCACCCCTCTGGTCGGAACGGAATATTGAAGAACGTCTAGGGGTTTCATCAATTGAACCTACTTCTTGTCATGTCATGTGTCTCCAACCTGATCTACCAAATCAGTTTTGAGACCAGGCCCAGAGGAAATGAATCCACCACTTCTTCAGTTTTAAGACCAGGCACCTACTACTTCTTCTACTTTTTACTATAAACAAGTATGTAATAAATACTCCAACAACAAGTTCAAGTTCCCCATAACAATCGTCTGATGTATCGCATCGTGGTACACAGCGTTCTTCGACTTTGCGTACACGAAAAATCGACCACTTGGTGCCACACATAAATTCCGAAAGTAGCAGTTGGTCTGACCCTGGCAATCGTGGTATGTCGAGAGTGGTATTATTTGTGGTGCAATGGGTGTACTGGGATCGCTCTGATCGTCGCGCGACTTATCCGCCATGTGACGTCGTTTTTCGAACGCTCTTCGCAGATTTCTCTCCACTTCTAAAACCCAGACTGGTCTTGAAGATCGTGTTGTTGAAGATTTTGCTTTGTTCTTCCTTCCTTCTACATCAACACCAGTGCGCGATGGCGTACCAGATTGAACTACAGCAGCAGTAGTGCTTGCGTCTTGTTCAACTTGCTTGTCCTTCTGGCTGACTGCAGCCTCTTTGGATGCTTTTGCATTGGCTTCATCCTCCAATCGAACCTCCTCCACCATCTTCAGCACCCCATGTCCTCCCCTCGTATGCAGCGCTGTCAAATAGAGTTCTTTCAATCTGCTTCTACTACTAGAAGTAGAAGATGATGTACGAGATGTTGAGCTCTCAAAAATATCCCTTTGTTTCCTACTAGACGTAGTTGTGCTTCTTCTTGCGTGCACGATTGGTGCATCCATTCCTTGTAGCATAGATTTCACCTTCGCCAAGACTTCTGGCTTCGTTTCTGGCTCTACACTTCGCGTCGCCCTGCGTGTCAACAACAGCTCCTCGATGTCAGCACTATAAGTCACCGCGTCCTCATCACCCAGAACCAAATCGTCTGCCTTGTCTGGTAGCTTTGGAATGGGGATGAGATTTCCATGTGCGTCGATTTGGTGGAGGACCAACTGTTCTTGCGGATGTTGTGCTGTAGTTGCGGTTGATGTACCGCTGATTTCTGTGCGTTCGTCTTGTGCATCTGCATGAACTGCCTTTGCTGAAGTAGATGCTGCTAGAGTAGACGTGCCACCTTCATCTTCACCAACTACACTTTTTACGTCGTGGTCCTTATCCTCAACATTACTCGACACCGTGCGATCCTCCCGTTGGATCTTTGGAATAACGCCTGCCTGAAAAACGTCCCACCAGTTCCGCTCTGTGCCGAAGTCATGCAATTTTCGCATGCTCCTACAGATCGGTTATGAAGGGAGACACTTCTTGTTAGGACCTACTTGCTTGTCCTTCTTGTGTTTGCGAGTGTGTGTTCTACTTGTTGATCCTGTTCTAGCAAAGCTGCTGTAAAGGTAAACCCAGCAACATCATCAAACAACTGATGCTTATGTACTTAACCTCAAGTAGAACAGATCGCAGACCTACTCATCTCACCCAAGCTCACGACTTCATCTTGCGTTTTGACGAGGACATAAAGTTTTCTCCGCTAATTTCCCGGTATATGCCTTCCCGCAAATCCCAGACCACAGTACGTCGTTCATGACGTCCACGCTCTTGTCGAAAAATCTGGCAGCTTCCACCGGGTCCGTCTCGCGAAACGTAGCTAGGTGTGGGTCTGAAGGGTTCACTGGCCATCTTCCGACACGCACTCCTGCCATATCCTGGAGTGCCGCATTCGAGAGCGTAGCTCCAAGGCCCTCTGTATCCAGAGAACTGCCTTCCACTGAATGGCTGTTGAGCAGTTCTTGGTTCACTGCTGCTATCTGGGGATCACTGGGGTCGTCTTCCTCCAGTCGTGCGAGAGCCACCCCCGTGAAGATCATCATGTTGATGACCACACATAATAGTTCCAGATGCCGACGCGGGAATCTCCTATTCATCCTGGTCGACAACATCTTCATTGTTGTCGACCAGGATGAATCTGAGCCTGCGGTCGACGAGCACGACGGGGAGGACATGCACATGTTCTTGAACATGGTACTATTAGACAACTCTCATCATTTGGAAAAGTTTCTGGCCACCCACAGGGGCGAGATTCGACTCACAAACAGCAGACAGGCGGAGGCAACATAATGCCACGAAGAGAGAAAGATATCACTAAACAGACCTCAGGTGCGTACAACTGGTGTAGTTATAATTCTTGGCCAGCACTGATACACATACAATGCAATACTATGCAACTACTTATCTCGCACAAAGTTCAGTGCAGACTGCCTACTGGCATAGGTTCCTCTCGCTGAAATCGCTCTGACTTCTCCTCCGTCTGCATGCTCTCATTCCATCTTCGCTCATCATTACTACTGCAAGATTCTTTTAGTGCTGAACGCCATAATTCTTCTTTGGTAGAAATGAATCATTGAGTGTTTCATTATTCCCATCTTCAGGATTCAAAACATCTTGGTCATGGTCAATCAATCAGTCCGCAATCAATCAGCCAATCAATCAGTTTGCCGCCGCATGGACCTTTTTTTTTTATTGGATTCCGAGAACGCCAAAAGGGTGATCCCAGTGTTGTCAGGTGTACCTGCCGGCGACGGGTGGAGTACAATAGCCGCCTTATAGATACAACCACGCACTGGTTGCACCGCCCTCCCCGCAGCTGCGGCTGCCGCACCTCTACGCTCGGGAGCGATATCAGAATCCGCCTCCTCATTTTCATCCAAAAGCAACCTCCTGCCTCTAGGAGGTGTATGTCTCTATACTATACTCGAACAATTTATAGGGGTGCCCGATTCACGATCGGATGGATCGGATGGAACGCATGGACTTTCCAGCTCCGCTAAGCATTTTCACTAGGGTCCGAGGATTGAGGTAGGTCCATCCGATCCATCCAAGTCCATCCTACGTCTGTTCTATAAATAATTACTCTAGCTCTACTATACAAATACACAGAATAGTAATATCGCAGCTTAGGATTCTCCTATCTTGGTCACCTCTTCAACATCCGACCTCCATACTGGTATAATTGTGGCGGTGCCGACCTAACTAGAATACTGGTATAATTGTGGCGGTGCCGACCTAACTAGAATACTGGTATAATTGTGGTGGAGCCGACCTAACTAGATATAATCTTAATCTTCATATGTCTTCTTCTTTAGTAGTGTCTCTTCTACATGATCCCGAGCTCGACCACGTCTCTTCCTAGTAGAACAACAGCTCTCGTCCTAGTCATTTTCTATACAACCTCAAGAATACATAGTAGGTGTCCTAGTTTTCTGGGCGGGCTAGCAAGAAAAGTCACAGAAATTACTATTGATTATACTTGAAGTGGGCTACAAGAAAAGTCTTACACTTGAACGCCAAAGGGAAAATAGAGGTCTAGCGACCACCAGGACCAAGGTTGCAGACATTGTGAAGATCAATTGTTACATCGATTCTAAGTAATACTTTCTAGTCAATATCTTCTGTTAAAGGTCCCTCCTCTTTTACTACCAGCTCCACCTCTCTAAGCAGCTACACTAGCACTCGGAGTAGGATGTCCATCTTTTACAGCCACAACTTGCTTTGCGAAGACAGTTGCTAACGCTGGATACGGAAAGCCAGTGAGGTCTTTCCACTTCTGCGGTGGTACCAGGCACAAGACAGCAAGTAAGGCTTCGCTTTTGCTGCCATTGCCGTCTTGGAATTTCGAAAAAACAGAGATCATTTCATCATCCGAATGATGGGCCAAGTACATCCCGAAATCGATGAGTGCAGTATTTGTCGCAAGATGAGAGGCTGCACCACCTCCACCACCTTCCATTACAAGTAGAGATCGCAAGCCGAAACGCCACATCGAAGTCCAATTCGTTGCATAGTCGGGCTTAGTGGTCGATGAAGGCACACCTTCGGAACGAACAGTCCGAGGAGAGCTTTCAGCATCAGCATCTTGAGTCTGCTCTACTTTTGCTCCTTTTCCGAAAAATTTTCCGAGACCTCCAAAAAGACTAGTCTGCTCGTCCTCCTGTCCTTTCAGTAGCTTCTTTTCCTTCTCCAGCTGGTTTTTGGCCCTTCTTTCCATCTGATTCAGGATGCTGAACAAAGCCTTCTGCGGCAGACTTCCCACCTCCGCTCTGTAGTGCAGCGCCAACTTCAATCCCTCAGCTAAGAGCAGTAAAGAAGGATTCTTCTCTCCTTTATCTAAATTCAAGAAGCGTCCAATCTCTGTCATGCTCGTCGATTCACCTTCTTGGGAGGTGGTTGTACGGTTCGTCAACAGGTCGTACAAAAAGGACAGTACACGGAACATTTCGTGCATTCGGAGGGCAAATGCGATATCGGAAGCGTACTCTTTCCCGCCATTTGCGGACTGTGTGCGGAGAATATGCACATAGTTTCTACGATCATCGTCGATTTTGCCGTTCGCAAAAGAAGGCTCCTGTTGCTGCTGCTGTTTTACAACCTTAGGTTCTACTAGATCTTCAGAAGGAGGCTCCAGAGTTTTTAGATTTCTTGTTGTGAAGGACAACAGTGGCGGAGGTGGTGCATCATCGACATTCGAAGTCGCATCTTCATCTTGTTGTTGCTCTTCCTTTGAAGGTACTTTTACGACCTCAGCAAGAGTACCCGTACCGCCAGGACTAGTTGAAATAATTCCAGCAGCATCTGGCGTCACTTCCGTGCCCACATCCACCTCTTCTTCCCTCAGGTATTGCTCCATTTTCCTTTGCCTGTCAGTGGAAAGCATCTCGTTTACGTTTGTCTGGAGAAACAACTGATCGTAGCGCGTATCCAACAGCCCTAAAGCTTGCCAGACGAAGCGTCTTACCGCAGCCATAGGATTCGTCACAGTCAACAAGTCCGTAGCACCCAAAGACGAGGCCAAAGTCGTGGTAGCACTGATCGTACGACCATAGTTGGCGAGATAGCCGATGCGCAGCCAGCGAATCCAGGTAGTGAGCTTCTTCGGCTTAGCAAGATCCCAATGGGTTCTCATAGTTTCTCTTTTCTTCTCTAACAAGACGTTGCGGGCGCATACGTGTAAACGCGTGATCTCAGCATCTTTCTGTGCGGGGCTTTGTAGGTGACGGTCGATTAATTCTTTTGGAGCCTCTTTGCATGAATACACCGGGACACCGGCAACATCATAGGACTCATTTTCATCTTCTTTTCCCTTATCAATACAGTCTTGAAAGTCCTCAGCTGCTCGTCCTCCTTCTTCAGCATCTTCATACTCAGCTGCAGGAGACGATGTTGGGAAAACAAAAGTGTAGTCTCCATCTTCTGGCGAACAATCTTGTTCTCCGACATGCTCGTCGCATGTTGTTCTAGTACAAGATGCTGCCTTTGCTAAAACCTTTCGCAAACGGTTCAACCCTTCCACCTGAGGCAAGAGAACTGAATCGATAATCGATTGGAACGTAGAGGTACTAGGATCAGGAGAAGCAGCATCTGGCGCACTAGGAAAACCAGGATCTTCTTTGCTGGATGCAGAGAATCCAGTGGCAGAGGTGGAAGAAGCTGCTTCACTGGGAGAAGCTCCGCCTTGCCACTCTCCTGCTGGTTCTTGAGTGGGAGATGAAGCTGCGTCTTCTTCTTGTTGTTCTTGTTTCACCTGCAAAAGTTCCTCTTTTTGTTCTTTAACGAGTTCCTCGAAGAGTTCAAGCATAGCTTTTTCACTGGCTTCATCCTGCTCAATTTCAAGTTTCAGTTCTTCTGCGGACATCTTTGAGAGATCAGCACCTTCATTCTCTTCTCCGTCCTCTTCGCTACCAGCGTCAGCAGCATCTTCTTTTCCTACCTCCTGCTCTTTGATTTTTCTAAGATCATGATGTTGCTTGAATTTCGCACGCAGTCGTTTGAAAATCGACGATATTGCTTTGTACAAATATTTAAGCGGCTCGATCATCACCTTCGGGATTGCGCCATCCTCCTTACTATTCATCTTCCGTAAAAGATCTTGTAGTTGTTGCGGAGGCTGAGCTTTTTCTCGCTCAATAGCGGCCTGAGCTAATTGGACATCCAGCAATTGTTGCATCGAGAAATCCGTGTTCTTTTGAAATGCGGTGTACGCAGCAAAAAGTTCAGTGAGGCTATCGTAAACGTTAGCTAACTGCAAGATGAACGCTCCCGCAACTTCCTTCTTGGTTAAACTCCGATGATGGTACGGCCGCTGCGAATCCTTTAACATTTGCTGCATTTCTTGTTCTTCATCTTGTTGAACTACGACGTCATCGATGTGCTCGTAAAACGGGTTCTTTACCAGAGATCCTGCACAGAGAGTACTGTCCGCGATAAGAGAAGAAGCCGCAAAATGGCGACACGAACCTGCTTTTCCACAGAAGAAATCTGATGCCGTAGGATCAGAAATCCAGATTCTAAGGCCTGCGTCGTCCCTTCCAAGGACGACGGATTTTCTCAGCCAAAAAGATACGCTTTGGGACATTATCATGTAGGCAATTTGCGCACTGTTCACTGCGTCCACGATGTGCTGGCGAAAATATTCGCTGATTTTCACCTGTTCCCTGCTCTCGACTATCGGTAGATTCAGCAAATCCTTAGATATTTCGTTCAATCGGTTGCCTAGAGTTGTCGTGGTAACTTGTGGGTTCAGCATCCCACTAGCCATGGCGGCACGTGCTGCAAGCATCGTGATCGGCATGGTGGACGCGGCGGCTCCAGTCGCCATCAACTGGGGAAGCGCGCAAAGATAATTTTTGGTGGTGGTGCAAGCATGGAGGTAGGCTCCTACTGGCTTGATTCCCATGTTTCGTACATGCTCCACACCTCGGTTCGCTACACTCCAAATCTTCATGCTCGTCATCATCTCCTCGTCTCCACCCTGTTCGCCTTGTGCTTCTTCCTCTGCTTCTTCTTGTTGAACTTGAAGTTGATCTCCAACATTATGGTCAACAACAGATGTTGATGTGCCATCTTCATCTCCAAGCAGTGTTCTTCTAAGGACCTTGCTGACCGGTTTCGGAGTGACCGCTTCAAGTTGCTTCACTACAGGAGGCACCACGCTTGTCCTCACCATATCGCCTGCGGTCGTTGCAAGCTCACAGGCCTTCTCTTTACACTTAGCTGCTACATCGCATGCTCCTTGTTGCAATCCTTCCTTCAGTTCCTCTTGGGCGTCCGCCAAGGTGTAATCAGGGTTACAGTATCTTTCAGTTAGGGCAGTAGCTGTGGTCCGAGCTCCAGAAGCAGCGGTTTCAGCAACATCAGCGGCAGTTCCGACAACACACTTGGCGCCCTCGTAAGCGGCTGGTAGAACGATGTCTTGGGCGCAAGCAGCAGCACTGGCACACGTTTCTTTCATCGCGTTTATTTGGGAGGCATATCGAACACCATTCTTTTGAAAAAAGCTTTGTAGCTTTTGGATCAGTCCCGAAATTGAAGAAGTAGATTCTTCGTGTAGATGTGGCCCACCTTGACGAGCTTGGGCTTGAGCTTGAATCATAGCAGAGTGATCCAGCAACCGCAAAAGCTGCTGATCCTGTCCAGTAGAACCGGGGAAATCTTCATTGGCAAACAACCTACGCATATCCTCTAAAGTAAGAGAAGATAACTGATCGTTGACAGATTGCAGCTCGACCCAGTCCCATATCGGTTCCGCGTCTAGTAGCCTTTTGTCCGGCTGCTCGTCGAGCGAAGAACCGGAGGCTTTATTCGTAGTCCACCCAGGAGGACTCTGCACATAATCAGGGCTCTTTTCCTTCGTCGACCGAGAAGGCCCTGCTCCCTCCACAGCTCTCACCTGGGTCATGATCAAGGTCAAAGAGGTGGAGATTGCCAGGCCCAGGAAAAGGTAGGCATGGGAAACCAACCTTTTTCCAGCAGTTGGTGCCCTCATCTTCATCTTGTATTTGTAGGTGGCAGAGAACGACATCTTGTACTAGTTGATGAACTAGAATCTAGAAGGATACTTGAGGTAAGGAAGTATATGTAGAAACGACAAGAACAAGATGGATCAGTCTTGGATTGAAAATTATTGATGCACTAGCTTATTGTTATTCGACGAGGGGAACGACAACGGGTAAGTACGTAAATTTGAGAAAGAAATCTTAGATTGCTTCAATAAAGAGAGCTCAGTCTTTGTTCTTAGTCAGTAGTTCTTAGGTTAGGTGGGGGCCCGCCAGAAAAACTAGCAAGTTCTTTTTAGAAAAGAGGACCACAAAAAGATTATAAAAATACGGGTTCAAATATATAAAATACTCATCAATCACAAATCAATGAAGAACGAGAAATTTCGATAAAATCTCAACTCAGAAATCTTAGAAAAGTTTCAAGGTCCACTTCGCCTTTGGCTGCAAGAATCAATATGGAGGAAGTGTAGGTGTACGGTATTTTTCAATGAAGTGGATCAGCATTATGGATCTCCTCCCGGATGCTTCCGAAGATTTTGCATGATCTGGATCTGTCTTTTCTTTTTCTTAAGTGATTGATGATAGCTCACTACAACAAGGATGAAGGATCCTACTCAAAAACCACATTTTTTTCAGATTTTCAAGTCAGACCCTGTTCATGATCATGGTCTCAAGAACTTCTACTAATGTGTGACTTGAATTTTTCCAAAAAAAATTTGAGGACTATCTTCTCCAAACACGACTCACTAAATGCATCAATCACCTCCAAGTACAGGGCTGTTGTAGGTACACGCTAATGAGAATTCTGAATTCTAGTACACAGTTTGATTGATGTTGGGAGAATTCTTGTTGGTTCGACAAAGATTAAGAAAATCGAAAGTAAGAGAACAAGTACTATCCAAAGTAAGAGCTTCTTATTCAGTACAGATACACTTATTCCTCAATACAGAGAGTGTCCTACACCAGTTAGGTCACGAACGTGCTAACACAGTTCACACAGAGACCATCTCTCGCAAGGATCTGGAGACCTAGGATCTTAAATATTACAGACCCTATCTACTGATAGAGAGATCACCAAATCAAGAAGGGATGGGACTGCGCACACTGCTCGGTAGGTACACTACAAGAGGGGAATATGGTGGCGCGGGTGGGAAAACAAAAATTCCGCTGATAACTATCATTCGCCAGCCCAGTAGAAGGGGGTACACCTTCCTACTTCTCTACTCATGCGTTATCTTCGCACTTCTTCTAGACTCTCTTACTTACTCTTTTGACAAGTAAGAGCTTCTTATTCAGTACAGATACACTTATTCCTCAATACAGAGAGTGTCCTACACCAGTTAGGTCACGAACGTGCTAACACAGTTCACACAGAGACCATCTCTCGCAAGGATCTGGAGACCTAGGATCTTAAATATTACAGACCCTATCTACTGATAGAGAGATCACCTAGCCGGGAGTCTTCTCCAAGCCAATCGAGAGTCCGACTACGTCGCCAGGGTGAACACTCCAGGTAGAGGAAAAGGAAAATCTTTTGTTGTACCAAAGGCTGCCTGCGGCAGCTCGCGTGACGATCAAAAGGTCATTACTCGTGTGACGAGAAGAAGAAACTTGAAGGCACATACAAGAAGTTTTCTGAATCTTGTTGATGCATTAATACAGGGATCACTCGTTTGCAAAAAGAAAAGGTGAGGCCGTTAGAGCAGATTAGACGGCGTGAACAAGAGGTAAGTAGGTCCATACAGTGGTTGTTGTTTTAGATCAAGCTGAGAGGGAGATACACAAGGTTGCATCATTCAACAACTTGTCTGCAGTAGGTCATCACTTTTGAGGCCTGCGTCCTGCAAGACCACTACCGGAGGTTGAGGGGACAGCGTACGGCATCCCCAACGGAAGATCGCACTCGGAGAGACGTGCCCTCCAGAGAGGCAGATGCATCGACGATCGCAAGGTTTAGAGTCCAAGACGAATGCGGTAGCAGAGAGGTTTGCTGAATCTTGAAACTCGATCACCTCGGCAGGACCCAGAGAATCGGTCACCGCAGCCACGTTGACAGGAAAGTATTCTCCTGGAGACGAGTGGTGTGAGAGAGGAGATCTGAAGCACTGATTGGGTGCAGAATAGCTTAGCAAAAAGAGTTAATAGCTTAGCAAAGAACTATAGGTGAGGTTAGTTACGGATAGGGGAGTTCAGCACAGCTAGCCCGTCAACCTTTACCGTTCGTACGCCGGATTCAGGGGTTGGGGGCGCCCCTTAGTACAGGGGTTTTTCACTGCACCTAGAGAGCGGCGCAGTGGCACTCGCCCCTATTGAGTCCATAAGTAAATCTACTTTCTGCGCCAGCACACGCTAGAGGCAGCACCGCAGTAGACTTGTAATCGCAGCTAGCACGGGGATGCACGAAGTGATGATGCATTGCGTTTGCACCCCACAGAGGTGATGTTCCCAGGCCACCGTGAGGTGGTCGGGCAGAATCACATGATGGAGCAGAGGACGTGAACTAGGACAGTTTCGGCACTGCCACACGACGCGCATCCCAAGTGCTAGGGCGACAGAGGTCTGCAACGCAGGCCTCATGCAAAACACTACACCTGCAGGGACCCTTGCTCCATCTTTACCGCTCATACGTCGGATTTCAGACACGCAATAAGCGAAGGGCGGCCCTCGCGCAGCGGGTTGAGCGAGGAGGGCTGTTGCTGCGCGCCAGCGGGGCCATTTAGAGTAGGTATGTTTATTTAGTCACTAGGAAAGGCAGAGCATTACCAGTTCTCAACGAGGTTCGTATTTTAGAATTTCCAGACGTCGGGGAACTGTTGATCCTTGTCACAGTTCCCATCTGTGAGCCAGTCCATCACTTCTTGCGGGAAAAACAGATGAAATTCTGTAAAGGCGGACCAGTCCTTGGTATAGCCATGGAACATCGCCCCAAGGGACTTTCTAGACCACCCGAAGTGATCACAGATTCTGTCCCGAGAGGTTTGGGAGATGTCTTTGACGTCAAAGATGCCACGCTTGACAAACTGCAGCCTTACCGCCATCGCAGCGGAGCGCCGGAAACCATGAGGCGTGGTTTTGGCGTCTGCTGCTAGGCGGCGAAGGACGCCCTCAGGCACATCAAAGATCTCTGGGGTCACGAACCTCGTGGGGAGGACGTTACCAAACAAGTCCTCAGACTTAACCACCTTTACGTGTGTCGTGAGGACGAGAGAGAACTGAGGGTGACTAGGGAGGACATGGACGAGGTTGCGAGTGACAGATGACATCGAGGACAGGCGGAGGCTACTCCCAATCCAGGCTTTAGCCCGCGCCCTCGCAAGAGGGGCGAGACTCTGAATTCTGGAAAAGGGCACCGGGAGCGCCTTCTTCCGAGAGAATTCGTCACGGATTCGGTTCAGGGCCCGATACATGCCTTTCTGGTTTTCAAGGGCAAAGGGTGAGCCAAAGTCGAGCTTGTTGAGCAAGCGCATCCTTTGGAGCACCGTACCAAGGTAAAGGTGGTAGGATTTTGAGAGGTCTTGCTCGATGAGATGTTTTCCAAACTCAAAGACCTCACACCCACAGGTGACCGTAGGGATTGAGAGTCTGGCAACATCAGCAACACCAGGCGGGAAGATGAAGGGCCGAAAGGGGTACTTGTTGTTGAACCAAGTGACCCAAGCAGCCCACTGGGAGCGTCTATTAGCCATGGTGTGAGCCGCGAGGCTTAACTCCATTGGCCATATCGACAGCTCCTGTTCATAGACCAGCCTGTTGTCGGGATCTCTTGCGAGATTCCGAGCACGCGCTGGCATCCTCAACCAGAGATGCGGCACGAGAGAGTTGCTCTATCTCTAGCGCAGCCTCTTGCTTGACCTTATCCACAACCCCTGCCCAGACTGAGGGCGGAATCTCGGTGTCAATTGAGACGCTGTTCGTGATACGAGTGAAGCTATGGAAGAGTTCTGGCCGTGTCAGCGCGTCAGCTGGGTTTCGCTTACTCTTGACCCACTGCAGAGCCATGACAACGCAGTCACTGTGAGCCTGGGAGACAATCGCTCTCGTTAGCGCTGCACCGCAGGGACAGGCAGAGTGCCCATTAACCAGGGAGAAAGCTGCTGCTTGATTATCACAGTGAAGAGATAGGCGGCGCTGCTTAATCCACTTCCTGAAGATGTTGTAAGCAATGTGTATCGCTAACAGTTCATAGAAGAAGATGAAGCGATTGCACAAGATTTCCGGCATCAACTTGATTGCAGACTTGTGCATGGTGTACTTCAGGGAGAAGTGCACAGGCTGCGGGAGGTCGTGAGCAAATAGCACCCCACCCATCCAGACATCTTTCTGATTGTTTGAGAGGGCCGCATCTGTGAACAGGTCAACAGAGCCGGAGCAGAGGTTGAGGTGTTTGATTCGGAGCGCATTTGTAGCGGCACCTCCGAGAATCGCACACTTCAGCAGGTCTGCAAAGATGATTGCAGATTTGCGGACGCCCTTAGAGTTCTTGAGAATGCTAAAGAACCTCGGGGACGTGAACTGGTACAACCACCCAATTGCTGGGCCACAATGAAGGTAGTGGCGCCAGTATAGGTGATACGTTGCAGTTCCAAGGAGTTTCTGGAGATCGCTAAGATTGACACTATTGCGCCGAATCTTGTCAATGACCAGGTCACACTGTTCTGCTGCATCTCTGATTTTTGCTTCAGGCATTGAGCAGACGACACAGTTTCCTTGTGGAGAGACCTCGAGGGTTACATCTAACCCAAGGGTTTCAGTTGGTTTGCCAGGTTTACCAACGTGGTCCTTTCGGTCCGACTGGAGCAATCCCAGCATCGCGAGCAGCTCTTTCACTATCTGGTGATAGGCTGGGGCTAAGTCTGGCGAGGAGATGATAAGGATATCATCAACATACACCAGGACAGGGATGCCGAGAAGTCTCCTGCAAATCTGCTCAATGAGGCGACTGACAGCACCACAGAAGTGAAAAACTGAGTGGAGGTTCCCAAACGTGATCGCTGGGGTCACACAGTGGCACACTTTGCAGGAAGTCGGGTCCCAGTATGTCAGGACATACTCGCCCCACGGAAGATCGTTTGCAAGTTGGAAGTATGCGCTGCACAAATCAATCTTGCTGATCACTGGGAAGAAGTCACCGCCATCGGTTGACGGGGGGCTCGGCGGCGAGCCGCCCGTGATGGTGTGCTCGTGCTCCCAGAGGGTGAGTTCTCCTTTTTCGATGCTGATCTGGTGCCGGAGCTGTCTCTTGAGAAAGAGAGCGGGAGCAGGCACAGATGGGGCAGCGCAATACTGAATGGCCTCAACAACGACGGGGAGGCCCGGCAGAGACAGGTGCTCCGAGATCGCAGACGCCGTCGCATTGTCATGCTTTTCATTAGCAATGGACCTAATCTTCTCCCACGTGCCCAGGGTTTCAGAGAACTTCTGACCGAGTGAGAAGATCGGGACGAGCTTTTTGACCTGGTGCCCATTCCACCAGAGGGCCCCATCCGCACCCGCCACAGGTGGCTCAATCGGGTAGAGGATGGCCGCCTTAGGCGGAGAGGAGTCAAGAATGACCTGATGTCCTCTAGCAAGGACTTCAGGGGATTCGAAGGGGTAAGGCTTAGTCCTCGGTGGAGGCCGAGCATTCATCAGGGCTTCGATTGCAGCGTCACCCTGTGGACACTGACTAAGTTTTTCCTGTTCTTCCTGGCTCAGTGGGCGGGCACCGCCCCACACGCCGTACTTGAAGACCTTCCCTGAGCTTGGGAAGCCGGTGTTGAGGTAGCCACGGGCACCATAGATCTGCTCCCGACGCTCTTCATCCATATAGTCACATTTTTCCGCAAGGAAGTGAAACATGGACGAGGAGCGAAGATTGGTGCGCTCTTTCGTGACTGTAGCCTTCTGGCAGTGTTCGGTGAGTTTTCGAACATTGTCAGTCATGTAGCGATTATCCTCCTCCCTGCGCTTCTGCCAGCGAAGCGAGCTGTCAAACTCACTCGCAAGAGAGGCGAGGGTGCTACGGACCCGGCGAGTCTCATCCTTGACGCCCTGAGGTGGGGGCCATGAGTGAGATCGGGGGCGCATTTGGAGTTGATTGTTTTTCCAGAAATCTTGTCTCTAGGGTAGGGCCCACAGGGTGAGGCCTACCCTACACACGTGATGGAGCACAAAGACGGTTATAGGCATGCGCACTTGGTGCGAGCGACAAACTACGGGCACACAGCTGCTAAAGCACCGCTGACTGTGTGTAACCTAGAGTTCTTAGTAGGCATAGCAGATATTTAGACTCTAGCAACCAAAGAGGCGCTCACATTCGTGAGGCAGGCTAGGGGGTAGTACAATGACAACGGGGAATACTGGGTGCTACCTTCCGCAGGGAAATCCGGTGAGTGTCAATTGCGTCTTTTAAGTCCTGATCAAGGAGAGACGGAAACAATTTCGAGTCAGCCATATTGCGAGGATCAGGATGAGGAAAAAAGTGAAGAGCTAAGGTTTTTGAGATAAGAGAGGGTGAGGGACATAGTAGCCTGCTCTTACGAGGAATAAATCCATGATGACGAAACTAGCTGGCACTACAGCCTGAAGAAATGCAACAAGTCTAATGTCCATGAGTGGGACGCAAGATGTACTACAGAAAAAGCAACCAATGATTGAAAAACAGAGCTAAATGTGATTCGAGTATAGACCCACAGAGATGCGAGAGAAAGAAACAGGGGAGGAGGGGGCTAAGGCCTCTCCCACGATCATGCTCACTCATCATATAGAGGAAAGAAGGTCAATTTGTTCACAATGAGCGAAACTGACAGATTCATAGCATCACAGCTTTTGGTAAGGAGGTCATGGAGGCACTCACTCTCGATCTGTCATTTATCAGAGCTGAACAAAAAGCACTTTCAACATCTAGTTGAACAGGCTGAGGGCAGCTCATCGTTAAATTTAATTTCAGGAGGATTTTAATTTCTAGGGACCACGCCAATTTCATTTGAATTTGACTACTTGCAAGTTGCGATTTCGCATGAATGCAGTCCCATCGGATTTAATTAGAGTGGATCCTACCCTGCTACACAAGGCTAAGCAACCTAGGAGACAGCAAAATTGGTGAAAGGTCGGAGAAAGAGGACATTCTAGATAAATCTGGAAGGCCTTCTTGACTATCCCTGTTCGCCAGAGTAGACTCATTGCAACGGTGCGGCGCATCTCGCTCGACAACAACGTCTGCTCTCGGTGTCAACGAGAGGGTGACCGTCCGATATGCCATGATGCCAGACGAAATCGACCGACCCCACATGGGACGAATCCACGTTGATAGCGGACGACCTGGCAAGAGGAGAACATTAGGTCACGTGTCAGCCTTCTTGTAGTTTTTGTCTAGTCGAGAGAGAGACAGGAGATAATAAAACAAGGAGTAGCACATTAGTTAGAGATAGAGTCACAGAAAGGTACCTGATGTGCCTTTGCTGAAAGCCTAGTGCATGAACTTGTGCAGCCGGATTAAGGATCCGGTTAATGGCAGAAGGAGGACACCTTCTGCCAGTTGCGGCCACTAGCAGTCTAGCTGCCAGTGACCTTAGTGGTGCGAGCCACTTGCCCCGTTCTTCGGTGGTGAGGGCATTCTTTCCACGGGCATTTCGGTACCACAAGTTTGCCACGAGAGTCCTGTTAGTGGGACAGACAGATGGTAAGGTGGCGCGGAGACTTATAACAAAATGCATAAGTTTTATAAGTATGCAGACCGAAAGTCGTGAGCACAGAGTGACTGAGTAGCTACGTAAGGAAAAATAAGTAGCTCACGTACCTCAACTTGCGTTCGCAACAGGTGCGCAAGGTGGACGCAGCACACGTCACCTCCAAGATCAGAGGCCTGCAGCTCCGTCTTGGAGATCAGAGCAGCACGACATTTGGTTTCAAATGCTTGGTGCTTTTCTGACTTAGCACCTCGTTGTTTGTCGTTGGTCTTAGCAACTACATTCAACGCTGGTCGAGCCTCTCGCAGCTGCTTTTTCACCTTCTGCTTGCGAGGGGCTGCACCACCAGCACCTGCACCCACCGCTGCAGGCGTCAGGGTCGACGTGACTGCGACTGAGGGTGATGAGACCACGCGGCGCGGGACTGTATCACGCCAACGGAGGCAGGCTGTGATGAAGTCCTCGCGCGTAAGTTGCTGCGCTACTCCAGGCGCAGAGCGCAAGAAGGCAGCAGCAAACGAGATCAGCAATTGCTGATCAAGGAGTTTGAGCGACTCAAGGAGGCCTGGAGTAGAGGCCAGGTCTTCTTTGAGCACATGGAGGCGCTGCCAGTCCTTTCCCATCGCACCTGCCACAAAGGCAAGGAGAAGGATGAGGTCTAGCGGAGACTTGACTTCAGCGGCAAGCTTTTTGTGAGCGTCGCTGTTGAAATCGCGAATCCTGTCAGTCATAGTCACTACAGCGCCAAGGATGCTCTCACAGTGACGGACACAGCGAGACATCGTATGAGACTGTAATCCAAAGAAGGATGGCGAGATGCCGTGACTGCAGAAAGGTGACGCCGCGCCCAAGACCTGAAGCATGTCACGGAGAGCTGCTTTCAGGTCGGCGCCCTCCCATGGAACTTTTTTCAAGTCTTTGATAAGTTCGTCGGGCTTGAGTTCCATTGACGTCGTCGACACTCTGTTGACTGCTAACAGCGTCAGAGCATCGACGTACGTCTCGAATTCGAGCGGCTTAGCGCCCATCTCCTTCGACCTAACGAGCGCAACTGCCTGTTTGCTATGAAGCAAGGCAAGGGCGTTAATGTTGGCAGTCTCCGATAGTGGTATCGGAGTGGGAACATTTTTGCCACATGCCGAGAGCGCAAACCTTTTGACCTTCCGCCAGCAAACCGGGTTTACCAGGTCTGATGGTAGGCCAAAGAGGGGCGGGAGATTGCAGTTTAGATGGAGCGAGGAGAGAGGCACCGCTGCCTCTTCCTGCTCCAAGATCCCTTCACAGTCGTAGTTCGAAGGTAGAGGGTCTTCGACGTACGGGTACCCATATGTTGCACCTGCCGATGGTGTTGTTGAAGGTGGTAAGGAGGTACGAGGACCAGGTTTATCTTGGTGACCCACCAGGGGCCCATACTTAGAGGATTTTTCGGAAGTAGAGCATCACCGAGGATTATGTCCTGAAGGAAAAAAGGGGGAAAAAAGAAAAGTACACTTCATAGACGTCGGCCCATACTGGGGGGCGCGACCATTGGCAGTGGCAAAGAGATAGGCTTGCTGGTCTTCCTCTGAGCCACTTCCAAAGTGAGGCGGATGCTGCGCGAGGCCCTGATAATGGGCATACATGTGCGGTATACCAAAGATGGCTTGTGATCGGCCATGGTGTCCAGGGAGCGGCGTCGACGGTCGAAAGTACGGCCCCGAGGGTAGATCAGGTTGATGTGACGACGCGGCAGGGCCATATCTGGCCTTCACGCCTTCCTCAAGCACAGCTGTTGCCACCGCAATTGCAGGTGGCTCAGGGCGTTGTGCGAGGGAGCGGCCACGAGAGGAGGCAGCCTTCAGCACAGCATTTCGCTGCGCTGGCACATTGGCAGGCTTTGGCGCATGCTGTTGATGAGCCAGAGGCTGACACTCCTCGCCAAGCGCATCTTGTGCCTTCTTCACCTCGTCTTCCTCAGATGAGGAGAGATCGACGTCATCTTCGCCATCATCCAGGGTGTAGAAGGGAGCCCACGTCTGAGTACAGAAGGCCTCTGAGTGGAACTGCGGGAGTTCAGGATCTGCCTTGTACTGCTGAGCAAACGTAGGGCAGCCAGCAGGTTCACGCGCTTTGTCTTCTTTAAAGACAAAGTACTGGCGACCCTGCGTAGCTGCAGCAAGCGCGCAGTAGTTCTGCTGCCGAACCATGAGCTTTGACCACTCGTGCTCAAAGGACGGGAGAGCTACCTCAACGCGCGACTTCTTCTCAGTCTTGGCATCAGTACCGAGGTACGCCGCCGTGATGCGAAGGAGCGCATAGAGAGCTTGAAGGAGGTCTGCGTGGACAGACTTCCCACTCTCCTTTCGCGACTCCTGGAGAAGTCCAAACGACCCACCGAGAATATCAGAGATATTCTCTGGCACCAGTTGCCACGAATGTGTCAGGTGGCATAGTGCATACCTCATCCTCAGCACTAGCGCCTTGAGAGGCGTCGGTAGGGCATGGAAGAGGTATTCGGTAAGTCTCTTCTGGTTACTCGCACACTTGTAGTCTACCAGGAGCTGGTAGAACACCGGTGTGAGGAACCGCCCCGAAGTCAGGTAGTTGTCAAAGCCCGGAACCTCGGTGCTGAGGTGCCTGTAGCCATGCTCAACATGGCTTGAGGACTGGAAGAAGACGGGGACGCGGCACGGGTCGCCTTGCTTCGGCATCCTTGCTTTGACCGTCGCCGGACCAAGCAGGTCGCCATAGCAAATTGACAGTGCCACCTCTCTCGGCTCCTTGATCAGTTTTTTCAGGAGCTGAGAGGGTTTCCCTGTAGCTGACCGACTTGGGAAGATCTCTGCACACGAGTGCTGAGGGTCCTGAGCGGTCAGGACATCATTCACTTGCACAAGCACGTCATACCATTGTGCAAATGAACGCCCGTCACACGCCAGCGCAATTAAGCATGGGTGCTCTTCGAGAACCAGCTTGAATTGAGCCGACGCTCTAGCTAGCTTGTCGACTGTCTCGGCATGCGAGAGTCTGACAAGGAATGGCAGCGGGTCATGTAGAGCCGATAGACCAACTAGCGTGAGCGGATGAGGTTGTAGTTGAGCTGGACTGACCGCTCCCAGACTCCCGTGCGGTGCCTTAGTGGAACGCGCGTTGTGAGAGTTTTGGGGAGCGTGAGCAGCAGTCTCGCTACCAACACTCTTTTCATTACCAGCCGTGGCAGGTAGGTGTTTCAGCTCACAAGCCTCAGCATCCACACGCTTGAGGGAGCTCGGGATGTCTGAGGTTGCAGCTAGGCGCACCACGCCAGACTCAATTATAGTCTCTTCTTCTTCCTTAATCGAAGGAAGTTGAAGTGAGTCAGACTCTTGGTCAGCAAAGGCACTGCTTCTTGCTTCTGTCTGAATTTTCTGTATCCTATCAGCTAAAGTCTCTACTTTAGGAGAACAACTTGAGCTAGCGTAGGTACCCGAGTACGTAGTGCTGATGGCATTAATAGATTCCTGAAAGCTACCCAGAGCATCAATATGCTTTCCATCATCACCAGATTCGCGCACACACCCTTGCGAGCCAGCGTTTGTCAAGCTGGAGGCGTGCGCATGGAGAGATGCCTGACGGGGACGCACTGGAGCCACTGCTGACCTCTTAGGGGCAGGCTTGGATTGTGGCATCACCTCAGCAATCTTGTCTGCAGCCTTTTCTGCAGCAGTCGAGAGAAGGCGGCGTTGATCATGTTGAGTATCGGGAACACAGTGCTCTTGATCAGCGGGCACCATCTCAGCGTCATGCTCGGACTCGACTCCTTGACCATCATGATCTTCAGGACTCACCTGCGGCTTCGGCGAGTTACCTGCGCAGCGGATGATAGGAGTTATGATGAGAGAGTGAGGGATACTAGGCGGACGGTACAGAGTTTGAGTCACTTAGAACATAGGATAGGAGACAAATGGTTCTGCACGAGCAGATATGAAAGCAGGCTTCTGGAGGTTTATAGGATCACAAGCAGCAGGCACCTAATTGATAAGGGGTACCTTCACGGAAATACTCTCCCATGGGCCGTGCACCCGAGTTGGAGCTTACACTCTCACTCGAGCTGAGGAGCAAGCTATCACGCTTGGTTTCCAAGTGCCGAGCCGCAGCTTCGAGCTGGGTGGCCGCATTGAGGGTCAAGTGCTTGTCTGCGTCATCACCTTCAGAGCGTTGATTCTTCACGCCTGAGCGAGAACCCATATCCGCGTCATCCGCCATACCCTCCAAACCGTTGTTGTCAGCTGTCGCATCGCGCGTACCGTTGTCAATATTCTTAGCCTTCATAGCGTTGACCTTCATCGCACGAGTCGGCTTCGTCGCTGGAGGAGCAGCCTTCATGACCTTCATGACGGCTTTCATCGGCTTTGGGGCTGCTTTCACCTTAGGTGTAGGCGCCGGCTTACCTTTCTTGTACTGACCCGAGAGGGCAGTGGACGAGGACGAGCTAGAACTGCTCGAACTCGTCCCAATTTTGAGTTTTTTATCCGTCATCCTGAGGGGAGGAGAGAAAAAACGAGGCTACATGTGAGAATTTCGATATTTACTCACTGATGAAGTGCCACAGGTATGTACCGCACGGTAGCGTTGAAGGAACTGATTAGGTGGCTGTGGGCTTCGGTGATAATAGATGCACGCTTGTAAACACTCACTGATTGATTGTGGCCTAACAAGAGGGCTAGTAACGCTACACGAGCTGCTGTCTTGAGGTATTAAGGACCGATCAAGCGGAAAAAACGGGGAAGGCTGGTGAACACCGACAGCACCGATGACAGACTATATTCTTCTTATCAGAAGCTTAGTTTGACAGGCAGAAAAAACGTGGCAAACTCTCACACTCAAGCTCTGACGTCATCATGGAGCGGACACTGTATTTAAGGACACTTACAGTCCTATCTCATGATCAGAGTCGATCAGGGCAGCTTTTATTGCCGCAGGTTGTGCTGAGCACAAAAGATGTTTCATTCATATCAGTAACAGCAGGAAAAGTCCATCAAAGCTAGCACCAAGAAGGGGATGAAATTCAACGTCAGTGAAGATGAAGACACATTCAGAGAGAAAGAGCCACTTCTAGGCCATAGTATGCAGTCAAGGTATGCATTAGAGACAGCCATGGTCGTGAGGCCTTCAGGAAGATAGATTCATGGTGCACAGCGTGACCATCCCCCGGGCTTCACAAAACATCTTACTCACTATCCCTGCTGTTACAACCAGTCGATCACGCACCATTCGACAGAGTACTCAGGGCTCTGTCTGCTCCATTAATCATCTGCCTCTGGATCCGAAAGGATGACGACATGAGCGCTGCTAAGCACCTTGCTACCTCAGCTAGTTGCAGGTTGCCATAGAAAAGGCACGCACGTACCAGCCCAGTCTCAACACCTCCACCTTCGTCTTTGAAGAGGAAGGCTAGACACGCAACGCGGCAGATCGTCGTGGTATAGAAGCGCAACAGGACCAGGTGGTGGTGCGCCAGGCTAGAAGCCGCTTTACCATCACTCAGGCGTCTCTGCTCGGCTACCGCCCAAGAGATTTTCGACGCCAGCGCCCGCACAACACCGCCCGCGACATATAACACGGTCATTGGAGTTCGCACGATGAGAAGGGCAGCTGATTTCAGCAGTGCCACGACCGCCGAGCTCATGTTGTAGGTGTAGTAATGGTTATTCGAGACCATGACGTTAGTTATCAAGAGGAGTAAGCCTCTGGTCAACGATAACTGTTGCGATAGGATGTCGTAGTCCTAGACAAGACTAAGTGAGGGCATTCTTACCAAATACAAAACGCCTCTTGACATTACCTTGCAACTGCCGATGGTCAGTTTCTGCTATTAGATTTCTCGTCATCAGCCACTTTGAAAAGTTGTAGCAGCTTCCACGAAAAAACGGAGGGCTCTCAAAGATTTCTCATTCAGGCGCGCAGTTAGGTCTGCGATTACCATTCGGGGATAGCCATTACCACAGCAACACGGACAGGCGTGCACCACAGGTCAGACTAAAGATTATCGGCGAGCAGTGTGAGAGCACCCCTAGATGGACATGCATGGGGAACCATCATATCACTACAAAGTGAGGTTGCGATGTATAGTGCAACTGAAAAGTAAATGGTAATTATGTTACCAGCATATAAACAAAAATTCCGCTGATAACTATCATTCGCCAGCCCAGTAGAAGGGGGTACACCTTCCTACTTCTCTACTCATGCGTTATCTTCGCACTTCTTCTAGACTCTCTTACTTACTCTTTTGACAAATAAAAGAAAACAAGTGGATCATGAAGATCGATGTACCAGGTTGTAAGCAGCATTTTTTTCATCAATAATATTTCACAGGAGACGACACCAGTGAGAAGACGCCAGAGTGTTCGGGATTTTCTCAAAGGACCAAGCGGGTCCGCTGCCACGCACGATAAAACGTCGAATAAATGTAAATCCTCTGAGGTATCTTCTTCTAATTCACGATCTGGATCAGGCTCTTCAACATCTTCAACTAAACGCAATTTTCATTAATTTCGCCCTAATTTTTATGCAAAAGGTTTATTTGAAGTCAACGCCATCTTTACCAAGTCCTATCTCTCCAGAGGTTGCCGAAGAGGTTGAAAGCAACGCCATCTTTACCAAGTCCTATCTCTCCAGAGATTGCCGAAGAGGTTGAAAGCAACGCCATCTTTACCAAGTCCTATCTCTCCAGAGATTGCCGAAGAGGAATTCTCCTCCCGCTAGACGACTTGAAAAACAAAATCTAGATGCCAATAGGTTCAAGTTCTCCCTTTTAGCATGAAGAACCTCGATTACCTTACTAGTGCAGAGATCCACCGGCACTAGGTCTCCCAGGTAGTTCTCCATTATACCCTCGACGGCAGATGACCCTAGGTCCCTATCATAGGCAGCTACTTGGGTTTGTTCCCTATCTTCGTCCTTACTTTTAGAAGATCCCGCATCAAAAGGCCGCTGCTTAAGTATGTGCACCATCGCGTATCTGTTAACTCTCCACAGTCTCCTCCTCCACCGTGTTCATCCTCACGAATGCTTCTCGCAAGCCCAGGAGCATGCTGGCGGGCTGCGACGGCTAAGTGTCTTCTCGCGCAGGATCTGCAAATCGCGCGGCCGACACAAAGAACGACGGCAGGTCTTCCATGGCAGATACCAAGTCGTGAAGCAATCGAAATGGGCTTGCCTCGAAGTGATCTCGGCAAGGTGCCTTATTCCAAGGGTGATGGTGCGTAGTCGTGCGAGAGACGTAGATTTGCCCATCAAAATCTTTGTGTCGTGTGTCGAACTCGAAGTATCTTCCGCTGGAAGCAATGCGCCGAGGAACGAAACGCCCACCGACGTGCTGTCTCCTGGACCTGCGACGAAACGCCCTGCGACGGAAAGAACAGAGGTCCAGGACACCGACAAGCGATTTTGAAGTTGTTGTCCTGCGCCTCTGTTCTTTTCGTCGCACACACAGCAGTCACCTCGACGACCTCACTCCGGTGCAAATAGACCAGAGGAGCTGTGGTGGAGCCGACCTAACTAGAATCCTGATCACAGGACAGAGAGGCGGTTTGCTGCTTGGTCGACATTTTTGTGGTGAGGTCCTTATGAGTGTTGGATGGAATGGATTAAAATTTAGTCTGTGAGGTGGTTTAAGAAGAGAAGGAACAAGAATGTGATATGAGAGTCAGAATCGTGGCCGAAAAGAAAAGAGAGGATAGTAGAGGTAAACTAGATAATATGACGAAGACAATAAAAGTTTTGTTATAATAGAACGCGCAGAGTAGAAGTCCCTAAGTCTTCAAGTAATATGTCAAAAGCAGGAAGCCAGGAGAAGTGATAAGTTGTATGAATCTAAAAAATGACACGAGTTTCATCAATATGCCACCAGTAGCAACACTAAGCAACAGACTTCCAAATTCGCTAGAGAAAACGTCGTGGCACAACAAGACGACTCCAACAGTGAAAGCGATGGCTCTAAGTGTACTCGTCCTTGTGGTAATTATATATGGGATATCAATATTATTCTGTAGTACACCAAACTCGATTGCTTACACCTTATCGATGTGTTTTCGATTAGCAGTGACTCACTACTAAACAGGCTTCAGCTATTCAATCTTTTAGGGGTTCCGCCTCTTGTTCTCTCGGCTCCTCTAGTTGTCTCCAGCCATGTTCCCTCCTCGTGAACTGAGTAGCGCTTGTTTTCTTCGATTCTTTAACTACTGAGGCAACAGATGGAATGCCAACTACCCGACTTTCTTCTTTGCTGAGCTCTTCTCTCCCTAGTATCGTGCTCCCCTTCAGGGTGATCACCATCACCGGTGTCTTTGTGGTGGAACAAGTTATTATATATGTACCAGGGAGGGAGGCCCCCCCCCTGTGGATGGACCGGGGGTGGACCACGCCAGAGGGGTCCAGCCTGGCCACCTTTGCGCGGTCTGTATGGTTGGCCACATGCAGCACGCCAAGGGGGTGGGTCCCGCCTTGCCTCCTCTGCCAGCTCTGTCGGGTACCGCAACACGCCAGAGGGCGCCAGCCTTGCCATCTTTGCCAGGTCTGTAGGGCACAGGCAACAAGGCAGCGGGGCCCTGCCTTTGCCAGGCCTGTAGGGGACATGCAACAAGGCAGCGGGGCCCTGCCTTTGCCCCCTTTGCCAGGTCTGTAGGGCACAGGCAACAAGGCAGCGGGGCCCTGCCTTTGCCAGGCCTGTAGGGGACATGCAACAAGGCAGCGGGGCCCTGCCTTTGCCCCCTTTGCCAGGTCTGTAGGGCACAGGCAACAAGGCAGCGGGGCCCTGCCTTTGCCAGGTCTGTCGGGCACATGCAACAAGCCAGCGGGGCCCTGCCTTTGCCTTTGCCAGGTCTGTAGGGTACATGCAACAAGCCAGCGGGGCCCTGCCTTTGCCTTTGCCAGGTCTGTAGGGTACATGCAACAAGGCAGCGGGGCCCTGCCTTTGCCCCCTTTGCCAGGCCTGTAGGGGACATGCAACAAGGCAGCGGGGCCCTGCCTTTGCCCCCTTTGCCAGGTCTGTAGGGCACATGCAACAAGGCAGCGGGGCCCTGCCTTTGCCCCCTTTGCCAGGTCTGTAGGGCACATGCAACAAGGCAGCGGGGCCCTGCCTTTGCCCCCTTTGCCAGGTCTGTAGGGCACATGCAACAAGGCAGCGGGGCCCTGCCTTTGCCCCCTTTGCCAGGTCTGTAGGGCACATGCAACAAGGCAGCGGGGCCCTGCCTTTGCCCCCTTTGCCAGGTCTGTAGGGCACATGCAACAAGGCAGCGGGGCCCTGCCTTTGCCCCCTTTGCCAGGTCTGTAGGGCACATGCAACAAGGCAGCGGGGCCCTGCCTTTGCCCCCTTTGCCAGGTCTGTAGGGCACATGCAACAAGGCAGCGGGGCCCTGCCTTTGCCCCCTTTGCCAGGTCTGTAGGGCACATGCAACAAGGCAGCGGGGCCCTGCCTTTGCCCCCTTTGCCAGGTCTGTAGGGCACATGCAACAAGGCAGCGGGGCCCTGCCTTTGCCCCCTTTGCCAGGTCTGTAGGGCACATGCAACAAGGCAGCGGGGCCCTGCCTTTGCCCCCTTTGCCAGGTCTGTAGGGCACATGCAACAAGGCAGCGGGGCCCTGCCTTTGCCCCCTTTGCCAGGTCTGTAGGGCACATGCAACAAGGCAGCGGGGCCCTGCCTTTGCCCCCTTTGCCAGGTCTGTAGGGCACATGCAACAAGGCAGCGGGGCCCTGCCTTTGCCCCCTTTGCCAGGTCTGTAGGGCACATGCAACAAGGCAGCGGGGCCCTGCCTTTGCCCCCTTTGCCAGGTCTGTAGGGCACATGCAACAAGCCAGCGGGGCCCTGCCTTTGCCCCCTTTGCCAGGTCTGTAGGGCACATGCAACAAGGCAGCGGGGCCCTGCCTTTGCCCCCTTTGCCAGGTCTGTAGGGCACATGCAACAAGGCAGCGGGGCCCTGCCTTTGCCCCCTTTGCCAGGTCTGTAGGGCACATGCAACAAGGCAGCGGGGCCCTGCCTTTGCCCCCTTTGCCAGGTCTGTAGGGCACATGCAACAAGGCAGCGGGGCCCTGCCTTTGCCCCCTTTGCCAGGTCTGTAGGGCACATGCAACAAGGCAGCGGGGCCCTGCCTTTGCCCCCTTTGCCAGGTCTGTAGGGCACATGCAACAAGGCAGCGGGGCCCTGCCTTTGCCCCCTTTGCCAGGTCTGTAGGGCACATGCAACAAGCCAGCGGGGCCCTGCCTTTGCCCCCTTTGCCAGGTCTGTAGGGCACATGCAACAAGGCAGCGGGGCCCTGCCTTTGCCCCCTTTGCCAGGTCTGTAGGGCACATGCAACAAGGCAGCGGGGCCCTGCCTTTGCCCCCTTTGCCAGGTCTGTAGGGCACATGCAACAAGGCAGCGGGGCCCTGCCTTTGCCCCCTTTGCCAGGTCTGTAGGGCACATGCAACAAGGCAGCGGGGCCCTGCCTTTGCCCCCTTTGCCAGGTCTGTAGGGCACATGCAACAAGGCAGCGGGGCCCTGCCTTTGCCCCCTTTGCCAGGTCTGTAGGGCACATGCAACAAGGCAGCGGGGCCCTGCCTTTGCCCCCTTTGCCAGGTCTGTAGGGCACATGCAACAAGCCAGCGGGGCCCTGCCTTTGCCCCCTTTGCCAGGTCTGTAGGGCACATGCAACAAGGCAGCGGGGCCCTGCCTTTGCCCCCTTTGCCAGGTCTGTAGGGCACATGCAACAAGGCAGCGGGGCCCTGCCTTTGCCCCCTTTGCCAGGTCTGTAGGGCACATGCAACAAGGCAGCGGGGCCCTGCCTTTGCCCCCTTTGCCAGGTCTGTAGGGCACATGCAACAAGGCAGCGGGGCCCTGCCTTTGCCCCCTTTGCCAGGTCTGTAGGGCACATGCAACAAGGCAGCGGGGCCCTGCCTTTGCCCCCTTTGCCAGGTCTGTAGGGCACATGCAACAAGGCAGCGGGGCCCTGCCTTTGCCCCCTTTGCCAGGTCTGTAGGGCACATGCAACAAGCCAGCGGGGCCCTGCCTTTGCCCCCTTTGCCAGGTCTGTAGGGCACATGCAACAAGGCAGCGGGGCCCTGCCTTTGCCCCCTTTGCCAGGTCTGTAGGGCACATGCAACAAGGCAGCGGGGCCCTGCCTTTGCCCCCTTTGCCAGGTCTGTAGGGCACATGCAACAAGGCAGCGGGGCCCTGCCTTTGCCCCCTTTGCCAGGTCTGTAGGGCACATGCAACAAGGCAGCGGGGCCCTGCCTTTGCCCCCTTTGCCAGGTCTGTAGGGCACATGCAACAAGGCAGCGGGGCCCTGCCTTTGCCCCCTTTGCCAGGTCTGTAGGGCACATGCAACAAGGCAGCGGGGCCCTGCCTTTGCCCCCTTTGCCAGGTCTGTAGGGCACATGCAACAAGCCAGCGGGGCCCTGCCTTTGCCCCCTTTGCCAGGTCTGTAGGGCACATGCAACAAGGCAGCGGGGCCCTGCCTTTGCCCCCTTTGCCAGGTCTGTAGGGCACATGCAACAAGGCAGCGGGGCCCTGCCTTTGCCCCCTTTGCCAGGTCTGTAGGGCACATGCAACAAGGCAGCGGGGCCCTGCCTTTGCCCCCTTTGCCAGGTCTGTAGGGCACATGCAACAAGGCAGCGGGGCCCTGCCTTTGCCCCCTTTGCCAGGTCTGTAGGGCACATGCAACAAGGCAGCGGGGCCCTGCCTTTGCCCCCTTTGCCAGGTCTGTAGGGCACATGCAACAAGGCAGCGGGGCCCTGCCTTTGCCCCCTTTGCCAGGTCTGTAGGGCACATGCAACAAGCCAGCGGGGCCCTGCCTTTGCCCCCTTTGCCAGGTCTGTAGGGCACATGCAACAAGGCAGCGGGGCCCTGCCTTTGCCCCCTTTGCCAGGTCTGTAGGGCACATGCAACAAGGCAGCGGGGCCCTGCCTTTGCCCCCTTTGCCAGGTCTGTAGGGCACATGCAACAAGGCAGCGGGGCCCTGCCTTTGCCCCCTTTGCCAGGTCTGTAGGGCACATGCAACAAGGCAGCGGGGCCCTGCCTTTGCCCCCTTTGCCAGGTCTGTAGGGCACATGCAACAAGGCAGCGGGGCCCTGCCTTTGCCCCCTTTGCCAGGTCTGTAGGGCACATGCAACAAGGCAGCGGGGCCCTGCCTTTGCCCCCTTTGCCAGGTCTGTAGGGCACATGCAACAAGCCAGCGGGGCCCTGCCTTTGCCCCCTTTGCCAGGTCTGTAGGGCACATGCAACAAGGCAGCGGGGCCCTGCCTTTGCCCCCTTTGCCAGGTCTGTAGGGCACATGCAACAAGGCAGCGGGGCCCTGCCTTTGCCCCCTTTGCCAGGTCTGTAGGGCACATGCAACAAGGCAGCGGGGCCCTGCCTTTGCCCCCTTTGCCAGGTCTGTAGGGCACATGCAACAAGGCAGCGGGGCCCTGCCTTTGCCCCCTTTGCCAGGTCTGTAGGGCACATGCAACAAGGCAGCGGGGCCCTGCCTTTGCCCCCTTTGCCAGGTCTGTAGGGCACATGCAACAAGGCAGCGGGGCCCTGCCTTTGCCCCCTTTGCCAGGTCTGTAGGGCACATGCAACAAGCCAGCGGGGCCCTGCCTTTGCCCCCTTTGCCAGGTCTGTAGGGCACATGCAACAAGGCAGCGGGGCCCTGCCTTTGCCCCCTTTGCCAGGTCTGTAGGGCACATGCAACAAGGCAGCGGGGCCCTGCCTTTGCCCCCTTTGCCAGGTCTGTAGGGCACATGCAACAAGGCAGCGGGGCCCTGCCTTTGCCCCCTTTGCCAGGTCTGTAGGGCACATGCAACAAGGCAGCGGGGCCCTGCCTTTGCCCCCTTTGCCAGGTCTGTAGGGCACATGCAACAAGGCAGCGGGGCCCTGCCTTTGCCCCCTTTGCCAGGTCTGTAGGGCACATGCAACAAGGCAGCGGGGCCCTGCCTTTGCCCCCTTTGCCAGGTCTGTAGGGCACATGCAACAAGCCAGCGGGGCCCTGCCTTTGCCCCCTTTGCCAGGTCTGTAGGGCACATGCAACAAGGCAGCGGGGCCCTGCCTTTGCCTTTGCCAGGTCTGTAGGGTACAGGCAACAAGGCGGGAAGGGGTCAGAAGTGGGCGCTTTGAGGCCTTCCCGCCCGGCAGCCCCTCGAAAAGAGGGGCCGGGGCTGGCAGGCCCCCCCCCTCGAAAAGTTAGATCGGGGGGGGGGGCCTCCAGCCCTGAGCCCTGGAACATATATTTATACATAGGTAAAGCCAAAGGAAACAATTCCCATCGCCATATGACTGGGCTACTCCTGCTGTGTCTGCAACCTGCAAAGAAAAGAAAAAAATATGCACTCTTTCCACCTGTACAACGCGGAAAGCAAAGGAGAGGACAGCCCTGGCGGAGCTTCAAAGATTAAGCTTACTTATCTACCAGGGGCGGCTTGTGAGTAGATGCGTGGTAGATCTAAAATAGTGCATAAGATTGACGCAAAGGAGAGCAGTGCAAAGAAAGACTTTGATGGTATAGAAAGCAAGAGCATCGACACCCCGAGGGTCCCGTTGCTGTTGGTCCTGTTGAAGAAATCAGGGCCTTGAAGATCTGAAATTTTCAGGGTATGACCTTCTTCACGTTTTTTACCTTAATTTTTCAGAAGATTCAGACTGCGACAAACCTCCAAAATTCAAGTGCTGCAATGCCAGGGATCTGATGAAGAAGAAGTCCACGAACAACAACCGCGCAAAACCACGAATGGCCATGGCGTGCTGTTAGGCCTACGGCTTCGGTGTTGATGCTGTCCTTGGTGATCGTGGAGTTGCTGGTCCTGTGCCTAGGTGTCCATTTTCACGGCTGCGGGTAGTGAGTTCCGTCGTGCAAATGTGCGCAAAGCGTCCTTCCCTTTGTACTTATCCTTGTTGAGAGCAAGAGCAGCGCTTTTTCAAAAAAAAAAGGGTGTGGTCATGCAGTGGGTTTCCTATGAGGTTTGCCAAATAGTGAAGCCGTTCATCGTTGAAAACTTCATCGATCCTGTCCGTCACCACAGCCATGATTTCCTGCTGGGTCGAAGCCTCCTTGAGCCCTTCTTCAATGCACCGCACAAGATCTATACCCGCGAGATCCACCGCGGCTTTCCTCGTCTCCGCCAGGACGCCGCAGTTGATTTTCGCCAAAAACGCCTGTGCCTGCCTCCCTCGCTCCTCGGCAGCCAGTGCTTCGTCGTCGCGAGTTTTGAAAATTCTCTCGAGCCAGCGCGAGAGAGCGTCGTCGGTTATTTCGCATCTCCGCAGAGCGTTGTCGAGGCTGCGGAGTGCGAAAGTCAGTCTACTCTCTGGGCGCGCGTTTTCGGGTGGCGGGTTTTCTCGGTCGGAATGTGGCGTCGTCAACGCTCCATCTACCACTCCCAAACTCCCCAAAAGCGTCAGCAGATCTTGCAGGCTTATCTTGTCCCTTTGCAGTCGTACTTCGAAGTCCTCAAGACGAGTTTCGTGTTCCGGACGCGACGAAAACAGGAGTCCGCTGTGTTGCAGAATCTTCGCCAGCTGTGCCTCTAACACAAAACAGTATTCAAAGGGGCTCTTTAAATCCTTGAGTTCGCAGTCAAAAAGCTGGCTAAACCGGCGTTCGTCGACACGGTCGGGCTCAACAGAATGCACAGGCACACGCGCACTCCTTAACACCACTTCCCGAAGCCAGGGAGGGCCTTCGCAAAAAGAAGACCTCGAGAGGGGCAGATAGTCGTCGTCCCATCCTTGATCTGAGATGCGGCGAGCTGCTTCTCCGGCGGAGGCGTGGGAGCTAGGATCTGGATTGTTCAGAAACGCTTCTACCAAGCGGAAAGCCGAATCTGGTAGATCACGAAGCTCCGTACTAGTTGTCGCGCATCTTCTTCGACGGCTCAGGAACGCGATGCTGCGACTCCCTTTCGGTCCCAAGGAAAGATCAGTGGCGAGTGGTAGCTTTTCAGAACCGCAAGCAGCAAGAAGGGCGCATCTACTTGGCTGCGGCCTGAGCTCTTCCAGCAACGCATCGGGGACGACCTCCTGCAGCAACTGATTCCACTTCTCGCGCAGCCATTTCCGGCAAAAAACCGTCTCGCGACCAAGAAACGCAATTGCGTACAAGCCAACCACGGTGGCCGTCAAAGTCGTTGAACCGGGGGTCAGGCCGAATTTCGTTTCAAAAAAATCCTCCAAAAGTCGCGCCCCCTCCGCAGACAGCACTACTTCTTCTGGATGCTCACGTAACAAGGAGGCCTTCCCCATCACCCCGGACAGTCCCAGCAACAATGGAGAGTCAGCGGCCCCTCCACCGACGTTGTCCCCATAAAGCTGCGCCCACTCGTTCTTGGGAATCATTTCCGGAGGCTTCTCGACCAGCCATATCGCAGTCACCAGTATCCGCCGGCCCAAGAGGTAGGAGAATTCCGGAAAATGTTCTGTAGCGATTTTTCTAATCGGCGCCCACCAGTGTTCGCCAATTTGACCACTTGTCACGACAGCCACCCATATAAGCAAAAGCTTTGGAAACGATACAGCCCTGAGGCCCTCTGCTCGTCCCCAGGCGACACCCGTCAAGCCATCTAGAAGTTGAAGTACCACTAAAGAGATGGGCAGCAAGCAAAGAAGCGCGTCCGTCGCGAAACGTATCAATTTTGCTGCATTCTGGCGGAGATATTGCTTCATTGTGGACGCGCACTTCTCTACGCTCTTCCTCAAGAAACTAGAAGCCGTCGCGCGACAAAACGGAGTCGCATCCCCGTCCTCCTCGCCAGCAGCACTTCGCCGCAGTGCGTCTATGAGGGCTTTCAATTTTTCGACTTCGCCAAGAACTTTCTCTGCGAGTCCCGAATATGCGTGCCTGCTGTTTCGATTCCCCACTGTCCGAGAAAGAAGGAGAGACACCAGCGGAAGCGACCCTAATTGTCCTCCCCCGGAGAAGACATCCCCGGCCAGATAATTCAGCATCAGGATACAGAATACCGGGAAATAGCTGACTAATGGGAAAATGACGTCGTGCGCCGCGGTCTGCAGGAAGAAAGTATGCAACAATCGTGGAGATTTCACGAGGATCGGCAGGAGCAGTTTGCGCTTCGCACAAGTCGAGACCTGTCCCGCCGCTTGTTCGCAAAACCTGGACGCGGAAAGGGCAGCTTTCCGCAACTCTTCACGCAAAACCGAGCCTCGGCTTTCTCTTTCACCTCCTCCTGCCTGTTCACTAGCGTCACGACTTGCTGCGAGACTAAAGCCTCCTCCTACTTCGAGATCCACATCTTCTTGCTCGGGCGGTTGTAGTAGCTTCTTCTCTCCGCTCCTGTTGTCGTCTGACAGAAGGTCCTGCAGAAGGCCAGGGGCTTTCGCGTGCAGGAAAGCAGCAAGGTCCCTTTCTAGCGTACCAGTGCCACGATCCTCTAGACAACTCCTGAAAGCACCTTTCTCGTCAGACCCCAGCAAAGTGGCCACCAACTCCTCTGCGGAACCCTTCAACTTATCCCGTAGAGCGTCCTGGTGTGTTGCAGGAGAAGGAAACTGCTCGTCCCGGTGCTGCGCAAAAGGAGAAGTTTCGCCGCTAGAGGAACTACTTGCCCCCGCAACGACGAGCGCCAAGAACATGATTGTCACGACCATTTTTGAAAACACATATGATGTAGACCATCCTCGTCTCAGAAAATCCGCCATCCTCTTTGGAATTCTATTTTTCGAAAGCTGCCTTGGGAAGCCAGTAGGACTGTGACCTCGTGGCTTGCCTTGCTGCAGGCCTTGTTCGCCCTGAGCGTTGTTGTACTCCAGATTCGACAAAGTGGTCGCTGCTTGGTTGCCATGAGCCCGGTTACCTCCGTAGCCCTCGTAAAGTGGCTGCAGATGAACCATTGCATTCTGACCCGGTAGGGGCTGCTGCGGTTGCATATGCTCCTGCTGCGTCAGAGTTCTACCCTGCTGATCCTGCATATGCTGCTGCATCAGAGTTCTACCCTGCTGATCCTGCATATGCTGCTGCTGCATCAGAGTGTTACCCTGCTGATCCTGCATATGCTGCTGCTGCATCAGAGTGTTACCCTGCTGATCCTGCATATGCTGCTGCTGCATTAGAGTGCTGGCGCTCAGACGAGAGTAGAATGGTTTGGATGCTAGTGACGATAAATAGTGAGAATCCTCTTGAAATGGCTACGGAGACGAAAAAGCTTACAACTACTTAGAAGAAAAAGGCTTCCTACTTAGACAAAGAGGACGTCGACTCCTGTAATCTGAAAATGAGAGGACTCAGTAAGCATTGATCACGGAAACTTTTCCATCCTTTTGATCTCTACTTCATCTTCTTGCTCTACGTGCTGGCACTTCTACAGCACATCAATAAACACAAGGCAATACCTTCTGCTCCTCTTGACCGTGCTGACTGGACTTGCGGGATCATGCATTTCAAGAACTACGAGTATGATGATGATCTCCCTTCTACTTGACCCTCCTGCACTAGCACTTCTCGTTATCGTATATGATCCAGATCCGGTGTAGTCCCCTGGACGAGCTCTTCACGTTTATATTAAGAATGTTGCGATTGATCATTCGTGAAAGTAATTACTGAGCTGGTGTCGAAGTCGATCTTCTCATCAACGTAATCTTCCTTTTCGTAATGGAGATCTACATCTTCTACTCTCTCAACATGGTACTTTCCCATACATTAGAAGTAGTGTTTCATCAGACCAATGTCCGCACACTCGACTTCTACCGAAGAGTAGCATGTTAAGCCGATGCGCATCCTCTTTGTTCAGCCCTGCAACATCAGTTCTTGTTCTAGTCTGCCACTGCCAGCCATGCAATCGGTCGTTCAGATTCCTCATCATAGACGAAACGAGGATAAATAGAAGATAGATAAAGGAGCTTAACATGGTACAAAGGAAAAGTGTAGGCTAGGAAAAGTGTAGGCTAGGAAAAGTGTAGGCTAGAATCAGCTGGAAATAACAAATCCTTATCCTAGCAACTGAAACACGCATCACAATAACAATTATTTTCATCAGATGAAATCGTATATATTTAAGTATATAGAGGAAATCGAAATACTTAGAAGGATTTTTTGTTGACTTTCACCTCCAGCATGGAACCAGCCCAGAGAACTTCTAGGACGACCTAGGACTTCTAGGTTGATGTAGACTATGTTGCAAGCAAGAACGCGAAAGATGAAACTTCTACAACAACAACTGCATAAAAAGTTTCTATCAGTATCTATTGTAAGTGAAGTTGAGAAAGAATCAGAGGCAACTTTTGCACGGTAATTGATTAATTTAACCTCTTAACTCTATAGTTGTATTGTGCTTCTTCAGTGATGAAGGTGCTGAAGAAGGTGAAGATGATAGAGAAAGAGAATCTCGAGCTCTTGCTGGTGCTGGTAGCTCCTGCTGATCCTGCACTTCTAATGAAGGGTCTACTTATGTCGTCTGACAGTGGAGCACAACTAGCATTTGCTGCAGTATTCACAACTTCATCTATTTTTCTTGCTACTTTATCATTGCTCCAGTTCTCACTCTCATCATTTTCTTGTTGCGCTGTCTTGTTGAAGATAAGTTTGTAAGGTACTAAAGGCAGAGTTTAAGGTACTAAAGGCAGAGTTTCCGGAGACGGTGAAGTCTTTTGCTAGTCTCTAATTGCGCTGTGCACGTCTTCGACATCGTCAACGACCATGGATCTAGGACCATCGCCAACAATTGACATGATAGGACTAGGACTATGAGAAGCAGTAGCAGAAGTAGCTTTACTTTTTGTACTACTACTTGTGCTGAGCTGACTACAACCAGTGCTGTGCACGTGCTGCATTGTCATGTTCGCATCTGATTCTGCAGCTTCTGATTCCTGTTTAGCTGGTAATATCTGGTTCGATGATGACGAACAATAAGTAGTCGAAGAACCTCCTACTTGCTGCGGCAATACTCTTACAGCATGCGAGTAATCTATTCCTGCTAAATGGAAGCAAGAATGCAGGCCAGTGTGGCACTGCAGTGATTGGATCGAAAACGGGAAGTCGACATTTTTCTGTTCATCATAGTGGTGGTGGTGCTCGTTACCGTGTTCATACTTCTACATACTTGCATACTGTGGAAATTCATAACACTGATCAACATAAACATTGTTGTACCACTCGTACTTGGCTGAAGCTGGAGCATCATTGAGATCATGAGCTTGTTGCATCTGAACCTGCTGCAGACAACTGTAGAAGAGGGGTTCTTGCATTGTCTCTCATTTCCGGCTCGTGCTGGTGGCTTTCCCGAAGGAATTATGGTGGCATTTTTGCAACACACGTAAGAGATGACGCAGACGGCCCTGAACCGTCATAAAGATCGTCGAAATATCACTCTTCAGCCTGAAGCAGGTGCTTTTCGATTTCTGTGCATCGACAAAAAAGAGTACGTGATCGTCATTGTAGCAGCCTGATGTATCTGTTGTATGCAGGACGTTGTAGATGTACTAGATCGACTTCATATCTTCTGATCGTTGATAAAAAACTTACGAAAGTAGAAAAAAGAGTTCATCACAGTTCGTGCAGTTCAAAGACCTGCCACCGTAACCCGAAACCCTTTTCTATGATCACCGCAAAAACCTTGGCACAGATGGAGCGCTGTTCCTCTTCGAGGAGTGTGAGGAGGAAAACGACGAGCGTCGACTCGACGGCGCGGCCCCGCCTGCTCCTGCGGCATCTGCCCTAGCCTGCAACAGCGCAAACTGAGAGGATGGTGCATGAAGATTGGTACTATTGGTACTATAATTATTCATCTCCTTAGCTGAAGAGCTGCTCCTCGTAGAGGTAGGAGTTTCTCCCAATGGGGGTAAGCGACCAGAGCCACGCCTCATTTTGCCTACAACGCCGGCACCTAGGAGTTTGGAAGTACTAGCAGATGATGTTGACGTCAGCGTGCTCTCTTGATTTGTCAGCGCTAGTGGATGTTTATTCGATCCACCTCCGAGTTGCAAAAGGCCACTACTTGAAGATGACGATGTTGATGACCCACTTCCACCTCCTCCCTCTAGCCTTTCTTGCCTATCCCTGTCAGCGTCTCTACTTAGCCTCTTGTCTTCACGACCGCCATGATCTCCGTGTTCTTAGAGTCTGCTAGCTTGATGCATCTCGACGGCCCCCTCATCTACTTGACCCCTTTTAGTACATGTACAACCTTCTTGAGTAAGTGTTTCATAGGAATAATACAACAAGGGAAAACTACAAGGGTACAACCGAGATGATCATGCCGAGAAAGATGGACACTTCTAAATGTAGTCCTTAACGACCATGCTCGTCTTCATCCTCGCTATCTACTATTAAGGCTTCGTTGCCTGTCATGCTGCCTACTTTCCGGAACTCCTTGCGCATCGAATCGATGTCCTTCCTCCAGGTCTTCATCTCGCTCATTCTGTTGTCTAGCTTCTTCCGCGTTCTGGCTACCATTTTCCTCAGCTGTTCCATTTCATCTTAGCGCCATAATGATCTTTCACTATTCGCCGCGATTCGCGGTTGAGTGTTAATCCTAATGATCTTTCACTATTGATTCGCCGCGATTGAGTGTTGAGGGTCTTTCACTATTCGCCGCGATTGAGTGTTGAGTTGCCCTCACCATTTTTCGCTCTGGTTTCCCTCCCTGAAAACTAAGTAGAGGGGCACTTCACTCAGCATAATGAATGATCGTCCACATGCACTCGCGAAAAACTAGCCTTAATCATCGAGACTATCTGCGGTATTGCCCAGAACCAAGCTAGGTCTATTGTTCACGTCGACAGACAACTGCCAAGAGGATTGTGGCTCCGATAAGCGAGAAGGAGGTGGGCCGCCGCGTGGTTGGGGTATGAAAGGGTCCCGGGGGGAGGGTTAGTTCATCATTTCTGGGTCGCTCGCGCTACCCTTCTATATGGATGAAAAAAAAAGTGGACGACGAAGCCAAGTAGCTACAAGAACATATGAGATAGATTGTTGTGGAAGTATAAGATCAACACGCAGTAGGTGGGATAATTAAAAATCATGTCGAGGATTAGAGTTGATACTAGTCGTATTAGGAAAATCAAGATCATGTCGGGGATTTTTATAATAATTGATACTATTACTAGTAGGATTAGGATTGGGTCCGCCGTCCACAGTTTTACCTGCCTTCTCGAGTAGGATTATTGATACTAGTATTACTAGTAGGATTATCAAAATCAAGAACATCGGGTTCCTTTCATAACTAATCTGACTCCACCACGCGGTACGAATGGTAGGAGTGCATCGTTTTCCGTGATGTCGGTTCCGGTGATGAATGTCGAGGAGCTACCTCCTCGATTTGCATGAGAACCACCACGCATTTTCTTGAAACTTGTAATTGCACTTTCCAAGAATGTCTTTGTAATTCTTGCAACTTTTTTTGAGATGTTCTTCTTGAATACGACCTCACGTTTCTTCTTCTTGTTGCTCATGCTCTATAAGTTATACATAGAAACGACACGTTTCTTGTTACAATGTAGTTGCTCTATAACACAGAAGGAGCGCAACTATCATGATGAGCTATTCTCGAGTTGTACTTCTAACTTGTTCTTGTAGGTAGCAGAGGTCATTATACGATGCTCTTTTTCGAAAAATCAGAAGCGAACTTGCGAACTTGACCGAGTCGTGTTCGTTGAAGTGTATTGTTGCATGGACAAGGGGTCGATTCAGGCAGCAGTGGAGCCTTGTATTTCGACCGATTGATGACACACATATCTAGCGATTTTCAAAATTGGCGATAGCCTATTTGTAACGTTGAAAGAGTAAGCAATGACATATCTAGCGATTTTCAAAATTGCCGATAGCCCACTTGTGACGTTGGGAAGCGTAATTTTGCTAACTTAGGCGTCTGGAGAGAGTGCTTAGTCATCGTCAGCGACCGACCGATGACATATTTAAGAACTGGCGATAGCCTCTCTCGGCAGTTGGCTTTTGCTAGTTGTGATTTAGCCCTCTGGACGAGAGAGTGGCGAGTCATCTCAATTCCCGAAGATGCACCGAAAATGGCTACGACACGATTTAAGCGGAACATCACCGTGCTTGCCGCCGTTGTCGAGGAAAATCGAAATTCCGAATCGATCCGTTGATAGTGTCAGGTACTTCTGAAGATAACAGGGAACAAGTTCTTGTACAACAATATCGATCATCGACAACTACAAGATATCCACAATATCAATGTTTCTCTGACGGACCATGAGAGCTGCGATTCCTGCCGCAAGAGACAGAAAACTAAAGAAGATCGCAACTGGGATCGACCGAGCTCCTTTGCTGCATTTTACCTCGACGCTTGGGCTGCAGTTAGAAGCGAATAAAAGACAAGTTGTAGTCGAACTCCTCGAAACAAGCTTCTAAACAAAAACGTGAAAGACCGTCCGATCCGTGGATGGAAGCAAAAGCTTGCAGTAGTAGCGGGAACACTCAACTAGTACATAATTCACTTTCACGACAGCAACTCAACCCTCCCAGCACTACTTAATAATCTTAATTCGTCAACAAACCAACACAACCAATCACACAACTCGTCCAAGTCTCATCTCTCTCTCTCCCATAACAGTCAACACCCCATCATCGCAATAGACGCGTAGGGGTACTGTTTTCCACACATCGTTAGGATCCTCCGGGTCCCTGGGGTATAAACACCGTAAAACACACTCGCTTTCATGCTCTAGAATGCTCGTTTTCGCGTTCGTTGTGAAATTGAATCCACAGGTACCCCAATGCAGTGACTCCACGTCAGATCCGGTTCGTTCTGCAAGGAACTTTAGACCTTCTTCTATTTAGTTGTACCGATTATATTCATCTTGGAGCGCATCTTCCTGTCTGACATCTTGTCTGTCCCTGGAGACGAGCACGTCAATAAAGGTCGTGCATTTGCTCAAGATGAACAGGGACAGAGCACGTCAATAAAGGTCGTGCATCTGCTCAAGATGAACGTTGATTGATTGATTGATTGATTGATTGATTGATTGATTGATATGCCTGACAAGAGGTATTCGAAAAACTGAAATAACCGAGTAACTACTTGAAATAAGCACAGTTAAGCCTGAACAAGGAAGAGTAGCCCTGTCAAACCTACCTACCTCCCTTATTTCAGTCACTTACTCGGTTATTTTCAGTTTTCGAGTAGGTTTGGGAGAGCCTTAAGAACATTATGATGTCACAGTCATCGGGCCTCCGACACCTCACGAGTTGGTCGCTGTTCGGACCGCCGTAGACGGAAAGGTAGCCATCGGGGCATTTGCAAGAGCCAAGGCCTACAGCTTCCGCAGTCAAGGGAGAAGAGTGGTAGACGGCAGTTCTTAGAGAAAGACCATGTGATTGCTCCGTTCATCTAGATGAACGCTGTCCGCCGTGGCCCGTGGGTGACTAAAAAATTACCAAGAAGTGCAAACCAAGATAAGTACTTCATGATAGTACGAAGACAAACAAGACAGCGGCAGCACTGGTTGTACAACTACTAGTAGTACTAGTAATACTAAAAAAGTTGGATATAACGTAGTAGTTACCCCCAGCATAATGAGTTAATGCTTGAATGCTCTGGACACACAGTGCAGGCTCCTGTTGTGGCATCGACGTAGTGATTCGTCACTGCAAGGCACTTACTTAGAGCTACCGCGTCGCATCCCTGAGCCGACATCCTTGCGCGCCATTTCCGTTTCCTCTTGAAAAAGTAAAAGAGGCCGAGGATGGGCGTGCTGAGGATGCTTCAACGGTAGGAGCCTTAACTTACACGATGTCACGTTTGCTAAGAGATTGTAGATCAGATCCATCGCGGATGATGTAGCAGTGGCTGTAATGGTCGTCGCAGATACAATTAAAGGCCAGCAGTCACTGTGGTCGCTAATGCTGAACGGAAAAGGCCCGCTTCAAAGCTCTCCCCTTTATTTCCCTTCATTTTCCCCTGTTCTCTCAAGGGACCCCCTCTTCGATCTCAGTGACTCCAATCTACATGGTGACCACTGAAACAACAAGTTGCGCCTTAATACAAGCGCTGTACTGTTCGTTCCGTTGGCTCCAAGGATTGTAGACGTAGTCGTCGTCGTTGTCGTTGCGGCAGCTGCCAATGCTTTTTCGTGCTGGGCCAGCATATTCTGGTAGAAATTGTACGTCGCAGAGGGCGACATCTCCAAGCTGTAGTACGCGTAGTTGGGCGTGGAAGGCTCGCCACTTTTCACGTCGTTGCTTCTTAGCAGAGGTGGTCCTCACCCTTGTTATCGTGGTCCATCGTGAGACGCATCCACCTGAGACAGTTGTCCTTCCCTTGCAAAGAATGAAACAAACGTGCTCAAGATGCTTCCGAGGATCGATGGATTGAGAGAAGCCTTAAGTTTGGATGGATGAACCGCATTTTTGTGATTGGCGGAATCTGCGATATGTTCAACCACGTAACCCGATTTGCTGGGCATGGGTCACACCGGTAACTGCCCAAGACTTGCTCGTAAGTCTTGAGATTGGGGTTGTATGTTAAGTTGGTGGAGGCGGTGCTAGTCGTATTTGACGTTGGCGCGACCGCTATGACGGCACTAGTCGTTGTTGTTACCGTCACTGTCGTACAGACCACCATTGTTGCTGTAGTATTTCCACTTGTCGTCGTGCTATTTGTCGTGGCACTTGTATTAGTCGAGTTACCTGTGGTCGCGTTAGTGGATGAGGCTGCTGTTGTCCCGTTCGTCGGTAGTACAACTGTAGTGCACACAGTTGTTGTAGCATTCGCCGCTGATGTCGTGCTGTTTGTCACGTTTGACGTTGTATTCGTACTGTTATCTTCTGCACTAGATGCACTTACCCCACTCAACAAAGAGAATCTAAAATGCGTGTTTTTGCACACACAATCGTCAAACATCGGTCGCTGCGACCAGGCTCCAATAGGACAATTGATACAAAGTTCCTCTATCGTCCTTGTTGACGTAGTTGTAGGCGTGGTACTAGTCGTAGTCACAGAACTGGATGACGCATTGGGCGAATCGGTAACACTACTAGACGAATTCGAGACCTTTTGTAAGCCGCGAAAGGTGCTTTCAGGACAGCGACAATCGTCCGCAGTTGTCGTTCGCAACGCGAAATTTTCGTGGTACTCTTGACAGTCGTACTGGCTAAAGCGCGTTACAAACTGCAAAGCCGTGGTGGTCGTAGAAGTCGTGGTAATTACGACCGGTGCCAGTGTTGTTACCACAGCACCTGTGCCATTGGAGGAATTGGAAGCGCCACCAGTTGTCGTTGGAGATGAAGTCGTCGTCGCGGGAGCCCAAGTTGTTGTAGCTGTCGAGCTACTGTTTGCCGAAGAAGTATTGGACGACGAAGTAGAAGTATCGCTTACATTACTACTTGGCGCTGTAGTTGTGTTCCCAAGAGCTGCTTTGTAAAAGCGATACTCTGGCCGTTCAAAGCATCCTGGCAGTTGAAGCTGTGTTCCACCCAAGACAGGACATTTTCCTTCGCACAGGTTGTCGCTAGGACCGTTAGAAGTTTCAAAATCAAAATCAAATGTCAAGTAGTAACAAACTGTGAGTAGCTGCAGGAACACTGAACACGAGTTAAATAGAACACGAGTTACTTGGTTGTAAGTATATCCGGAGATGATGGGACCTCTCTAGGTTCTGCTCTTCCTACGCCTGGTGAAGCTGCTTCTGTCCTCATGCGACACAGACACAACTACAAGGAGTTCCAGTTACAACAGCAACAGCATTAAACATAAAAAACGGCACATTTGTTCCTCCAGCTGCAACATTGGGCCTGCTAGTCCCAAACTGTGTAGGATGACATACGCAGTCCGTTGTACTGGTCCCTCCGCTGTGATCGGTCTTCGTGTACTCCACCGAGAGCCACGAGAAGGGACACACGGTACAGTTTCCGGGTAATCCAAACTGGCCATTGTCACACGCGCAACCAGCTGAAGGAATCGGAAGGGCTGCAGTGACAACCGTAGCGGTCGTTGTTGTGTTCCCACTCCCCGTGTCTTGTCCAGATGAGCTTGAGCTACCTCCTGAGCCCGCACCTGAACTAGTTCCTGAAGAACCTGAACTAGTTCCTGAAGAAAATGCTCCAGCACTGCCAGAACTCTCAACACTTCCTGTTCTCACCCCTATTCCTCTACTAGAAGTGCTTGTCGACCCAGCGCCATAAAAGTAGTCATGATTAGATCTTCTCCTTCCGGGAAGTAGTCACCATCTTGAAAGTCACCTTAGGCCTGGAAGGTCCCTTAGGCCTGGAAGGTCTTCCCTTAAAAGATCAGAAGAAGACTGGAAATTCACGACATTCCCCGCCAACTTCCCCTTCCCCGCCGCCCCAAGATCTATCATGCTACTTTCTTCAGATGAAAGAAACCAATCTCCTGTTGTAAGACTAAGAATGCTTTTGCTTTGAATTTGAATTTGATGAATAGTTCCCAAAGCCTTAACATACGTTGTTGTGCTACTAGTAAGTGTCGTGCTTGCCGTGAAAGCCAAGGCCTGGTCTAAGAGGAAGGCATCCGCTGGACAAGTGAAGGGCACTGGGATCGCGCTTGTGGTCAAGGCAGGACTGAGGGATGTGGTTTGGAGATGCCGTCCACGTTTTTCGGTATTGTAATCACGATTCCTTGCAGTGATGTCATCGTTATTTACTTGCTCTAGTACAACTTCCTCGTCTACTATTACGTGTTCAAGAACGGTGTCAACATCTTTATCTGTGTCTATCCCACTGTTCCCAGGCGTTTCGCTCACTCTTCGCAGAAGTGCATCCCGTTGTAGCGATATTGGCAAGTTATCTTCGAAATCTGACGAGGCAGATGAAGTAGTTGTAGATGATACTAGATAATCGAGATCTGTAATTCGTTCAACACGACCTTGACCTTCTTCATTCCTTGCAGGGATGTCTACTTCGGCTTCTCCTTCTTCACTGTATAATTTCGCTTGTCCCTGGTTTCTTAGCTTCTGCAATATTTTGGTCCTTGCCACAGCATCAAAGTAGTCTCCTTGATTTTTGCGATTTTCAAAGTTATTTGCAACTCCAGAGGTTATCGGTGCGGGCGGCAGTGCTGAAGATCGTAATCGGTGTGCCACATGAGAGGCAGCACCTCTTCTGCTACCGCTGCTGGCAGTATGCTGTAAAGGTTGTGCAGACGCAAGTTTTTCACTCGACGTCGCAGCTAGGTGCAGAAGCACGACAAAGCATAGCTGCGAGAACGAGGACGCAGAGCAACGTCGTGGCAAACGGCGTTCTCGTCTCCCGATTCCATCCTGTTGATTTTGAACTTGGTCTCTTTTCTCTTGACCTGCAGCTTTGCTCTTTCTTGCATTGTCATAAGAACAACAAAGAGACGAGGACCACTTGTCATCTTCTTCAGCATCGTTCTTGTAGTAGAAAGCATGATTGTCATAAACATCTCTACTCCCCCACCTCGTCCCGGCTATATTTCTTCTACAACAGAAAGACATCATCGCGCTAGATGAAAGTCAAAGTTCTGGATATATCATCGGCGTAAAATTTGCACCATTGGCTCACTGCAAGTAGAAGGAACCACTGCGTCCTTCCATCGGCTTCATATCTTATTTATCTGTATCTCTACTACATATTATGTTTATCGCTACGCATCATTCATTTTTCATCTTTGCCGAACAAAATTCCTAGGGACCGAGCATTCACTTTCACTTCTGGTGACCGAAAACGAACAAATTACATTTACAAGAAACTGCAGTCATGATGAAGATGCGTCACTCTCTCTCTCTGTACCTTCACTCTGTGTTAGCATTATCGCACAACTTTTGACACTTCCTTGTTCACGACCAATGATTTTCTAGAATCGTCATCATTTTTTGAAAAATGATTACGATTTCCGAAAATCGATATGTCATGTCATGTCATGATGGAACCTCTGTTATCATGTCATGAAATTGTCAATCTAATAATTATGATCACGACTTTCTACCTGTCGTCCTCGACAGGAAAAACTCCAAAATCACCGAGCAGTCGGTGTCGGTGACAGTGGTAGATCGTCCATGATAGCACTAGTGTCATTGTTAAGTACATGGTTAGGTTAGCGATGTCTGGCCAACGATGGTGACATGGAATGACATCTATACGAAAAAGTAGTAAGACTATCAACGATGAACTTATAGAGAGTATTAGTATTCCTTGAAAAACCACCGCGTTAGCGCCACTGCTCCGGAGAGACAACGAGTACTCCCACTTAGTCTTAAAGGAGCACTTCTACGAACCAAGTAAGCCGATGATCCCTACGATCCTGTGTTGTTCTTGGATGGTGGTTGCTAAGTAAGTACTCACTACAAACAAATAATGTGAAAGGACTAGTTTCAGACTCTTGTGATTAATTAAAGACAAGGAGTATCCCTGAGCCTGATGCAAGTAGATGATAGCCAAAGCTAATACCATCTACTTATGTAAGAACTAACTATATTTCGAACCGGACGTTCTTGTCACGCCTCGAATAATTTTAGAAAGTACTAAATCAAATGATTTGAGAATGAAGAGCCTAGACGTGAAGGTGACAAACATACAAGAAAGTCTGCATTACGATTACTTCTTCTACGTCTTGTTACTTCTACTAGAATCCTCACCTCCTCGTCTCGGCCACCTCCTCGTCTCGCCCATCTCGTCTCCTCACCTCCTCGTCTCTTACTCGTCGGCTTAATCTCTCATTCACCTTCAGCACGCGTTTCGTCGTGGTCCACTTCAGCACGCGTCTCGTCGTGGTCCACTTCAGCACGCGTCTCATCCTTGTCAAAGCTCTCGATTGTGCCACGCCAGTTTATGAGCGCTTCACAGCTGATTGTGTAAGGAAACAACAACGCGTTAGTCGTCTCAAATAGGTTCTGTCCTTCAGCACCCGCGGTTCGTTCAGCACAACAAGAGACACATAAATGCTCCTCAATTAGCTCCAGAGCTAAGCGGCGAAGCAAGGCAGCTTGCTTGATGTGCTTCACATCTTTGAGAGGCGGTAAATCATCGTCGTCTGAAGACTGCGGTACTTTAACGTTGACTTAGAGGACGTCGGACAAAAGAACTGTAAGGACTGTTACTGTTTAACAGTCCCAACTACAACAATAACTACAATTGACCACATAACCATATCCATAATCAAAAGGTACCTTTTCCTTTATTCTATAATTTCAAGATTGTCTTGCATGTATTTTTGATGCAGTCTAAAATCAAATAATGTAGTCTTAATTCATGCGCTTCAGCAACTCCGTCAATTTTTTCACTGCTTCCTGCTCTGCAGTTTCTATTGTTGTTGAAGCATCATCTTCACTGGCACTAGGAAGATCTTCAGGCCCGGAGGTAGGCGCTACAGCAGCAGGGGTATGATCCTGACGTTGCTCTTCTTGATGTTGCAGCAGTTGATGTTGATCCTCCTCCTGAAATGTGTGGTCAGCACCTACTTGGATCTTCTTCGTTTTCTTGCTAGATGCCGCTACATTTCCACCAGCTAGTCGAGAGGTATCCGAAGTGGTGGTCGCTTTGCCGTATGCTGAATCAGGATTCTCGGTGCCATATCGTAAGAGATGCTCGCAATCGCGTGCCTCGTTTTTTGACTCCCGCACTTGTCTTTCGTAAAGGAGTATGTTGAGCATCATTGTGCGGACCACTTCTTTTTCCTTTCTTGACAACTTCTCGTTCGGATCTTCAAATAAGTGCACCACAGCTTCATTTAGAGGCGTCTGGATAGAACACGATCTTTCAGCTCATTTCGAGTAGAAGACAGCCCAAAGAAGGCCATTTATGGAGGAGATGGCTGGGTGGAGGGTTCTTGCGGTTAGGCTAGGTGTGGGCCCACTAGAAAAACGAGTAGACATAGTTGGGTTGACTAATTGAAATTCCGTAATTGCAATTCATCATCACGTTTCTTCAGGTGACTATTCTCGTACACAGGAGAGTCCATCCTCCAGCCAGGACAAGCACGAAACAAACGCTCCCGCAGCGCCCGTTTCAAGGGACTTTCATCCCATGGCGTTTGTTCGACAGTATTTCTAGAAGCGGCAGAACATGATGAGGAAGAGGAAGAAGAAGATGCCATCTTCCCGTGAAGAATCGTGTTACTTGAAGATGATGAAGAGCAAGAACAAGATGAAGATGCCACGACTTCTACCTGATTTTCCATCGTACTTGATGAACTTGAAGATGTTCTTGATGAAGATGCCCTAATTGTACCTGGATTCATCATAATTGAAGAGCAGGGAGAAGATCCAACTTGTGCTTGGTTGATCGCCAAACGCGAAGATGACGAAGAAGAAGATGATGCTGTAGCAGAAACTCGTCGTCGTTCTCCTTCAACAAGAACTGTATCATCATTCGTTCTCGTCCAAAAAAAAGTGGGCCAAGGTGCTCCTGTGCAACACGCCCGAAACCTTTTCAGAAAATGATCCTTCGCTGCAGCTACAAGGGATCCAACATCAATCATGGGACCACAACCACGAACAACTAGGGATCCAACATGAACATTAATAGGACCACGACAAAAGTGTTCTTGAGCTGCTTGTTCTTGCCCAACTTGTACTTCTTCTTTTTGAAGCTCCTCTTCTTGTGGAATTATAGCTTCTTCTCGGCTCCTCATCGTATCATCCGTCCCCTGTCTACCTCTCGGTGCTGGCTTCTTCTCCACTCTGGCTATGTCCAGAACTTCATGGACAGACGCCCATAGGGCCTTCGAAACTGCACTCAAAGCTTGGACATTCTGCACGTACACTTGACCGGTCTGGTTATCGCACACAATATTGGCGCGACCTCCTGTTCCGTATGTAGCAGAGCAAATTTGTAGGAAGTTTATCAAGGCAGTTTGTTTGTTAGAAGAGGTGACTTTCAGGACCACAACCACAAGCAATGCCTAGTAGTACCTATGTATGTATGATTGATAAAAACGACGCCTGTTCCTGTTTCATGAAGGCTTTAGTCATTTTAAAATCAAGTTTATAACATTAACTCTTCATCTAGACGTACGAAGAGAGAAAGCGAGAGGTAACAGTTATGCAGGAAAAGCTTTCATCGTAACATCAAGAGGGCGAAAGTTGCTGCATTTTTCCAATTCCTGTGTTGCAAGTACAGTCTTGTTGTTGTCATCCAGATCAGCAGGACACGCAGGATCCATGTTCTCCTCCAGACGGCGTCTCTTTCCTTCTCCTTGTCCTCCGTCATGATCCTCATCAGATGAGCCCGGTTCCAGAGAGCGCTTCGAAGTGGTCTGTAACTCCACCACCTGAGACTGCGCATAAAAAGGCTCCTGTTCTTGATCGTGGTCCTCTATTGCTGTGTGCTCCGCTTCAGGAGAAGTCGCTTCTTCATCCCCCCCATCCAGGTGAACTTTCTTGCTCTGGTCTTCCTTTTTTTCCAGAAAGCCACGCTTTGTCCGCTCGGATGAAGTTTCTTCCGGTCTTTCGTCGTCCGTGCCATCATAAAGACTCCTTTTCTTTCCTGTTCCTACTTGATGCTCTTCCCGAAACAAATTTCCAGATGAGGACGAAGCTGCCGCGGCAACACCAATCACCGACCTCCAGAGAAAAACGCATGAAAATGAGGAAATATACACGGCAAAAAAATTAGCACGAGAACATGATGTTGACGTCCTTGTCCGCCTTGTCGCCCGAGATCGGATGGTGGTCTTTTGTTTGAATGACAAGAATGCCATTTTTTGCTTCTTTTTTACTAAATTCTCCACTTACTACTTAGTATGCCTTGTTTCGTGTTGTTTGCAAAATCATTCATACCTTACAAACTAACTTCTAAGCCGTGCCGCGGAGAAGAGAGGGAAAGACCACAAGCACAATAAACAACAAACAAGTGATGTAACACAACGATCAGAAAGAATCAAAGACTTATAAATAGAAAAAACTGAGAAAACAATGTCAAGTTTTGGGGAGAGTGAATGCTGGGGAAAATAGCTACCTTGGAAACCATTTGAATTTTTTTCCAACCTCCACGCATGTTAGAAGCATAGGAGTCAGCATGGACCGACGTAGAGGTAGATGGTTGGATAGCAACCGAAAAATGTTCTCTAGCAGGGAATCAACTGAGGCGCCGACATCAATTGAAACTGAGAATTTTCTCTAAAAGGCTCTTCAGAGATGGACTTTTTTCTTCGCCGAAGTACTGCTCAGCTTCAGCCATTGATTGAAAATTCTTCGATTTTCCGCAGGACTGATACTTGTCGATGCAGCCTTTTTAGCAAGATCAAAGCAGCACCTGTCGAACTTGAATTGGCCATAAGAAAACAACAGGAGATATGTACATCGTGCTCATGGGATCGACATCTTCGTTCTTGCAGCACTGTGTCTGTGGTCAGAACGAAGAGGCAATAAGTTGAGTAAGCAAAAATTGTCCTTGTCATGTCGAGCTCGAGTGTACAGCGTTGATGATTCTATGAATGATTCTTTCTAATTTTTCCAGAATGCTCGAGGACATTCACTCACCTCCAGCCAACATTGATTTGGTTGTATAACGACCACACACCCTAACCCTCATTCTTCCGAATTTACTTCAATGAAGCTGATCGTGATCTGAAATAAGATGCTCAACTAGAAGTAGATACGTAAGCCCACATCTACAACATAAACAGTCCTTTTACACGTGATCCGGCTAGATGGAAAATGAAGGCTCCAAGAGACATCAGCGCCAAAAAAGAAGCCACGCGCGTAGATGCTAAACCGCCGCCAAGATTAGATGAGGATAGGATAGGGTGCCTCCGCTACAGCTTCGAAACCACCAGTGCTACTACTATGAGAAAGAACTACTAGTACTTATACCTGTATGTAAGTATCTAGTACTGTAGTGCTGGTGGGAATAATACAAGTAAAAAGTACCTGCTCTTGACCTAGATCATAGAAATAGATGCAATTGCAAATAGCCGATAATTCTTGGGATACTACAACTAGTACCACTACCATCCTTGTGAGTAAAAAACAGATGCCTTACTTCTAGGCACAACAACTAGTGCCTCTACCTGTACCTTCTATTTCATTTTCATTTTGTAATAAATGCCCTTAACAACTTTACTCCCTCGCACCGCGAAGCTAACTGGAGGTCGGTTTTGCTCGCTGCGTTGATGCCGCCAGGTAGCACTAGAGAGCTGCACAGGCCCGACAGAGGTTCCCTTCACCAGATTCACGTCGCCCCCAAGACAGTAGACAGCACGTTCGCTCTGCACATGCTGACAAAACTCAGAGATACGCATGTGTAGACCTGAAGGTGAAGACGAGGGTGACGGGATGATCAATTTCTAAGGCACGAAAAAGAATAACAAGACTTCAAAATAAAAGCAGAGAGGTACGCTTAGACTTATTTCTTACCCGATTCCTGCATTGGAATCAATTGTTCCAAACCATATAATTCAAAAAAAAGGTAGCAGACAAAACCTACCAATAAGTCCCCTAGCTGTGTCTTGCTGCCAATCCCATTGCAGCGAGTAGCTCTGGATGATGTCCGGACCTGTAGCCTGACTCCCATGGGCTGAGTTGGCTTGTGGGTACTGCAGAGTTATGAAGGAGAATGGGGTTGTAGAAGTACTTATAATATAATGTAGTACTTGCAGTACCAGTAGGAAAGGATGGCAATGATATAAGTATCATCTAGAAGATCCTCATGCTCATACTTTCTTTCATCTAGATATAGACACTATTCTTACCACACAACTGCGCTCTGATCTACAGCTTCATCAGCTACTCTCAACATGAACATAAACGTTGGAAAAAGCAGAACAGTCGGATTGGCCCAACGATAACGTTTTGCGTGGTTCGCGAAAGCGTCGAAGAATTGTTGATCAATACTTTGTGAGGGACCTCCACTAGGGTTTTTGTTCGTCATTTGTTCTTGATCTTTTGGTGCGATTGCAGCAAACATCATCTTGTTCTGGGAAAAGTGCAAGTCGTCATCTTGTACTAGTTGCAACTGCGGCTTAATTTCTTGTTGTTCTAGTGCATTTGCGCCAGCATGATTGGCTTCTTCAGTAGTCCTCGCAACACCCTCTTTTCCGCGTGGAAGAAGTTCTGCCGTGCCTGTCAACAGTTTGAATTCCGGAAACGTTATGTCGACTTTGTCAGGTTGAGTAGAGGTTGGCTGCATAAACGTGGAGGTTGATGACTTTTCTCCACCAGGAACAGCTACTCCACCAACATGAACGTTACCATGGTCAAACGCCATATTACTAGCAAAATTGACGCTGGACGAGCTCTGTTGTTGCCCACTGCCGGTGAAAACCAGACTGTCAGTGTGAACCATGCCGCTCATGAACGAAGACAGGACCAGGTTTGCGTGCAAATGATACACCCGTTTGCGATCGAAGCTCGTCTGATGCATTTCCACACCCATATGCAGCGAGACCAGGTTGGATCCGGAGACGGAGGCGGACGTGTTTGAAGGTCATGAAAGTAGGAGAGAGCAGTAGGTTGTACTGGAGGCGGTGAGTCAATGTCAACTAGAACGGTGGAATAAATGATCATGTGGAGGAACTGTAGTTCGTACTTGGACCTCTCTATTGGAGGTAAAGGATGGAGGTGACGGATGGAAGAGATGAAGAGAGGGAATTCTTGCAGAAAAGGAGTCACAAAGTGGTAGTGGAGAAGTAGAGGACAAGCCGTGCTAGGAAAAGTAGTGTTGCACAACGACACCCCTTGATGTTCCCCTAGAAGAAGTACATAAAGTAGATATCGACAACAACCCGTGATCAGTCACGACAGTTCTCAGTAAGTGAACCATAACTCCAATCTCGTCCCCCAAGTCCAGTGAAAATTCCATGTGAGCAAGATTCCCCCTGCAACGACTTGAGAACCGACTGCGTTGTTGCTGGTTGGGTATTGGAGGGTTGGAAACAACAACGCATTCGCATCCTCCCACACTGCCGACTGTTGAACTTCACGCACCACAGCATCGAAAAAGTCTTGATTGTTTACCTTGACGTTGACATCAGGAGTTTTAACATGCTCCTGCTGGACCTTAGTGAAGTTGTCAATACTTTTGAAGTTGGACAATGAAGGAGCTCCCGCTGTGGTATTTTTTCCTGCTGTAGTTGAAGTAAAAAAAGCTACAACAGGACTTGTTGTACGAGCAGCAGAATCTGTGGTGGAAGACATCAAAGATGCGGTGGACTTCTTGGTCTCTTCATTGTTCTCACCTAGCTGAATTTCGACCATTGGGTTTTGTTCTTCCAACGTCGTGTTTTCTTCAACAACTACCTCGTCCCCTAGCCACTTCTGCTCACCCTGCTCTGGTTCCACTTCCACATTATTGTTCAACTTGGTAGACGAGGTGGACAACTTTTCATTTTGATTTTTATCGTCGTTGTAAATGAAACTCGGACCAGCCATTGTCACTACAAGAACTTCAGGTTCACTACGACTACCATGAGAAGACGAAGCTGAAGCCAACAACGTTTTCTTGATGTCGGCGAAGACCCGGTTGATATGGTCCACGTATCTTCCGGTCACACTATCAGTATCCCCCATGGCGATGGCATTTGTTTTTGTCGTCTCTGTTGTAGTTGTAGTTCCTGAGTCTGAGTCTTTCTTGAATGCCAGAAACAAGACGGTCAAAAACAAGAAGGCTGCCGCAGAGCCTGCGACACCGTAAATGAGACAACGGCCCAGACGTCGCCAAATCGTGGGTCTGGAAAACGATGATCCCTCCATGCCAGGATCAGTCTCCTCCTGAAGAGGAACTGCTCCAGGTCGTGCATTCGAAGTTCTTGTATTCATCTTTTTAGTCTTGATGAGTTTGCGTGGATCAGTGTGGAGAAAGTGGAAAGTGGAGTTGTTGTAGCCTTGAATGAGATGTTCTGAAAAAGTGCTTGAGTGAAGTACAAAAAAAGATAAATTTAAGCTTTTTAGTTTTACTCGTTTTTCGTGTTTTTCGCCAGTACTATGTAGACATCCTAGATCCGAGTACTTCTAGATCCAGTTGTAGTTGATGTAACTAATCTCCCTCATCTAGAACTTCGCCTTTTTTCATAATCACAAGGAATAGATCAAGTCGATGGATGATCGTTCACCCAAAAGGATTGACAATAACAACAAGGTCCTCTTCTCTCGCATCAACGATCAAGATCAAGCTAGATGAATCTGTGGTATGATCGCCGCTTCTTTCCCAGAGGAGGTGCAGGCGCTCGCCTCTCCGTGTACATTTTTCTTTTGGAGTGAACATTCATGCTTACTTCTCCAAAGGCAACACGAGCTACAGACAGGAGTCTCAGCCTCACAGTATATAGTCATACTTCTGTTCGATTCTAGAACACGATCTTCTTCGCAGCTGCGTCGCATGTCTCCACATTAACGAACCAAAAGAGTCTTCAATTCGCGATCGAATTTTTTCCTTATGCATGCTGTTGCTGTTTTGATTTAGTATCCTAAGTATATGAGGAAAAGTCCATTGCTATCTCATTTGAATAATGTAGTTACGAAGTTCCATGAAGATCATTCATTGAGGATGACAACTCTAGAGACATCTATCTTCACCTCATACTAGTACGGCTATACTTTCTCGATTCATGCACATCATACTCATGATAGTCGTACTGTACTACATCATTTTTTAAGTAAGTAACAAGAAAGAATTATCAACTATGCAATTTGAACATCAAAATCGTGCTGACGAATAATTTCAACATCATTCACATTTTCTTAAGAACATGCGAAAAAGTAGTTGATTTCATTCGCACGTCTTACGGTCACGACTGGGTGTCGCACTGTGACAGGTCTGCATTAGGGATTTCGTCCATGTTCTTCGCTTCTATGTAGCCTTCGTACTTGCCTTGGCAAACACACCATTTTTCTTTGCTTGTTTTCCCGTCTCCGCACCAGTTATGAGGCCCTGTTTGATCCGTCACAGAACAAAAGTCTGCTGGAACAATCGGCAGAAAGACGCAATGGACGACCCCCGAAAATCGTGCGGGACATTCCCACCTGGACCAACCGCGTTCCCCATCGACATCTTCTCCTCCAACTTTTGATGAGTAGACGTGGTGGTCTGAAGTTGGATCTTGTTCTCCATGCGTCCACCGACCTCGTTAGTTGCACAGAATGCGGCAACGATTACACCGAAACGCAGCTTCGACATTTTCTATTTCTTTGGAATTCGAAAATAATGTACTATAAGAGAACAAAAAGAAACAAGATTGTGAATCCAATTCCAGGAAGAAAGAAGAACGCACGTCGATGTAACTACTAACTGTGAAGTGATTACTGAGGTAGTTGTTCTTTGAAGAAGAATAATTTGAAATTTGAAGTTGTTCTTTGAAATTTGAAGATTGGGAACAGAAGATCGTCTTCGTCTCAGATCAACTAGCTCTACTAGGCTCTCCGTCTCGTCCCAGATCCACGACCAGATGACACGTCTCAAACTCCAACAACTCCAACTAGTTTTATTAGGTTCTCACACAGCCGAGAGACCACTGAGACAGATAAGTAGATAAGTAATAGAGCTCACACTCAACACGACAGAAGATCTTCGTACTACATGGAGCCAGTCCTCTCTGACTCACATACACGACTAACGACAGACACAGATCGAGGTAGTAAATGTTGCCCAGATCAGTACACCGAAACTGTCGACGGGACTGCTTTATGCCAGACTTCTTCCTAACAAATGGGTCCGATATCAATTCGCTTACATTCTTGAATGGAACGGCGTCCCTAGGAGCCGGAAACATCCAACACCGAGCGAGGATAATCTGCTCAAATTCGATTCGATGAAACGACGTCAACGTATGTTGCGAAGAATTCGGAACACGAAAACAACTGCATTATATGCTTCCTTATACGATTATGATTCATACACAAATATGCTTGGGCAGTACGACGAAAGGAGCTAAGAAAGCGTGCTGCGTTGTTCACCACCACGTCAGAACAGATTATTCACGCCGCTTCTACTTCCTCAGCCTTGTCTAGAGCTTCTTGTTTTGCCGCAAATTTGAGGAAGATTTGCTCCATCGTCGGTTCGCCGATCATGAAATCGTCAATACACTTCAGACGATCTTCCCAACACCAAGCAAACAGCTTTCCCATAGGCAAGCTGGCTCGGTCCACCCCGAAGACCACACGGAATCTGCCTTGCGAAAAGGCGTGCTGTTCTAGTACGAAGAACGCGTTGCTCATCTTCCCCTGATGCTCGAGACCGAAAACGTCATGCAAGATCGCAGTGCGGACCCTGTTCACTTTCTCGTCTAGTGTAGCACACAACGGGAGCGCAGGACTTGTACTAGTTCCATTTTTCTCCACATGATCTTCATCTTTCTTGTCTTCGTCTTTCCCGTCCAACACAACCTTGTCGTCCCGAGAAGACGATGACCACGAGGATAAGAAAGAACAGTGCAGCACTAGTTGACAGACATTCCCGTGAACCTCCTTCACGCGGCTGAGGCTGCCCAGGCACTGCAGCTGGCCTGCCACCATGATCCCCACGCGGTCGCAGACGGCCTCAACCTCTGCCATGCTGTGCGACGCTGTGATAATAGTTTGCCTTGGAGGCTTCAGGTGAGACATCTTCTTCCACAGCAGCCTCTGGGAGACGATGTCTACTCCACCACTGACCTCATCGAGCAAGAGGACCTGGGGATCCGTGATTAAGGACAGAGCGAACGACAGCTTGCGCATCATGCCGCCAGAATACTCTCCGACCGGCTGGTGGTTGTCCGGATTCAGACCGACGTCGCGCAAAATCTGCGCAATAATTTCATCTTGCTTCGTCTTCGTGTGATGTCCCGAACTTCTACGAGATGAAACATTTTTCACTACCATGTACAGTTGCAAGTGTTGTTGCGCACTGGCGTATGGAAAAAGGTGCTTGTCAAATTGAGGCACGATCGCCATTTTCCTGTACGCGTCGGCAAACCCGCACTGCGTCACATTTTCTTCCAAAATACGGATGTCTCCCTCAGTCGGCCCCCCGATCTTGTCCCACTTCCCACTTAACAGTGTGAACATTGTCGACTTGCCCGCACCGTTGGGACCGAGCAAACCAAAAACCTCGCCAGAGTGCACACCGAAGCTGACACCATTCAACGCCCAATTTTCTGCAACTACTGTACTAGTAGTCCCATTGGACTTGGAGGAAGTTTCGAATCTCTTCTTCACGCGAGACACCAAGACAACATCTTCATCGACAACGCTCTTCGAACACGAAGTTGATGTCTCTGTTTCTGCGAAGTGCTTCTCCACGCGTTTTTCCTCAACAACCACATCTGCGTCACGGTGATCATCGTCTGCTTTCAGCCGTTGTTCCTCACAGGAACTGCTCAGGACGGCCGCCGCCTGTTGTTCGGTGTCCGCATTTTTTGCTTCGGCTTCCTCATCTGATACTGCTGCACGGCCTTCTGCTTCAGCTTCGACGGATGATGTTGACAGCAAGAATTCTTCCTTGTGGATGTGGGCAGCAGTTGATGTCGTTGTAGATTTCTTTTTGTTCTTGCTTTCTCCCCGACGACCGCTTTTCTCCTTGATCGCTTCCGATGCCAACAAGATCACGAACAGCACAAAACGAAGTGCGAATCCGGTAAAAAACCCGACGAACGACATTGTGTGCACGAACTGTAGATAGTCCGTCGCGCTCTCCCATTCAGCATTGCGGATGCGGTTTTTGACCAATTCCTCCCGTACAACGGCTTCCGGTGAGGTTCTTTTCGCAATTTGCTTCACCTCAGTCGCCGGCGTCACCGCGTTGAAGAGATTTGCAAGCTTATCTGGCAACTTCCCCTTCAGAAACAAGTTTCCCGCGACGTTTGCCCTCGCTCCGCCGTACCAGTTTTCGTCGAACAGCGCCTCATCGAGGACATGCATCTTCTGCTCAAAGTAGTCCCTGTTTTGCCGGTCACCAGAATCCATGGCCGCAATGCCTGCTCGATACCGCTCACTAGTGCTCGCCGTCTCGAACGTGACTTCGCTGTTCTTTTCGCTAAACCGGTGCAGCTCCTTCCGATATTGGTGCAACCAGAGCATCAGCCGCTCTAGCTTCATCCCGTGACTGTAGAGACCCGCCGCACCCGTGTGTGGAAAGAGCAGAGGAACAAGGCCAAACTGGAAGGCCGCCAGCGTTTTGCCCACGCTCATCTGCAGCGAGGTGTCTCCGCCGCCAGCCGGGAACAACCCTATTCCCGCGATACGAGTGTCCAAAGTGACGACTTCGTCTCTCTCTGGCTGAACGTCCTTCACCTCATTCCACGCCGCCGAAAACAAAACCAAGGGCATGATGGTCCCGACCATCAAATACAGGACTTGTACTCCACTACCCACGCTGCCGAACAGGGCCCCATACACTGTCGCATCCACCGCGTAGACAATCGCGGCCACCCACAGGTAGATGCCACTCATGGCCGTTGGAGCATGCCTCCACGGGGGCCAGAGGCACTGGGCGGCGAGCGCGAAGCCGAGGATCATGGTGAGAAGCGACGGAAGCAGGTAGAAGAGGAAGCTGCCGAGGGTGTACGCGGTTTTAGAGACGCCGTGGATGAGCAGATGCGCGAGGCGTCCCTCCTCGCGTTCCTCACGGAGGCGACCGGAGTAGAGCAACTGCGAACCGCCGAGAAGGGAGAGGATCAGAAAAAGCGAGGAGGTGAGCGAACCGGCGTCGCGCAAGACGTGATTGCCCGTGCGGGGGGTGGTGCCCGCGAGGCCCCACAGGAACGCGACGCAGATGAGGCAATAGATCACGACTTTTCGCGCGTCCGCCTGTACGCGGAACAAAAAGATCGCTTTGACTTGTTCACAAGAATCGAACACGCGCTCGTCAACATCTTCAACAGACGTCCCCGAGGAAGCCTGGGAGACACGGCGCGCAGTCTCTAACTCTTCCTCCTCGCCTTCTTCTCCAACGGCCTGAAAAACTTCATCGAGAGTCGTCTTCTCCACGGTGACGCGCGGGTCCAAGCCGAACGCGGAGCCGTTCTCTTTCAGATCGTCGAGGATGTCGGGAATCTGCCTTGCTGCACTAAGCGGCACGAGGCACTTCAAATGCTTACAACCATGCGCGTCGGCTTTGGTCACGAACTGGAGCTCTTCTCCAATTCGTGACGGGGATGCTCCTCCTGGGCGGGTAAGCTTCTCGGCAACGAAATGGCGTCCAGCTTTTTCCAATAAAAGCGCTGCTTGTTCTTGGATCAAGGACTGCTCTTCCGAAGTAGAACAAGTTCTCATCTTCGTTTTGTTCCCGTGTGTAGATCTAGACGTCGAGGTCATCCTCTTCGCGTCAAGCTGGAGTGTGAGCCAAAAGCCCAGGCCGAATTCTTGTTTCATTTCCGCGCTTGTCCCTTTCGCCACGACTTTCCCATGCGACAAAATCACCTTCTCCTCCGCCAATACGTCCGCTTCGTCGAGATAGTGGGTCGAGAACACGCACGCCCTGCTCTCCTCGCGACACACTTCCTCCAGCAAAAGCCAGACGTCGCGCCTCGCCTGCGGGTCCAATCCAGAAGTGGGCTCGTCTAGAACCAGAAGAGAGTCTTTTCCCTGTAAAAGAGCGCACAGCGTCCACATGCGCCGCTTCATCCCTCCGCTCAAGTCGCTGCACAGCGTGTCCAACTTCTCCTCCAAGCCAAGGCGCGCCGCGAACCTCTCCATGCGAACTTTATCAACATCTTCTTCCGACGAGGGGTCCTTCTGTTCTAGAAGTTGTCCTGCGCGTTCGTCCTCCACGACCGTCTGGTGACTGGTGTGACTTCGACTGATCGCCAGAAAAAACTGTAAGTGCTCCCGAAGAGTGTACCCTGGCCACATCGGGTTTTGCTGCGGACAGAATGCCAAAAACTTCCGGACCTGATCCGGATGGTGCCGCACCGAGTAACCGTTGATCCAAGCGTCGCCGGAGGTTGGAGGAACCATTGCGGTAATCTGCCGCATCAAGGTGGTTTTTCCCGCGCCGTTATGTCCCAGCAACGCAAAGATCTGACCAGGCTTCACACTAAACGAGACTTCGCTGTTCGCATACTTCTGCCCATCAGAGTACGACTTGGACAATGTGCAGATCTCCAATGCGTAGCAGTTCTTCTTCATCTTGTCGCTCTTGATACTCGAGGTCTCTTCCCCTTCATCGTCCTGTCCGGACGCGGTTGTCGCAGCCTGGTGCTCTTTCCGCGTCGCCCGTACGAAAAGGCATGCCCACAGGCAGAGGTTCAGCACTGCGGCAACGTAGTCGAGCGTCAGCGGAAGCCAGTAGTGCACTCCCTTGACCTTTGCCCAGGTGGCCGCCGACTGCGTCGTCACGAATCTGAACGTTCCCGCTTTGTCCGTGTCCATGCCATACACGGCCTCCGACGGCGGCCGTGGATTCCCTGTAAACGCGCACCAGAATACGGACCGAGCGTCCGGCGGACTCGGCAGTTGCGGGCTCGGTAATTGCGTGCTGTGGTTCGCTTCCCGCGCGTGCGCTTGCCGCAGCACCGCGGACAACATTGTCTGATCAATCCACAGCTTCGTCGCCGTGTACCCGGGAATAATACTCCCAAACACAAAATGGAAAAAAGTCCCGAAGTACGCCAGAACATGGTTCTGCCTGTTTGAAGCACACCACGAGGAGGACGGGCGGTCCAGATAGAGCTTTTCGAAGGCTAAATTCGTAATTTCTGCCGTGAAGCTTGCTGGCTGCTGGAAGAACAACTCTACAAAGCCGAACAGCACAAAGACGAGCAAGTGTCCGATTCCCAGTTGCCCTTTGATCGCATCCGCCTCGCCCTGCGACCGGCCCGCTTTCAAACCAAGAAAGGCCGCGAAAAACAAGCCAGAAATCGCCGGGAAAAAACCCATCGCGAAAACCGAAGCGATGAAAGAGAAGATTGTTTGGTCTTTCAAATTCAGTAGTAGGCTTTGGCGAGAGAACGGATCCCCATGCCCATTCGGATTGTTTCTTGCTTCCCCTGCGATCCACACGCTCGGCAGCAGGCTAATGCCGACGTAACTGATAATCACCGGAAGGAACAAAGCAGTCCATAGGGAAAGGAGTTTGGCGGAAAAGTAGGTCTTGGTGCTCACCCCATAGATTTGGATGACCTCGGACATTCCGTTAAATCGATCCGCAAACACGTGCGTGTAGGTCGCCGAAATGATCCCAGCGTAAAAAATATTCGCGTACGTCAGCGCACCGAAAATCAGCAAAAACAAATACAGGGCAAACATCACGCCAGGGTGGTTCGCGTCCGGCCAGTCGTCGTAGGTTCTCAACCCAAAGACCGTGTAAATGGTAGGTTTCTTTGGTATTTGAAGACGCTCTCCTCCATAATTTCTAGAAGTAATCTGAGATATATCGGTTCGTCCACTCAGACTTCTATGTTCGTCCATAGAGACTAAAGTGAGAAAAGCCGAACCAACGACCGCATTTCCACCCTTCATCTCAGTAGAAGCCGAAGTACTGCTCGGATGTTCTGCATTTCTACAGGTACTCTGTTCGGCCACCTCCACCCAGGCGCCCTTGATGGGCTGTAGAGAGGGCATCAGCAGCGGCATCACGACAGCGAGGAGGATGGTGATCCCAATAGCCATCTGCAGCAGAGCTTCGCATCCCGGAGGCAGTCGTGAACCACAACTCGTGCACGGAAACACCCCGAACAACGAACGGAAATTCTGCTTCAGGACGAGAGAAAAATGGGACCACTTGGACCTCATCCTCTTCGAGTTCGAGGAACAAAGAAAGCCCTTCTTGGTCCAAGATAAGTACTATCGCGCTGGAGGAGCGCGCCACAGCACGCTGCGAACCGGAGGTGATGGAAACCGAAACCCGTTCTTGCGGAGAATAGGCGATTGCGATACCCTAGTTATTCATCTTTGACCTTGATCCCCTCTCTAAACCGCTAGTGTTCATCTCCTTCTGATCATGCGAATGATGTTAAAGTTCTAGAAGTAAACCGCGTGTTCTCCTTCTCATCTCGGATCAACATCGAAACGGTTCCAAATTGGCCTCAGGATCAGTCATGACGCAGTTTATCCGCCAATTCCGGCGATCGTCTCACTCCCCCAACGTCAACATATTCTCTTCCATCGTCATTTATCGTCATTTTCCCTTCGTCAACTACAAAAATCATCATTAGAGAAAGATAACATTGTTTGATGTTTGTTTTAGAATTGAAAGAAGAAGTTGTCAACCTTTTCGTGATCAGGTACGTGATCAGCAGTCTCTGTGCAAGGGTGGTGCATTATCATTGTAGTGTGAGGTCGAAAGTGTGTCAACATGGTTAGCTTACTAGGAATCCTTGAGATCATGTAAGGAGAAGAGTGAAGAAGATACACGTCGTGGTGATCAAGACAAAAATACAGTCTAGAACTCTTCGCGCTCAGCACGACTCCAGATTCTTGTAGAGGATCAGCTTCAACACGACAACAGACAGAGTATCGGGTTCGTCAAAGACTGCAACCTTCATGTCCTTCTAAGCAGTTGCTCTCACTCATATGCACAGATGATGATGTGTCAAAGACTCCGACTGGGTTTCATGACAGACGGTCACGGTGGTGTCTTCTAGGGCGTGAATTAGGACAGAGGATGATTTTGAACATTATAGATTTAGATACACATGGTACAGCTACTTATTTCAGGTTACACAGTATTGCTCACACTCACACAGAAGATAGGAGAAGACGACAGACAACAATCATTTTGCACAAGAATAGCTCAAAAAAAAGACAAAGAGCAGTTTCTCATGATCAAACGGATGAGCACTTTGTCTGATGTCCGCGATTTTCTCAATAAAGATGAATATCTTCGCCATATTACTGTAATTCTACTGATTTCCGATTGTGGATAGGCTCGGATGCTTCGTCCACACAGCCACGCGGTCGACCCGCTGAAGCGCTAAAAAGCGCACGATCCTCTTCATTTTGTACTCCAAGAGTTCGGGTCGTAGTCCTCACGACGGACCACGTTCGTGTCTAAGTGTAAGATACATTTTTTGTTCCATCTTGACTAGGCTGCGCGCGAACATGGATTGATGTAGTATTCAATGAAGAGTGCACTTAAATATTTCATTATGGAACAATTGCAAACTAACACAGATGAATGACTACATCATGATCTTCAACTCTAAAAAAATAGATACTTTTGTACACGAAGTCAGCGGATTCTCAAGCAAGTAATCAGTTGAACCGAAGAAGACCAAGATCTTTACATCTTCTCAAACAACAAAGTGAAAGTGTTTATCAATAGAGCCAAAGCACGAGTCTTTCTGCTAGTGCTCGAGTCCCGTAAGTGACAGACAGAGACAGCAGGAGGCCACTTTTTAGATAATGTTGACCTCTGATGAGAGGTTGTGCAACTATATAAAAAAGCGTCCTCTTCGACAACTGCAAGTTGCAGTTGTCGAAATTTGCGCTGTGTGTACTATGGCACACTTCTCCACGGGTGCGTTACAGCACCTGCTTGTGCTTCGTCCCTAGTTAATAATGAAGAGAGGACTAGATTGTAGTACTAGGTCGTTTAGGGTACTCAGTTAATAAATCTAAGATGTTGAAGTAGCATCTTTGTCCCTAGTTAATAAGTCTAAGATGTTGAAGTAGCATCTTTGTCATGTGATGGCATCGATCCCCATTTCCTGAATGTACTACTACTTCAGGTGTGAGGACGTGCAGCATCTCTATGTCTCCATGAAGTGTAATTCTCAATCGGGTGCCGCTCTGACATCAACTGCATCCTTTCCCCAGAAGCTACAGTAGTTGTTGCAGCTAGAAGAAAGCCTAGCATTGGTGCCTGGGTCTACAATTTCCTGCAATGGTTCCACTCAATTACCCCGCGGGAAGCCTGAAGCACAACGGCCAGGCGCTAGTACAACTACGCAAACGATTACGCAAACGCCTAGGGCACTCACACAGCGCAACCAAAAGCTTTGCCCCTTCGTCACCCGCGGGTGAGGTAATGGGGGAAGCTGCCCGGCAGAGGGACACCCTAACGAGGAGGCACGTCCGCTGACAGCAGGTTCCAAATGTCGATCTAAAAACTATAATTCTACTTGAGAAGGCCGTCTACAAGACCTTCTCCTGAAGTTTCTTCTTTTGTTGGTAATATTCTCGGAACCGGAAGACCCCATGGGCCACGAAGTCGAAGCCTGTCTCGGAGGGTGGCGGACTCGTCTCTGCACGCATCAAAGACCAAAATCCCCAGATCAAATTGCTTGCTAGTCTTAGAAAGTGAGGATGTCTGATGAACTTGATTATACTGTAGTCCTCTTGCTCGTAGGTGTACTAGCAGTGGAGGTGTACTAGCAGTGGAGGTGTACTAGCAGTGGAGGTGTACTAGCAGTGGAGGTGTATTAGCAGTGGAGGTGTACTAGCAGTGGAGTTAGTAGGTGTACTAGCAGTGGAGGAGTTCAACAAGTTTAAATCTAGCACAAATTTTTTTTTGGAGTTGCTAGTGGTCTTATTAGAAGAGGATGAGGATCATCGAGGAGCATACTTAGTCTTAGTGGAAGAAGTTAAATTTTCTAGTCAAAATGATCAGAAAGCCGCTCTTAACAGTTGGAGAATATGCGTATCCTCAACGAAGAGATCCACGTCCTGGTCAGAGAGTGGTACTGCTCTCGACACCAAATTTTCCAAGTATTTTCGCACAAAAGCCCGCTCGCCCTCAGGGGTTAGTCGGTCTATTAGAAGAGATTGCTATGGTGCAAATGCGATGATCCTCCCACTACTACTTATCAACACCTTCAGCATGATTTGTTGTTCTTGGCTCAGGAGAGTTAGAATACCTCTTCACCTATTGTTCCGTCAGCAACAGGAACAAACAACAACTTACTTACTACAACCTGAACATGTATGATCTACTCCAAAAAAAATAAAAAGCAAAAGCAAAACCTTACTCTTTCTTAAGTTTTCAAAGTCCACGCGGAACCCTACGGCTGTCACCGCTTCACCATCCTCAGGGGTGATGTTGTAATCCAGGACAAATTCGTTCCAGAAGTTTGCCAAGTCATATGCAGCCAGATTGATATCCGCATATTCAAAATCAATCATACGGAGAAGAAGACGGCTTTGGGTAAGGCTTGGAGATGAAAATGAAGATGATCGAGTAGATCGTTTTTCTTCAGATGAAGAAGATGTGCTCAAACGAAGAACTAGATCCTGCGCTTCTGCTTCAGGAGCACCACGACCTCCAGGGACATCTTGATGTTGTTCCTCTTGTCGTCCAGCACATCTACCGGGAACAAGCATCAAATTGTTCTCCTGTACGTCGTTATGGCAGAAGACTGAACGTAAGCCATCTACAACTACGTCGCGAGAGGCGGTTTCAGACGCATGAGAGCCAGTGTGGGTCTGGGACTTTTTTCTGCTCTCAATGCGGTCTTCGAGATACTCTGCAAGCCATTGTGCTTCGCGGGCAAGGGCGATGAATTAGAAGGTGCTAACGGCTATTTAGTAGATGCCAAACGAGGACCACGATCGGAAATTCACAAAAAATCAAACATCTTCAAGAATTCACATAAGTCACATCCGCATCAGTAAGCTCGCCACCAATATCGTCCTCCATGTAAAGATCCGCAGCCATTTCCCTCATCCTTTTCCATGCGGCTTCACGAGTTTTAGAGAAGTGAAGCCGCATGTGCTCACTTAGGAATAGATGTTGATCGATGAGTTCATCAACGACCGTTCTCTCGTATCTAAGACTAAGACGCTATATTAGCTATTATCAATACTAATACACTGGGAGTAAGGAGTCATCGTCATGTGCCCATTCATGAAGTTGTAAGGAGTAATGAGTATTATTTTTCATCATTATCATTTTTCATAACACTTGTAGACCAGTTTCGAAGCCAGCGGAGGATACTCGGGACAGATTGTCCCATATCTTTTTCAGGATGTTCGAGACCATGAAATCGTGCCACTTGCTCTGCAACCTTAAGAGGTGTTAGTTGGGAGAGGTGTCAGGCCTACTTGCTTTGCGACGTGAAAAGCTGTGATATGACTTCTATTGCGCGAAGGTAGCATTCATCATCTCGTTCTCGTGGTGCTAAGATAATATCTTTATCTTCACTATTATCAATAGCAGTGGCAAAAATCTGCAACGCCTAGATGCTCCAAATGATGACCTAGACATAGACACAATGCTCTTTTTATTTTCGTACCATAATCATAAAACAAGAACTTCATCAAAAATTAGTACCTTCTCTAAAATGTCTCTATTTCCCATTTCATTTGTGGCGACAGGGGTTCCCGGCAGCCACTCCTCTATGCGCCAGCCTGATCCTTTCGCTATCAATTTCGGACCAATTTTGTTTAGACGATCACGATGGAAAGCAAGAAAACATGAATCTTAAAAAAGCGCAGAGCTATCAACAAGTCAGTGAGTCTCAGTTTATTATTGTAGCCTCGTCGGACTTCGGTGAGCTTGAAGACAAAACTAACTATCAAGTGTGGTCCGTCCACTGGGCCAAAACACTGATTGCGACAATGCCCGTCAGGCTCAACAATCAAGAACATGCCATGTCATGTTGCCTCGTGGTCCATGTGGTCAAATGGGTATGAGGTCGTTCAGTCATTTTGTACCTTCTAAATAGAAGAGCAAGAAGACCGACTGATATACTATCAAGGATGTAGCCAACGGGAGCCACGATTCATGGCCGCTGCCACGGCGCTACTTGGCAATTCAAAATGATAAGGTAGACCGAGGAAGACCAAAGTACTGATATTCTTTTTACAGCAAATGAAAAACGGTCTGAGCCTAGAACTCAGAACTTTCTGCTGCCAATTATTTAAAAATGCATATTTCATACACGCTACTGCTATTTTATTAGCCTCAACTTCTTGTTGTCGCTGAGGAATTCGAAGATATGCCTCTCCCCTTCCGGATCGTAGAAAGCGGAAACGCCACGCCCGTAGATGCGGAACAAAACCGTGTCTTCTACGTCTACATTTGTTACTCGAATTAGGGCTATAAAAAAATGGTCTAGGAGTGTCAGGACTCAGGACTAGGTCTAGGATGTTAGGATGTCTATGTCAGTACTGTCAACATAAAGAATATGTGTCGTTCGCATCTTCGTTGAGAGTGAAATCCACCTTGGTGGCTTTTTTTTCAAGTTGGAGAAAAAGACTATGGACGAGTGGGGATTTATAATTATCATGGTGTTAAGCAGGACCTGCATCAGCATCAGCGGTAGGGAGCCGTAATCGAAAGAGTTTATTAGTCAAACCAGCATCTAATTTTTTGACACTGATCTTGTGTCCACGCCAACCGGGCACATGCAAAGCGCTCAGGATAGCGACCGAATCCACAACTACAGTGGCTCCACTCAACAAAGGTGCAAGAAGAACTTGTTGTTGTCCTTGATGAGGTTGTATCTCCAGAGAGGCCTCCTCAGCATGGGTGCCGACATATAATCCTTTCTCTTTCTGTTGATGCGTGTGAAAGGGCGATAGATTAGAGGTACAACTGGGGCGGGTCGGAAGAATTCACTTCAAGTGAACTATTTGTTGTATTTCTACTTTTGCTGACGACCTCATGAATCTTTCTTCATGTTGACCACACGATTATTACGCCTTAACCAGAGAGGCTTCTCTTGCTTCTGCTTTTTGATGCAAAGGTGTGAGCACCGTTGTCTCGTTATCAGTCTTTCTCGTCAAAGCTTCGAATTCCTGTAGTCCCTGTTAATATGACAGGAAAGAGTGTACACATCGTCCTCATGAAATTAGCTAGCAAGCTTTGAAGTACAATAACAAAAGTAGCTAAATCAGATTTCATCTGAGTATGTTGAGTACACTTTTCCTGCTCATACATGTTGGTGCTGCTGGTTCATCTCTTGGTGTGGTAGTCTACTGAAGATCTCCGCAGGAACTCCACTTTTATAGAGCTTCTCGTGATGTGATCCTGGAAATTCGTGAACAAAATCAGCTTGTTCCGATGTTGAGGACTGCTCTGGCGTTTCCATTGTTTCCATGCTCGTTTCAACATAGAAATTTTCAGAGGTTTTCCTCGTTGGAGACACAGACGCCGCGAGACTTTGCTCTGCTGCACTGGTCAACAATCGACTCTCTGCCTCTGCCAGATCCTCAGCTTGTTGATGTAAAAAATACTTGAAGAACCATCTGATCTGCTTTTGTCCTTCCTCTGACCTTTCATCGAGACCTGATGATGTGCTGTTGACCACAGCTGCATGTCCTTCTGAAGCTGCGTCCGCTGCAGTTGCAGCAGTTTTTATCTTCTGGTCGGTAGTTGTAGACGTTGTTGAACAGGACAGACAAGCTTCTCCGTATGCCAGCTCTGACGCACATTCTACTCTTGAGTTTTTTCCGAAGGAGCCTTTTCCTCCATTGCCAGCCATGCCAGCGCATTCGGACTCCACCGGGACGACAACGCTCGGAGATCGAGGAGAAAGGTCGCTAGGAGATCATTAGGATAGGAATAGGATTAGGATGCCGCTGCTTCGACCTTACACAAGGTGGTGACTGAGCTTTTATCACAACATCCATGGTTCCTGACCTTGTGGTCATTCTGGTGAAGCTGATCCATCGACTATGCTCCACGGATCCTCGTATAATAGATTGATGGGGTGGAGCCCTTACTCCTAGGACAAACACAAATAATTTAAGATAAAGATCCTCGTTTAATACAGAGTACAAGCATAACTCTTCTTCAAGTCCGCAGCCAAAGATTTTTTATATTCTGCATCGACTTCCTCTCGCCCCAATGCCACCATATTTCGGTACTGTGTGATCAGTGCTTCTCGCAACTTCTCATCGTGCGTATCAGCCACAACACGGTGCCCTTGAGAGTCGCGAGCAGATGAAGATAAAAGGGGACGATAGGTGGGGAAGAACAAGAAGAGAGAGAACCAATAAGAATCAATGGTCGTGGCTCTAGTAAGTTGTCCTCACGCTGCTTCTAAGAACAAACTTGCGATGTATTGTTCTGTAGTTGTAGTAGTTTGCGAACGAAGAACATAGTCTTAATCAATCAAAACGGTAATCATCATAAGTAAAGATAATTTCTGAAGGTGCTGGCGGCACCTGAAGAGGCACTAGTGGAGGACGATCTGGATGAGTTTCCTCCACCCACGACGTAGGCGCCAAGTTGTGTTGCTCCAGTAGAAGGTGAGGCAGCTGTTACACTTGAATAATCTCCAGATGTGTCAGCTGCTGAAGGTGGGGAACTGGACGAAACTGGACGACGAATCTTCAGAAAAGCCATATTAGGTCCTAATGGCATACCGGTAGAGGATGAGGATGACGCTCTAGTCGTAGCGACATCAATGCAGTTAGGAACTCGACGTCCTGTGGTAGATGAACATGAGGCAGCAGCACTCGCATTGCTCGCACCTCCAGCAGCAGCAGGGATAGCATTGCAACCACGAGGACCCAACATATTCTTACCGGAGATGCTTCCTAGAATGCCACCACCCAACGAAGTTGTACTTCCCATGGATGATGCCAGACCTGTCCGTGCAGTGGTAAAAAAGCGACTGGCGGCAGAGACAAGGGACAACCCCCTGATTCCCATCACGAGGCGAACTCTTCTCCGCACACGAAACTTCATTTTCTTTGATGAAGAAGTGCTGGTGGAGGTGGATGGAAATCAATAATGAATGCAAGGGGAGGACTACGACTAGAAAATAAAATTGAAGAGATAGCAATAGAGATTTTTCAATAACAACAGGGGACAACTTCAAGAAACTTTATTAAGTAAGTGAACGAGGAGCAATTAATGTTAAAAACTTAGTACTACGTTCGTAGACGTAGGTCTAGGTATGCAAGTTAGACACAAAGAAACTTGTTATATGCAAAGAACTAGAACCTAAAAATTGTAATTATCATCTTCAAATTCCAAGTAGACTACGACAAGTCAAGCGAACAAAGTGGCCTCTATATCTATGCATTGTGAACAACTGCTACTGGTGGTGGTAGTATTCGAAATGAGTCGAAGATTCCAACAGAAAGACTTTCACCTCGCTCGTGCAATCGGTGGACCTGACCATGACCTCAAGGATGGTCCATCCTTGGCTCAGAACTGGTGACGGAAGATGGACACACCAGCTAGCTCCTTGGAGCACGAAATACTTCTGGACGCATGTCATTCCCAGTTGCAGACGCTGCATTTGCAGCTACCCCTTCTACTTACCTTTTCTACACAGAGACAGATCTGAGCACGTTGTTTTGCCACTACACCGCAACATCTTCACTCAGAAGGTCCGACGGGGGGTCTTTCTAAAGGTGGTAATGTCCTCGGAGGTTAATTCTTAAGGTGGTTAATTCTGAGGTGGAGGACTGAGTCCCCCACCTCAGAATTAAAAGATAAGTAGAGCTACGAAGATAACAGCAGCTTCAAAAAATTGGGAACAGACTGTCAAATATATCGTCAAAGTTGTGGAGATGCTCCTCGTCATATCGTAGTTGCGGAGGTTGCCGTATGCCTATGCTGCTTGGACTTGTAACACTAAGTAGCGACCTGGTGGTGCTGGTTCCAATACTATTGGTTCTTTTGCCTGTAACTAGGAGAACTCTATCACAATGAACAGAGCTCTACTAGCATTAGTCTAACGAGACTGACTCACTGTAAAGGCATGCTGGTATCATATTATTTAAAACTCGCGATAGATGTACATCTACATGTACATCTCGTGATCGAAACTATGCGTTTTCATCTGCAACTGTGACTACAGATAAACAAAAGGGAACACTAAAAATATGCAACAAGAACTGCGTATGACGGTAAATCCTGTGCCATTCATCTTAGGACAAGAACTTCACGACCTTGACAGTACACTTGGAGAGCTTGATCTTCAACCTGCGAACCTATGAACACTGAATTTCAACCAAATCTATGCTCGTAACCTCCGTCCAGAACTAGAACTGTCCTGAGGACATCTTCATCGTCATTCTCTTCAACACCTATGCATCGTGCTGAGTCCCAGAGCAGACAACACGAGTTCAGTGCCTAAACGCACAGTGCCAGAGACTTGGCCCATATCTGGGTCGTCACCATGAATACCGGGTTCGGCAACCGTGTCAATCACAGGATTGATCTCGACCAGGTCCGGTGTTAGAAGGAACGATTCTGGTGGGATACTTGTGCGACTGCAAGCACGTTGTAGTTGTTCTTGATGTATCTGCTAGTATGTACGACCACTACGAATAGAAGAAATAGTAATTGGAAAAATGTGAAAATAAACAAGCACTAGTAGCTGCCATAACATGCTCACCAATCGCCGTGTCAATGCCAGCTCCTCGCAGATGTAGTGCGCTTCGCGATAGCTCAATCCTCCTCTGGCGCAAGTGCCCGTTCCTGGCGCAATCGACGGATCGCAACCATCGATGTCAAAACTAAGATGAATCGGTCGTCGCTTGTTCGGATCGATTCGTTCTAAGGCTTGTTTCACCACGTTCGCTATTCCCCGTTCGTCCACATCTCGCATGGTGAAGAAGTGCAAATCACTATTCCGCATCAACTTCGCCTCACTCGGATCGATATCGCGTAAACCAATAAAGCAAAAATTGTTGGGACTCACAATCGGCTGAGTGCTCTCTTTGCTCATCCAGGTTTCGAAGCCTGGTGGGTGGTGCTCAAACCAGCCCATCACGTGCGCTGCTGGCATGCCATGGTAGTGACCACTGGGCGAGCTTTTCGGAGTGTTGCAATCACCATGAGCATCGATCCAAATCACACACAGATCGGGGTAGACTTTCTGCATGGCGCAAATCGTAGGACACGCGACAGAGTGGTCTCCGCCAACGGTCAAAGGGATTAGAAGAGTGATATTGATGTTCAGAGGAAGAGAGACGTCGTTTAATATTCGATGGAGATAGAATTTCAATTTTATCTAAAACCAGTTAGAAGTAGGAAAAATTTAGTTTATATCTCTGTCAACGAAGAAGAAAAATGGGCTGACTCACTGATGTTACGAAAATTACTCAGTTATAATTCTTCTTAATCAACATGTATTCCATAACATGAATTGTCCTGGTCGTTCCTTCTGGATCTGCAAGACTCGATCGTGCACAAATTGACAGGCTGGTCCGACTAAATGCAAGTTGTCGACGGGATAGTCCAGGTAGTACTTGGCGCATTCGGCTGAAGGCTCACTCGATTTCCCCTCTTTAGAAACCGCTCTTTGGAGAAGAGCCTGGGGAAATAAGGGTAATTAGGGAGTATGGGATAATTAGTGAATGAGATGATAGACTTTGCTTTCACATCTAGTGCTGTCTGTGTGGTCTCCTGTCGAGAAGAAAATTCACATAAGTAATAATGTGATAAAGTTCTTAAAGAAACGAGAATACTATGTTGATTTTTATGACATCAACTGAACCAGTGATCATAGAGTGACATTGATATACGGGTGGAGCCAAGCTAACTAGGAATAGAGTGACATTGATATACATAGAAATGATTGCAATCAACAGACCAAGTACCGTGGTCGCTTCATCCTGATTCACTACACCACGTCCGACTTGTCCTTCAGCTTCGCTGCCCTCAGCTTTCTCTTGTTCGTCTTCACTCGGAGCTGTACTGCTAATTTCTGCTTCTTTCGCTAACCAAGCGCCAAAGCTCAAACGTGTGCTTGCTTGCGAACGCCACTTGTCAAAATTTTTCTTCGTCATCCCTTTCGCAGTAGGTTCGGAACCCTTTTTGACAAGCTTCTTCTGTCGAAAATATCGGTCAAAATCCAAGTCACCATGGTCATACCAACCGTATCTTTTATTGGATTGATGAGTCAACGTTGTAGTGTTGAGTGTTGGTGAAATTCATTTTCAGTGTTCTTGAGTACTTATGTGCTGGAAGAGTAGTACTAATTCACCGCGAAATAAAGCTAGATGCACATTGTCAATCATGTGTCATTCTCTTCTACGAGAGCACGACAGACATGAAATACCCCAACTTCCGTACCAACCCTTGCAAATTCGAGCTCCTGACAGCTTCGGGTGCCACTTCGAGACCCTTCAAGGGTTGCCCGATATTCATACCAGCTCCTAGGAAAGCAACAGAATCAATCGGGTAAACGATCTTTTCTGACTGAGGCATCACTGTTTCCTTACGACCCTTGGCAGGAGAGGTGGAGTCGCCCCGAGTCGTGGCATTACACGTCATATCTTCGGTCGTGGTCATCTTGTTCGTGGGTGTGGGTATAGGCGGGTAGGGTAGAAGTCTTGTTGATGAGAGATAAGTGATGCCAACGGATCGACTGTGACAAACTTAATAAACTTTTGAGTACTTCTACTTCTTTAAGTTTTCGGACTCGGATTATGATCACAAGAGTGGTCGAAAATTCAATACTTTTACGAAATTCATGTGGTTACTTAAATCAAGAAACCATGACGCGTTCTATGTAACAAGCAACATGCGTCTTAAAAAAACGAGGAGCTGCAACCGTTCCACTAGGGGAAGGTTGGCCCAGCAGGTCTAAAAATTACTTGTTGGGGGAAATCGACAACTTTGTTACCTTTTCAATATCACAAGAAACTGCACCTACAAGTACAAACAAGTCCGAGGAGGTGGTTTTTACAGTATACTGAATAAAAACTTCAAGTTTCTACCTCCAACAGGCTTAAACTGAAGGGTGGTGAAGATGGGAGAAATTCAACAGATCAACTGATACTGAACCGAGTCATGACATGTACTAGGTGAAGGAGTTATGAGTATTCTCAAGTACAAGAATGATCTCCTTGTGCATGAGCATGAGGTCCTGGTCCTTTCTGCATAGTATAAGAGCCGCGTAGATGATCTCGTCTGTCTTGGCAGAACCCCATCTAGATTCGTCAATATGGCCTCGTCTGTCTGTCTCTCTCTCTCTTGTTGTGGCGTTCTTTTTCATGTTTTCACAATACAATGGCGCTACAAGTGGTCTCTGACAGATGAGGACGAAACAAAATCTCTCGAGTTAGTTGAACAACATGCACTTTTTAACCTCCACGGTCTCATATATATTTCGTTCTCGTCAACCAAATCTCCTCTAGCATTTTTCTCGTGCGCAGAATAGAAGCGTTCATATTTGTTAGACACAGCAGGACATTGTATTCAACGCTTGAAAAAACGAGTCTCGTGTGATGATACCGATCACTTCTGCTCGTCCATCAGCACGACTAGTAGTACAGGCTTCTTGTCTATAGTCTTGCTCTTGGTCCAATACAAAAACCGTATCCAATCCTAGCATGAGAAACAAAAAGTGTATTCTCGCGAGTGACATTTTTGCCGGTACAGTTAGGGGTGCGTCGTCCAGCAAGTTTTCATTTGGATGGAAGACGTGGCGGAGAATCTTCTTCGAGGACGTGCCAGCTGTAGAAGGTCTCTGTACAACTGCAATGGGTAGACAGTGTGCTGCAAAGTGCTCAGTTAGCAAGTGTTCTTCCTCTGCATTGCATTGTTCCGAGTAGGCGTCCTGAAGCTGGGGAACAGACGGCGTTGACGATACAGCATGCAGCGCAGAATGTTTATCTTTATGCTTGGCATCTTGCTGCTCTTCTCGATAATTGTCCATATTTCTTCTAGAAGGGGAAAAATGATCCTCATCTTCTTGAAGATCTTCAACGTGCGTCCCTCTAGGTCTAGAAGAAGTGTTGTAGACTACTAGGAGGTGCCCTGCTCCTGAAGTACTTTCATCATCCGAGTAGTTTCCTGGCGCTAGCAAACTACTTCTCAATCCTGCACGATAGGAATCCTCGACTTCGATACCAGCCGTACGTTCTTGTTCTGATAATATGGGCTCTTCTTGATCCAGTCTTGCATTCTGTTGACCTTGACTCGTCGTTGTGCTCGTGCCTTTACGTTTGGCGATCTTTTTCTCCTCACAATACCACGAACTGTGACAGTAACCATGAGCACGCGCAAGCCGTAGACACGCGATCAATTCAGAACGCGTGAAGCTCTCGTAGAGGAACAGGTTTGAAATTTTGTCGTCACTTCTACTGGAGGATGGACAATCTTGGTGTTCTCCTTGCTCGACGCATTCTTCATCTTCAGTCCCTTTGACGCATTCTTCATCTTCAGTCACGACCAATCCTCGACACAGGTCTCCCGCACACAATCGCGCATATGCTGCTGGATTCTGCAGATGAGGCAGAAATTGCATTTCCTTCAGGTGTATGATCACGTCGAATATCGGCTCACTCAATAAAGCACTGCTGCAAAACGACACGCAGGCTGCCAACAGCAACGGCAACAGGTGATTGATTTGCCCAGTCAATTCCGACACGATCACAATGACGGAGATCATGCGCGTCACGCCACACGTCACACACGTTGCTCCAACAACGGCGTAGAGAGCCGGTTCCGGTAGGTCTAAAAATTCGCCAAATAACCGTCCAACCGCAGCTCCAAGCACGAAAACAGGCGTAAAGACACCAGCTGGCAAGGGTAAGCTTGCTGCGATAGGAAACAAAATGGCTTTTTGAAGAATCAGAAAAACCAAAATCTTGAAATCCACAGAATACACAAACAGATTTGGATTTCCTTCAGCAGCAGCGCTGCCAGCTGCATTTGTAAACACTACAGATGAACCACCAAAAAGTTCATTCTCGTTCTCCAGTATAGCAGCATCGTCAAAAGCAAGCCGTTCTGTAACAGTTTTCTTCGAAAATAAGGCGTTAATAACGTCTTTGTCTTGGTGTGCCGTTGCGGGTTCTAAGAAGACCACACCCGCGCACAACAGAGCCACGCCAAGAGCGTAGGCATAGAGCAGATTGATTCTGATGGTTCTAGAAATGGTGTTGAGGACTTTCCTTAGCCTGGAAGTTGGAAAACGACTACTAGTTCGAGCTGAGGAAGACGTGCTGCCGTTGATCATGAATGTTGATGTGGTGGATGTAATTGTAGCCGGCTCCGTAACTGGTCTAGCAGCACCTCCACCTCCACTATTATTCATCTTCACCAGCTTCTGCGTTAATGCGAAACACTTTTTAGTGAACAGGACAACCGCACCCCCGACTAAGCCGCACAGCAAACCTAGGAGACAGAACCACCCTGTTTCTTCCAATGGGGGCTCTCCTAAATCTGTGAGGTCAAAAGCTCGCGTCACATGCAAGTACCCGAGCACTCTTAGAGTTCCGAGACAACACACCGAACAAAAGAAAGCCCGCCAGACGTTTGCGACGAAGAAAAAGGTGGTGGCGATTTCTATGGCGAAAAGCGTTGCTCCTAGAGGCGCTCCGAAAGACGCACAGACACCTGCAGCGACTGCAGCGGTGTATAAGCGAGTTTGAGCAGAAGCGGATAGTTTGCTGGATGACGAAGACGATGCGGATGCACTTGAGGAAGTGCTGGACCAACAACTCTGTTGAACCCATCTGTTTACTCGCCCACTGCAGTCAAACGACGCTGCGGTACAGCAAGCGATATGAACGTAGGGACCAAGTTTGCCGACGGGGAGACCGGCAGAAAGAGCACAGATTAGGCCAATGGTTTTACAGACTAGTGTTCTCACAGTGGTGAAGTCGGGAACCGGACTTCTGTGACCCGATAACAGCGATTTCACCTCGGGAAGACCACTTCCTTTGGCACAGGGTGGGAAGTTAGAACTAGAAGAGGGTGAAAGTCTAAAATGAAATCTGCGCTTTTTCAAGTACTTACTTCTTATGCTGCGTACCTCTCTCACAATCAAGAGTGACAAACTGCTCCTGTAACTGCATCGAGTACTGGATTACATTGCAAGCTAAATGTAGTAACAACCACTTTACCTGTGGTGCGTGTGCCTATCCGATCTTAACTACCTTCGGCATCGCGATCGCAATGCCAGTGCACAGGAGACATGTCAGCATCCAAAAAGTGACAGCCGCTGGTCTTGTCGATGGTTTTAGAGAGTTCAAAACCACATCGTGAAAATCGTTGTACGGTGGATTGTCATGGAAATAATCGTCTTCGTCTGGTGCTTGGGGTTGTTGAGGTTGTTTTGCAATAGCAGTAGAAGTACTAGTAGCAGTAGTGCTAGCAGTAGTACTAGCAGTAGTACTAGCAGTAGTACTAGCAGTAGAAGCATTTGTCCCAACTTTATGCGCAGTCTCAGTCGTTGTTTTACTAGCTTTTTTAGGAAGGTGTTTCACTACTAGTTGATCATGAAGATGATTGTGGCCCTGACCACGTCGTTCAGAAGCTCCTCCCTTAGTACTTGCGCTAGTACTTGGTGCACTTGTCGGTACTAGATTCACATGTGTTTCCCACAAGACCATCAATCCGTGCTGTCTCTGCGCAAAGATGAACCCAACTGCTGAATCTACTAGGACTGAGAGTAACGCCATAAAGAACCCGATCCAGAGCATCATGACCCAGAAGCCCACCTCAGCGCGAGCGACGGATCGCAATTTCCTTACGATTTTAGCACGAAAAAAGCAAGAAGTACTGAAAGACCTGCTGGTGCTACTAGGATGTAGAAGATTTAAGGTACTGGTACTATGATCCAACGCTCGCACCCCAACTCGTCCATGCTCACTAAAAAACGACGCTCTCCCACGCATCTCTTGTTGATGATCTTCCTGATGCATAGGTCTCAGTGCCACAAGGTGATCAACATCATCTTCTCCCGGAGCAGCAACATCTTCACGCCCCACTTGCTCTTGTATTGTTCCAAAAATATCATGATTCCGACTTCTCCCACGTGCTGCTTTGAATGCCAAACGGACAAAATCTTCATCGCAATGCAAATCCTCAAATGTCGTACAGTAGTCCACTAAGGAAGAACTCGTTCGATTCCGGATATCTTCTTCATCGTCGGGATCCAGGTTAAAGGAGCTCCGAATTTGATGCTGTCCAGGTCCTCCTGCTCCAGCTGGTGTTGATATCAACGTTGTACTTGTGCCATTCGCATTCTGACCAGCACTTGGTATTCCTTCTTGCTTCGTCATGCTCATCTGACGACCATTCAGCTGCACATCGCTTCCACCTCCGCCAGTATATCTCCTCCTAGCCTGCCATGGTGGAGAACTCCTGGCGGTCGTCGTTGTTCGCGAGGAAAATGCGGAAAACCTAGTTGTAATAAAACTAGGAGATGATGATGTCCTAGTAGTCGATCGACCACCAACCGCAGTCGAAATTACGGAGGAAGAAGACGTCGATCTGGCTGAAGCACCTGATGTAGCCGAGCAAAAATGCCCGTCGTCCATGTCGCTTCCAGAAAAGCGCTCTTGACGAGGCACTTTTTTGCTGTGAGAGGATGATGACATTTTTTGTTTGTTTCGGGATAGAGAAATGATATCAATCTAGGTACTTGGTAGTTGCGTTGTCCTCTCTGTTCCAAATCTGATCGACAGTGAAGGAACTCTAAGAAAGTCTTGTTCCTGTTTCATCTCATACACATATTCTGAAACGTATCTACACCTTCATGTAGGATCCTTCACCATCTGCGATGGACGTTAGTCACTTGTTTTTCTCCAGCTTGAAAGTACTTACTTATGTGGGTCCGAAACAACCAAATGAAATGGTTAGTTGCTGAAGAAACACACGACTGAAAAAAGAACCACAGGTGCAGTCCAAGTCAAGAAAGACTTCAGTCGACCTCTTTCTCTTGTTTGGCGGAAATGGAACCAGACTGACTGGAAGTCGTGGAAAAAGCAAAATGAAAAGTGACAGGGCAACAAATTCTACTTTAGTTGTTCTTGTCAGAAAGGCAAGCGTTGTCGATTTTGATAGATAAATATGTATGATGTTTTATTTGTTAATCTTCTGATTGGTCGTCAAGTGAGACTGAAAAAAAGTGAAAAAGAATGCGCAACATCTCTTTTTCTTCATCATGTTCGACAATTCGCTTGCAAACGCGTTAGATGCCCCAAAATTTCACGCAACTCGTCGTCTCTCGCAGGGGACAGCCCACCACCCCCCAAAGCACCGTCTTCTTCAGCTACAGGCAATACTGGTGGAATGGTTTTCATCTTTTTGGCGCCGAGCTGCGTTCGATGTTCTTGATTCCCATGATGAGGTGGTAGTTGAGGAGGACGTTCTACTTCTTGTCCTGGTGGTTCTGAAGATGTTGTCTCCGCCCCAAAAGGTAGTTCATGATCATCAGGTACTTCATTCAGATACGCAGCAGCACGCCTCATCACTCCCGCTCCAGTCCCGTATCCACCACTGCTCGTCGAGGCACTGTACAACATGTGCTCACTTTGCCATAGTTGTTCAACTTTTTCTTCTCTCGCGCGTGCCCACTCTAGATTGTTATCGTAGAAACGTTTCATTCGCCTCGCAGCCTCTTCGGGAGTGTAAACGCCACAGTTCTTCCTCTGCTGAAAGTGCTTGCGCTCTTCTTCAGCACGCTTTCTGTCCGCTTTGATGCGTTCGCGCTCAACTTTTTCGTCCACCTTGCGACGCCAGAGGCCTTGACGCGCATAGATGTCTGGAGTCGAAGGTTCTCTCCGGGTGGTTGTCCTTCGTTTTGTGGTAGACGAAGAATTAGATGGAACCCACAAGTTGACAGTTGCAACCCTACCACTGCTGTTACCATGACCTGCTGTACTCGTGGCTCCTCTTGTTAGAGGTTGCCGAGTTGCATTCTTCAGAACATCCTTGCCCTATTTCCCCCTTGAAAAGGAGCCAAGGATGGTAGTGAGGGATGTAATTCGGAAACCCTTAATCTTGGTGTTGTAGTTGACTGCACTAGCCGTGGTGTAAAAGTACACTCTGCGAGCTCCCGCCGCTCTTTTTCCTGCCGCGTATCGATGCACCTGGAACGAAATGTTAATATTTGTCACCGTCGAGGAAATGGTCGAACAAGTGGTAATATTAATGGGTACACTTTCATCATTGTGAGTACCAGAAGCAGTCTAAGTATAACGTAGACGTTTGAAATCACCATCTTTAGAAGAGTCATCTCTTCATCGTGGTCAACATCAGTAAAAAAACAACAAAAAGTACTTATGGTCTATAGTACCTATGATCTATAGTACCTATGGTCTATAGTACCTATGCTCTTTAGTACCTATGCTCTTTAGTACCTATGGTCTATAGTACCTATGCTCTTTAGTACCTATGGTCTATAGTACCTATGGTCTATGCGTCGCCTCCACATGGTGTTTCGCTCATACAAGTCTCGTCCAGCTTGACAGGCACTAGCATACAACCTCGCGTTTGACGAGCTTCTAGTTCCAGTACTAGACCTAGAGCCCTCTTGCCCATGTTCATCGAGCTCTTTCTTTTTCTGGTAATACTGCTCATACATGTGGTCGACGGAAACTACCTCTTTCATATCATCTCCTGGTTTGATGTTGTAATGATGTTGACGCTCCATCATTTTCGTCGCGTAGTCGTTTGTTCCACTGGTGGCACGAGCATTTTTAGACCCGTCTACCATCGTCCCACCTCGTGGAGTCTTCATCTGCCTCTCCTGTTGATGTCTCAGGTGATAGCTGTTCTTGCAGGAGGAGGTCGAAGCTGGAGACCCAGATGGGGCAGTACTTCTGGACGAACTGCGACAAGGGAGAGAGTTAGTGGAGTTAGATGGACCTAGAGTTGTGGTTGTGTTGCTAGGATATTTTTGATGAGAAGATAGTGATTGAGGAGGACGACCAGGATGACCAGGACCAGGGGTAGTTCTGTGATACTTCTTTAAACAAGAAGAAGATGATGATGAAGATGCACCACCAATCATGCGTTGCTGACCGGTTGTTCTAGCGCTTGGTGGTCGCTGAGGCTGATTATTGTAAGCCGCTGGTCTAGTCGACGCACCGGAATGTAGGTCCACGCAGGCAACTCTAGGAGGCGGTCGTCCATGATGACCTGCGGTCTGGTGTAACATTTTTCCGTTGCCACCTGATGCAGCACCTCTTGGCGTTTTCACGTGTGAGCTGCCTCGCGGTGTTATTGTTCTGGTTCCTCTAGCTGATAGTGGACGACTTGTGAAGCTTGAAGATGATGACTTCTTTGTTTGATCATGACGTTGTGCGCGGGAAGAAGCAGACGATTCATGTAATGTCAGTTGTTTCAGGAGCAGCGCACGATCGCAATCGCGCTGATTATGAACGTAGCTCACTTTCCTAGAACTCTGCACAACTACCTGGTCCTGCCGTAGTACGTGCTCTTGCTGGTCGTAGTTGTGGTCATGATAACTCCCCAGCAACAAATCATCGTCCTGCATCTCTCGTGGTGCCATTGGTGGATCACGATCATCATGTTCCAGCTCTCCGCCACCTGCACCTGCTCGAATCGATACAGAGTCGTCTTTCGTATGAGCTCGCGTACTGACGATGGCAGAATCGTAGTCCTCGTGTTGCCGGTCTCTAATGTGGTCTCCGCAGCTCAAGATCTTCTTCGCTGTCTTTGGAGACATCGTCCCAAACGTCGCTGCAACGTGCCTCTTACTTGGCTGCGCAGCTGCCCCGCTACTGTAGTAAACGGGTGTCGTCGCTTCACTCCCGGGGCCAGCAGACTGTAGTTGCGCCACTAACTCCTCCGTCGTGGCTGGTCTGTGCCGTACTAGTCCTAGTTCTCCAACATGTCCTCTATCTTCATGAACATAATCATCTACTCCTTCATCTACATCGACTTTGCCAACATGAAGATTTTTCTTCCCGTTGTTAAAACAGTAAGTATCTTGTTTAGAAGCCGAAGACGCACTTGCTGCATTTCCCGAAGAAGTTCTAGTCATTGTATTAGAGTCTGCCAGATTGCGTCTCGGCCCCCTCATCTTGACCCCTTTTACCTTGTATTTCATGAGAATACAAGGGAAAAGGGTACCGAGATGCCGAGAAAGATCGACACTATAAATGTTGACCTTAATTGTAGTAACCCTCCTAGTACTACCTTGTTGATGTGCTTGGCTCGGTGTCGGAGTAGTGTGTCTACGAGCTGACTTCATTCGTTGCACATGATTCGCAACCGCCATTAGAGTACCACGAGGTGTGACAGCAGTGCCTCTTGGTGTGCGTCCTGACCGTCCTGGAGTTCGCGGATTTGCTGCACCATTTTGACCTGCACTTGTACCAGTGCCAGTCGAAGTAGTTGCATAAAAGTTGTTGTTTCTTGATGTCATACTTGTTCTTGACGTGCTAGGTGTCGTACAGACAACCTCTCTCCCTGTTAAAGGAGATGCTGTCACAGTATTATTCTTGCGTTGACCACCTACACCTAGTGCTCTTCCACCTCCTCCACCACCTTCCATACTCGAGGAAGAGGAAGTTGGCGTCGCTGAACTTCTTGGCATGGGTCGAAACAGCATGGCTGTTGTACTCGAAGACGTAGAGTTAGGGGTTGAAAGTTGGCATCTTTCTAGCTCGCATATCTGTGGCTTTATTCCTACTTGAAGAAGACATAGAGACGCGCATATAGACATGTCGTTGATTCAACTCCCAAGCCTTAATAGATGTTGGAGGGTCGCGACCAGTTGCAAATTTGCTGTTTACGCCACCCGCGCTCAAGGGTATACGCTTGCTGCGAGAAGAGCCTCCGTGGAGTGCTGATTGGAGATCATTTGAGTGACGTTGTTGAGGTGAGTCTCGAAGTTTTCACATTCGGATTTTTCAGTTCTTAAAAAAGCAGGTGGAAACTTCTAGGGGTTATACTTCGACGACTGCTGGATCTTCACCGATTTTGATACATAAAATCAGAAGTTTTAGTTTATGGGAAGATTTTTTGCGAAGTACCTTGCTGCAACACCTTCTGCCTCCTTCGTTCATATTCGGCTTCAGCCGCATCCTCATCCATCTCATCTAAGGCTTCTTGGGGAGAAGCACTGCGAGGTACTGTGAGTGGTACACCTGCCGGAAACAGATACTTAACAACAAATACAAAAGGAAATTTTGAGACTGAATTGGTATCTATTGGAGACTGCGCTCTGATGTCTAAAAGAGTGTATTACTTAGGATAGAGATGCAAAAGTGACTGTGCTGTAGTTCCTGAAGAAACGATCTCTTTTTGGAGGAAGACTCACAATACATATACAACATGGGAAATTGTAGGTACCACCGCTGCTCACGGATGCACCGATTCGAGGTGCCGTCCTTCGAGACGGAGGTGCAAAAGTCGTCATTTCGCTTGGGGCCTTCGATCTTGATGCACCTCCAGAAGCCACAGTCTTCTTTACAAAGCCGTCGATTCCTGCCAAGTCTCTGAAAAGCCTTTCACCTGCTTTTTGTCTGTACTCGTCTACTTCGAAGTCTGCGACACAATCAAGTATGTCTCTAGTCATTTCTAGATGCTGCTAGAAGAACCAGCTGGAACGCTAACGACGAGGATGCTAGGTACAAGGAGTGACAAGAGCCCCTGATGGGTCGATTTAGATCTCTGCTGCCTTTTTGGCAACTCTAACTAGTACTTGTGGGGAAAGTGAAAGGAAAGAAATTCCGTTGCAGCCTTGGCAGGTTTTTCATTTTGTTTTTGTCCCTCTACTTTGAATCTAGAGTAACAGTAAACAGAAGTCTTTTAGTAAGCACTTGTACTACTACTAGCTTTTCCTGTCCTTTTTCTTTGCGTTTCCATTACTACGTCTTCTAAAGCTCCCTCTCGCACGGTCTCTCGAGAAGCATCTCTCTTTCACATTTTCAGTCATCACCTTGATCAATTTTTGATCGCTCCCTGAAAGTGTCGTATCTTATGAATATGGCCCCCACGAAAAAGCTCCATGTGCATATCAACAATCTTCAGCAGTGTCGTGATAGTTAGCAACAAGAATGGCAATCAGTAGCCGTGTTTCTGTCTGATATTTTTGGTGCGACTGTGCGTATCACTGTACATGAAATCAATCATCATCATAGGTAGCAACCTAGTAGAAACAAGTGGAAAATGACTCCTTACACTAAGAAAATGATTTCAGTGTGAATCTTCTTCTTCGAATCGGTACATAAAAACTCAGTCCTGGTATAGTGAATTTCAATTCTTCGAAGAAACCGCGATCATGCGTAAAAATGTGATTGTTTTTTCCAACTGAATAGTAGATAGTCAATGTCAATCCTTCTGGTCTTGATCCTTCACAACAAAATGTATAGATACAACAAGAAGTATTCAAGAATTGAAAGAACACGACTTCTTAATACGACTTCCCTCGACTCAGTCTATTCCGGTCCACTATGCAGAGCCCGAATCGGGTGCCGCCTAACACTCAGATTCCTCAATGGCTGTCCATGGGTGTCTACTTGTCCCTTCCTCCCTCTACCCGCAACGAAAGCCCATGCTCTGCAGTACTCGTCGAGGAAACGCGAGAGTGAAAAAAACCTCTCCTTCGGTACAATGCGATCGTTATCCAAACCACGGAAGAACTGATGAACTTCCGCAAAAGGAATGCTACCGAGAACGTCAGCTTTGGAGAGTATAACGTTGCATTGCAGCAAGTCCTCAGCAGCAGATGGGTTGCCAGGGTGTATGAAGTGGGGGGACGGGAAAAGGGGGGAAAAAGGCAGAGGAGGAGGCGAAGGTTGTAGAGAAGGAGGAAGGTAGAGGTGGGGGAACGAAGGTGGATGATATAAGTAAAGAAGCAAAAAGAGGATTTTTAGCATGAGGATGAGCAAATTCAATCTTTCAGCACTCTGCTCTTTAATATCTGTTACTTTCTCATTTGATGTGTCACGCGACTACAGATGATCGTATCGTGAGTTTCTTTGTGGTCTGCAAAATTCTAGAACCACTGTCATACCAAACGCTTTGCCTTGTATCTGGTCTGCATGGGATGGCGAATTGTCTGTCCCCAGCTCAGAATTGTGCACATATCGCTTACTATTCCGATGACTCAGGTGGTTTCCGATCCACATAAAAGGCTCCACTTTTGGGTGTTAGAAGTGAAAGAGCGTGTGGAGGTGCGCTTGTTTTTAGTGTTGGCAGTGGAATAGATATGAAGAAGTGCTTGAGCAGGGATAATCCTCCACTGCTTGAAGAAGGTTTCATCTGATGTAAAAAAGCGTTTGAGCAGTTGGTTGGAAATAGGATGGCATTTTGCGGAACAATGACCTCATCTTCATCAAGGTTTAAAACTCAAGGTTTACATCACGACCTCATACTATTCAAAAAATGCCATACTTCTCCTCCGATTCCAAAAACAACGTGTTCAGCCTGCACGCGATGTAGTATCTTCTGCCAGGATATTAAAGGTCGACACTCAGTGGTCACTGATTGTGAAGGAAAAATGCCCCATGCCTCTCCCCTTGTTTTTCCTTATAGTTTTCCCCTGTTCTCTCAGGGGGTCTCCTCTTTGATGTCATTTATTTTTTGTATGCCGAATCCCCCGAAAGGGATGTCAGAGACTCCAATCTAAATGGTGACCAATGAAAGTTGACCCTTAAGGATAGTTTGCATCCTTATCGACGTGATCTACCCACCACACTCCGAAATCCTTCCCCAGTTCCAGCATACGCGGTTCGCGAAGCCACCTTTTGTTAGAAGATATCGCCCTTACTTAGTCATCTTGAATGAAAGGTTGTATCTTGAATGAAAGGTTGTTGTGCCTTACTTATTCATTCGCCGTTGAAAGTTGTTGGCGTCTGTCTCGAGCTCGTATATCTATGGCTTTCCTACTTGAAGATGAAGCCATAGAGATGCTCTTAGATGATAGGTCAACTTGCAGCCCTTAATACTTAGTCATCTTGAATGAAAAGTTGTATCTTGGTGCTTCTTATTTTCCCGGAATTATGGGCCGACAGACAGCTTCAAGATGGATCAGATCCTTCCGAAGAAAGATGGATTAAGAAAACAAGCCTTAATTTTGACAGCATAAATATGCCTTCTACGAATAATCCAGATCAGCAATCGACAAACGATTTTCAGCCTACAAGGCGGTCGAAAGGTTTGTTTCTTCTCGTGAACCGAACCGACCAATGCTCGTGCGACGAAGCCAGCATCGTATCCGTTAAACTCACGCCGCGCGGTCCCACCTGCTCTTTCGGCTGTAGGCATGCCAGGTAAGGCTCGGCCATGTGCTAAACCAGCTATCTTGTTCTTTTGGTCTATGCGCTTTTTGCGTGCCTTGCCAGGTAGTGTTAGAGCCACCGCAGCTAATGCAGCATCTTGATGTTGTCCCCGTCGGGCGTCGCCGTGTCCTCTTCCTGTACTGTACTTAACAAAGGAGTGGAGGTCTGTAAGGAACGAATGACGTTGAGGGAGGGGATGCAACTCAGAATGAGAGAGCCTTAATAATGGTGGGTCCTTCGAACCTTGACGGCTCCCAGCGAGTTCTTCCTGTCGTCCGCTCAACCCACAGCACATATTGGCCCAGTCACGCCAAAGAGAGCCGCCTGCTCTTTGATTGTCGTCGAGGGCATTGGTATGAACAAGAGGAGTTGTTATATCCGTAGGTGCATGTTATGGAGTAACACCATGCTAAAAGCGAACATAGAAAAGCGGTCTTTTAGCCAAAAAACGCACAGGAAGCCCCGGGATCAGTTGGGCAATATTCGCCTCAAAATGGAAAATTTTCATTCTGAGACGAACAAAGTACAAAAAAGCGCTTTTTTTGCGTTATTCCATAAATCTGCACCATCTCTCTCGCTGTACCAAGAGCGCTACTACTAGAGCCGTCCTCCTCTTCCTCATCGCCGCCTGTATAGGTAGTGCCGCCAGCTGTCAAAGGTTTCAATTTTGGCGCTGCGCCTCTTGCGTCATCGTCGAGAGTATGAAGCAACGGCAGGGGTCCTAGTTGTAACGAGATAGTCTAAAGATTGCATGGTCAGTCTCATAGTCTAAAGGTTGCGTCTTCTTGTATTAGACTATGAGTTCATCCTTCTTGGTGAGGCTTGATCTAACTAAGTGAGCCTCTTAGACGATATCATCTTCAATCATAATCGCCCTCCGGTTCGTTCCCCACTGCGGAATCTCCCGCGTCTCTGAGCAAAGACAGCACATCCCAATCGCTGATGGTCACACTCATGACCACTACATGAGAGCACAAAGTTCTCTGCAGGCGGTACTTAGAGGTAGGGTCTTGGTGTTTCTGTTTCCCGTTTGATCTGCCTTTCTCCCTTGTTAGGAGAGGCAAAACAAACGGTAACAGGAACCCCCTACTAGTGTAAAATTCTCCTGAAGAAGTGCTCAGTCCTGTTGAAGCTGTACTAGAACTATTAACCTACCCTTTCGTAAGGTAGAGATTCTGCACAAGAATCGTTGTTCGTGGGGTGTATAACTCGGGATCGTCAAAACTGGAAGCTCGATCGACTATTTTCACAGCCTTTTCTGCCACTAGCGCTGCTTTTCTGTAGTCCCGCTCTACGCTGGCATAGTAGACAGCGAAATTGAGACGTGTGACGATACTTTCGTAGCTCACCTGCTTGTCGGTCAGCACACTACTGGCCAATCGGAGACTCTCTGAGGGGATGAAGGAAGCAAGATGTGATTATCGATTCGTAAACTACGCAAGTTGCGTCTTAATGCCGTAGCTGATGTTGAAAAAGATTGATAGATTTAAGGTTTAAGGGACGTCTTTCGTTGTGCGAATGCTTTATCTGTATTGCCCTTACTAACTTGCTATCGCGATCGCCCTCACAATTTCTAGTAACATTAGAATCAAAATGTTTTAAATCACGAACGCCTTCCAGTTCCACCATAATGTAGCAATATCTTGCCAGGATGCTGTTCTTCAAAATCTGCTTCCTATCGTGATGGAGAGCCATGCAGCAAAGGTATCGAAACCAATCAGCTTTCCATCCAACCTCGCATTAGAGAAGAGAGGGTGTGGAAGCTCTCGACTTCTCTGGCGTCAACCCTACTTCTTCATTCTTCAAGTGTTGATTTATTTCATCATCTATAGGGTCTAAAACTAAATGTAAATGTAAATCTATTGGGAGGTTGAAGAGAATACCTGTACCTCCCCGGCAACATTTTTATACCTAGCAAGATTTCCCTAACCACGATTCACGTAGTTCCTTTTAGTTGATCCCATCGTAGTTCATGTAGTTCCTTTTAGTTGATCCCATCGTAGTTCATGTAGTTGATCTCATCGTGGTTCATGTAGTTCATGTATAGTTCATGTAGTTCATGTAGTTTCTTAACATTTCGCCACCAACTCCCTGTTCGTCTCCGATGTTACCTTCGTCATCACGATTTTGGAGGGTATTTCGGTTCGGCTCAACAAATGCTCCAGTAGCATGAATGTGCCCGCCTGATGCTTCTGTACAGGTCCTTTGGAGGAGCTCCCTTTGCTAGTGCCTGACGCAGTATCTTCTTCAGTGCTTATATCATCCGGACCTCCTCCTCCAGGCTCGCCACCAGCGTTCCCTTTGTTAGAGTGTGCTTGAACCCATGATCGCGGTGCCCTGCTCACCTCGGTACCGACATCATCTACTGTCTATAGCTGGTGACCATCATAGCTGCCATAGCTGTTGTTTCCGGACCATCAACATAGCTTAGTTTCGCTGCCTCCTGTTTCCTGATTTCTGCGACGCAGATTGCCTCGACTTGCAATGAGGTCAAAACCCCCGCCGCCTGTTGACGGGCATTCCTCATGGCGCCAGCTGCTTTGACGAAATCGTCTGGGCTGAACTCTTCTCCGTTTAGTTCGAACTTCTCCGTGACAAAGCAGTTGTGATCTAGATTTCGCCCAAGCAACGCGAGATCTTCTCTCGTCCGGATCTCGAGCGTCACGTCAAAGAAGGTCAAACAGGGAAGGACGACCGTGTTCCCGTTAGAGTGCTATAATGTAGTTGCCAAAAAATAAAAACCCCGATGATCTTGACCTTGTTCAGCAAGTTGACCAAGAGTGCTATAATTGCAATCGAATCTTCTCGATCTTTAGGAAAAAAAACCTCGTCTCAACTTGTTGAGTATAATTGTGAGTCCGACAGCACGAAACAGTTTATTGTTCCTGTTCATCGTGTGCTGTTCTTCACATCGAACTATAGTTCTTACCTTTCTTCAAAGCATCAGAACCATTGCCAACAGCCAAAAAAGCATAACTATGAAATGTGTGATCTGTTGCGCCATCGACTCCACTTTGTGCCCGAACTCACGTCTTTCCAACTGGCCGTTGTCGAATTGGACGTACAAGTCGCGCAATCTTAGAGGTCGTTATATTGCTCAGTGTGTACTTTTGCTCCAATTACGAAAAGTTCGCGTACTGCAATTTATTACCAACACCAAGACCGATCAAAAACAAAAACAAATGATAAGTCATCAACAGCCGACGTTCATTTCTCTAACCGATGAATGCACGATCTAATTTCTATTCCACATGTCACTCGCTCCCCTTGCAGAAATCAAAAAAAAAGGTAGCCTTAACAATCGCTGTTTTGCTCCAATTACGAACAGTTCGCGTTGATCCCTGTCCATTCCAAAGAAGATCCTTTGTGTCGCCGAATCGTCCAAGGCAATACTTCTGGCCAACAGGTCAGAGGCGATCTTCAAACACCGCACCATTCTTCCAGGTTTGTCACGGACCATGGACACGAGGGCCGATTGCAGAGTTAGAACTCGTCTCCACCCAGAAGAGGAAGTTGAAGTAGGACTCCGACTCCTCGAAGATATTGTTTGAAGGGATAACCCTAGGGATAGAGGTGAAGATATTCTATAATTTAAATATTTAGACTGAACTTCTTGAAGAGGTGATATTCTATAATTTAGACTGAACATCAGTCAAGTAGACTCCACTTGTTGAAGATCCATCCTCGCCATAGCAGAAAGTCCTTCACGCTGTCGTTTTCTACTTTCTCCACTGTGAGGAAGGGGAGAAGGACTTCAGGGCTAACCCCTGCGTCTGGAATTGGCGGAGGTTTGTCCTGTTTCCCTTCTTCCTCCCCTAAGTCCGCCCAGCCTGCTACAAATGCCGCAGCACCCTCATCGCTCGATGGTTAGACCAGGAGGTAGTAGAAGTAGAGTAGAACCACGATGTTGTTCCTCGAGAATGACGAGGTTGAGAAGTTGAAGGTAGTACGTAGTAAAGTGGGCGGGAATTAGCGAACACTGTTATACATAGAAATCATGTTTCTCAGGCCATAACCCAATTCGATTGCTTTCTTTTGAATTCTGACTCGAATCGCCTCTAACTCTTCGTCTTGCAGCAGTCGTAGAAACATGTCTCGAACGGCATAAGCCGTTGTAAATCCCGAGCCGTTACGAAGTAACCATGAACCGTCATTTTCTCCAGCTTGTTTTAGCGGTCACGTCACGACCCTAGTGAATCCATCCTGAGATCCCTCTCGGGTCTATTTTTCCCTTATGGGACAGGCAGCTTCGAGAAGCTTCGTTCTGGAGATTGATTCGGGTCTATTTTCCCCTATGGGACAGGCAGCTTCGAGAAGCTTCGTTCTGAAGATGGATTCGGGGAAGCCTTAATTGTTGCGCAGGAGGACGATGTGATTGGCCAACTTCGCGACTAACGCTCCTACTCCTTCCTCCGATTTCTCGACCAGTTGCTGCTGCTGGCGGCGGACTCAATACTGAAGGTCTGGTATTAGCGTGGGCTAGGGGAAGGGTGCGGGTGCCAGGAAATTTTCATCTTCATGATGAGGTGATAATAACGCAACTACGGGATCTAAAAAGAACGGAGGAATCATGATACTATTTAGGAAAAGGAATTGGACTCCTTCTGCCTGCTCATAATATTCCCACCAGTCTGGCGGGTTCCTACTTTTGCCGCTTCGTGAACCCAGCGATAGCTCCAATTTAAACCTAATTCCCGTGCTGCTTTTCTTCTCCCGCGCTTCTTCGCGTTTGCTTTGTAATCTAAAGCAAATTGATGTACTTCCTTGATCATTTTGGCTGACATCTTTTTCTTCTTCATCTTATCCAGCACGTGTCTTGGTTCTATGCCCGACTGAATCTGCTTTTTCCAGCTGGCAAGCTCATCGGCTATTTCGTTGACGGAACCCTAGGAAAAGTGGGTGAAATGAAGTTGATGAAGACCGAGCAAGATTGAAAACTAGAAATACTTCATCGAAAATCAAGTTCAAGTAGAAGTAGAAACACGTCTTCTTGCAACTGAGTACCTCAATCGCCACTGCCCAATACAGCACCCTCGCTGCGTCACGATCGGATGGGAACTCACTGTTTTTCATCTGTTCCTTGAGGATAATGTCGTAGCCACCTGTGGCAGCACCTGGCGACACGAACGCCACTTCAACAAAGGGTCGGATCACTATAATTAGATCAATCAATCTGTTGGGAATTATCCATCTTGAGAGTCGTCCTGGAGGTGGACCCGCGTTTTCCCTTTACTGAACGAAGGTCGTCCAAGAGGCTTTTCAAAATTAATGTGAGATTCATTTGTTCCGGCACCAGGAGTCTTAATTTAAAGTCGATGTGCCGATACCCCAAAGACAGCAACCCGCTAAAGTACAACGTCAAGTCATGCTGCAATTGGTGCAGCGGCATGCGCTCGTTTAATTTCAACTCTGCCTGCGCCTCTCGAGTGCCTGGGACCTTGAGAAACACCGTGCATGTGGCTGGCCGACTGCAATAATCCACTGGAAGACGTGATGGAATCTTGACGCCATCTTGCTCTCCTAGGATACCAGGATAGGAGTCCTGGAGACCGCCGATGGAAGATCTGATAATATTGTGTTTGTTATGTGAAGATCTGAGTCGTATTCTATTTGTTATGATGTACTGGTGGAGCTGAGTAAGAGTAACAGCGATGGGAGACCATCTAACTATTCTTCAAATCAAGAAAAATGATCATTGCGCTATAATAAATAATAAAGGTTCCAACGATACCTTAATCCCGCTGGCAACAGGTTATTCTCCCAATTCTTGTAGAATTTGTCCAGGTCCACGATGTCGAAGGCGTCTTTTGCCCCATCATTTTCATACAAGTTCCAACTCTTTCGAGCCCCACTCACGTGAGCGCCTTCCACGCTCCGTTCACCGGATTGCTTGGCGCCCATGATCTTCCTTGGTTTGGTAGTAGTGGTTGGTTCTTGGGTCTCAGCAAGCAGCACAAGAGTTTACACGTCTCGGTGGTGCAGGTGGTGGACGAGGACGACGAATTTTCATTTTTGTCCCAAAAGGAAATCAACATGATGCGCAGTGTAGCACTCAGTGTGGTCCTTGTCTTCGGAAATAGAGGAACGGGTCGAAGAATCTCCAATCTAATTCCCCAGCAGCTGTTTCGCTTTCGACCAAAGGTTGTTTCTTACATAGTAGTACCAAAAATGCTACTGGTGTGCAGTACGTAGTATAACTTTATCTACTTCATCGGCAGAAGCAGAACAAGAACAAAAAGAACACTAAGTAGATACCCCCACGACCCCAAACACTGCACCACTATCCTAAGAAGAACTTCGAACAATAGTCCATAGTCCAAGTCCCCCTCTCGTCAGTGGTGCCTTTCAGTCGTAATCACTTTCGTCTTCTACAGAAGCATAGGCTGTTCTTCGGTTGTTGCGTCTCGACCCCAATTCATCCTGGAGTCTAACATTTTCACGCAGTATAGTTTCTACAAGCATTTGCGTACTATTCCTACTACTCCCACCTAGTCCTCCCGAGGAAGATACCCCTGCTGCACCAGCAAGCGGACCCCCAAACGGAGCAAACCCACAAGTGACAGACTCAGTGAAATAGTTTGCAATCAGCCTCTCAGCTATTCCTCTTTGTGACTGCGACTTCTTCAAGTGTTGTATCGTGTCCTCGAGTTCGCGAATCTTGCTGATGTAGAGGAAGTCGGATGAAGAAGAAGTAGTAGAAGACTGATGCGGAGTTGACGACGAGGACGATCCTGATCCGCTAAATCCAAGTGATCCTGGTATTCCTGGCTTACTTAGTCCACCTAAAACTTTCGTAGGCGACGATGATGCACTACTGCAACTAGAACTACTTGCTCCTCCCGCCATCATCGAACCATATTGAAGATCAGCTCCATTTGATGTAGAAGATGCACTAGCCAGCAACTTTTCGACGTCCAACCCCTTCCCTTCAAGTATCTTCCTTAGTTCCTTTTTCAATTCAGCTATTTCCCTGTCTTTTTGTTTGAGTATGTCTACTTCTGACAGGCTGACACTGTACGAGGACTCCTGCGGACTGGCAGCGCTGTCGGGAGTCGCGATGGAAAACTCCTGGACTAGGGCACCTAACGACGAAGCTGACGCTTCCAAGGCGAGAGAGGAACAGGAAGCGGAGGACGATGAACTTGATGAAGACGATGCTAGAGCGCCACCAGTGTGGCAAGATGAAGAAGGAGCTGCAATGCTCCGGGAATGGGTAGGAGCTTGTCCTCCTTCTTGCTCCATTCTTTCCGTCGGTAATATCTTATTTTCATTCTTATCATCTTTCTCTGGATAATGCTGTGCGTCTTGTTTTTCGACTTCTCCTTCTTCTGCTCTTCTCTCTCCCGCTTGCTCTGCCTCTAATATACTATCGCCTCCTCGAATATCAGCAAGTCCCTCTCCTGCTAACCCCTCTACTTCGTGATTCTGATGTGCTTGCAAAAAATAGTCCTCACTATCTTCATCCATACTCTCTTGCAAGGGCGTTGCAAGCACACTCTTGCTTTTCTTCGTTTGAAGGTACTCCACCGAAGGAAGGCCCTTGTCTTCTGATGTACAAGTCGTTTGCGTCGCTTGATCTTGTGTTCGTTGGACAGATGTTGTTGCTTCCTCCTCTTTCTGCTCCGCACTCTCTCGTCCCGGTGATGTAGTTGTCGTCATTGCCTTACCCTCTCCCAGTAACTGCATCCGTCCCGCCGTTTCATCCTCGTATTTTTTCAAAAGTGTTTCGTACCTTGTAGTCAGCGAGTGCAACATCAACTGCATTTGAAACGTCTCTTGGGCTGTGGCGGATAGTTCATCAGTTCGCGATGTCAAGGCTGCCACTTGTTTCTTCAACAGGTTGCGCTCTCTCTCCAAAGCATGTTTCTCTTTCGTCAATTTCGAATACTCCTCTGCGTCGACCAAAACCGACATAGACGCAGACTTTTTGGACTTGGATGAAGAGATTCCTGCTTTTGTAGAAGTTGTACTAGTTTTCATCTTAGAAGTTGTAGTACTAGAAAGAGTACAAGTAGTGTCCTCCTTGGCCGTGTGCTTCTTGTTGGTGGAGTCAGATGAAGTAAGAGTGGGATACACTCCATGGGACACACTGCCATCTTCGTCGTCGCACGTTCGTATTGAGTCGTCAGGTGTTGCGGAGCGCGCGTCGTCCTCACTGAATGAGGCTTTATTCACAAGGTCTGGCGATTTAGTCTTGCTACTGTTCTCTGCGGCCCCTCCGGCATCAAGAGCAGTGTCGTCTGTGATCTTTTCTTTATCATCGACACCGCTTTTATGATCGCTTCCTTCGTCTTCGTGCTCTACCTGCTCTAGTGCCTCCCCATCAACTGCATTACCGTCACCGTCCACTTCATCACCGTCACCTCCCTCGTGCTCCTCCCCTCCTTCTTCTTCCACAGGCAACAAGATCTGCTTCCCATTCGCACTGATAACCGACAGCCAACCCCTCGTACTGCCACCCGATTGCACCAAAGCACGACGTGCCTCGAGTTTTTCTATGGTGACTAGGACACCAGCGGGAAGGTGACATAGTTTCTCGGAATCTAGTGCCTCTCCTTCACGCAACACAGCACCGCGGTCCGCAATCCGATAACGTTCGCCTACTTGAAATTGCCGGTAAGGCAGAGAGTTCACAACGTCTACCTGATTTTTTCCTTTTTGGGATCTTACTCCTAAACGTGCTAGAGATTCAGAAAGTCCCATGATGAAATGGGCGTGAATGAATCATCTTAGGCCCATCTCTAGTTCTACTAGGTCTGACAGCCTTTTTTGCCCCATCGACATCAACTATAACAGTACTAGACGTATCAACGTAACAAGTACGCTAAGAGGAGACGTATCAACGTAACAAGTACGATCTTGTTCCCCTGTTCGCTCAGGAAGCCGACTGTTGCTCCAGCTGACGCTGAGACTAGGTCCACGGTGGTGCCATAGAAGGTACCCCACGAACTCGAGCCAGGCTCCTGCTCCGATGACGAAGAACTACTGCCAGTATCGTATTTTTCCGGAGGAACTTCTGCTTCTTTTCCCGTCACAACATCTGCTTTTTCCTCTACAGTGGTGCTCGACGATGGCACTGGTGCGGAGGAGGATGTATAGCTTTCTAATGATGCGAAAAAAGAATTCCGTTTTTTCGGCTCATCACCTTGTGGTTCGCAACCTAGCGTTTCTGTCGCAGAAGTAGATGCAGACGTTGAAGTTGATTGAGGAAGGTGCAGTTCTACGTGCCCTTTCAGTGATATGATAGAGTCAAGCACCGGACTCGCGAAGTGTCCGACTCCTTCAGCTACTATGGTACCAAGGTTTTTCTTTGTACTGGCAGAGGTCTGAGTCTCCTCCTCAAAAACAGTTTCTTCCACGACTGTAGTGGGTCCACCTCTCCCCGCTGACGATGATGTACTACATGCAGTCTCGTTGATAACTTCTCCTTCTGGTTCGACGCCAAACATCTTGGTCGACGTGACAAATGGTGTATCCAAAGACGCGAAATCATAGACGCTTGGAAGTTTGACAGGCTCGGGCACCACAATTGATGTTGTACTGTTCATCCCCTTTCCGATTCCGACCTTTGAAGATGCTTCTTGCTCATCATCTACGATAACTTCGACTTCATGATCTTCTTTCTGTCCCTCGTGAGGAGCCGGAGGAACTTGGTCGTCCTGATCCTTGAGGTTGTGTACCCTTTCAGCATGTTCCGTGCCCGTTGCAGGATCTGTCGCACCATCACCTTCAGCACCGTCCATAATTCGCTTTACTTCTACTTCTTCCTCTTCTACATCTACATGTTTCGCCTTACGGTTATGCTCACCCACGACCGCTATGTCAATCGCTGGCTGCAGCTCATCGCTTCCTTCGCCGCTATGCTTTTCGTTGTCGCAGGTCTCCGATTTCGAGGAAATAACCGTCTCCACGATATCATCTTCATCAGCTTCAGCAGTGCAATGAGTTTCCGGCTCTGCGGCTACCTCCATTCTGAATGATCGTGTTAAAACTTCTAGGAATAGATTACTTATGATCATAATGTTGTTGCTGAAGATGCTCTTCAACAGAGTCGTCTTGTAATCAACTCTGTGGCATCCACCTCCTACATGCTGCTCACTCAGCTGCAGGTTGTACCTATTTCTTGATGACACTTTTTTTTCATTTTCTCGCTGTGTATTCGTTGTAGCCAAGAACACGTCGTTCACGTGAACCAAAACACGACTTAGACGACACTAGAAGTAGGACGTCAGTAAGTGAATCCTTAAGAATCTTCTTCAACTTCAACAGTTACTGCATGAGGCAAGACCTGCATACGCATAGACATAGTACTAGCTACGTACATCTGTCATCTAGACACGGAGTACAACTAGCTACGAAATTGCATCGCTAGACATCTCGGGCCTTCTCCTTCCCTTCCACTCCCTCTGCTCCCTCAGTTGCAGCCCTAGTATCTTTCAAACATTTCTGGAAAATGTATTGGATGTCTTCACAGTCTATCATATCGACCGTCATGGAAAATTTCTTAGAGCATTCCATATACTTGTCGAATTGCTCTTGACACAGTACTTGTTGGTCTACAACTTGGTTTTGTGTTTCGGGAAGATGTTGTAGTGCTTGTTGTACACCAGAATGAGAATCCTCACCAGAAGCAAAATTCGTCCTCCCGGCTGGTCCGCTAGCCAATTCCAATAGCTCTTGCCCACTTCTCCCATTGAAATCACGACCAAGATAAAGCCACTTGTCGTAGCCTAACTTTTCGGCAACCTTTTCTGAGAGGCTACTTGCAGAGCAGAGGACACGCCATCCGACGTCGGACACCAAGGTGCCTGTGGAGGAGGTGGAGGGAGTGTGACCCCCTCTCCTCCTCGTCCCATCGAAAGCTCCATCGCCATCGGCAACTGGTGAAGAAACTAAGGCCATCTATTTTATTGGATATAATTTTGATAGATTAGAAAGATGATCAAAAAGTCAAAGATGCTCACTTGTTTTTAAGTAATTCCATGCATTCTCAAAAATAATTAGTGCTCTAGTTGCGTAGCACCCTCCGTCGTAGTCCTTTTAACCATGTGTCATCGTTCTTCCTCGAGACCACTCCTCGTAAGTTGTGCTATCTCTTCGGCAATCCGCTTTTCTTTTGTCATCAGATGAAGAAAGAACCGACAACCTGTGTAGCTTTGTTCGTCGCAGTAAACGACCATATCAGGTCGGGTCATTCCATGATGAAATTGCCATCTACGAAAAACGGGCTCTTTTTCATCTTCTGTCAGAAGTACATGTAATAACAGTGCGCTACGTGGAACTCCTCATGTTGCCAATATTGCCACAGGTATAATTCGTGTTGTTGTAGAAAAAAAAACATTCAAATTTACCTTGAAAATGACATCATCTAGCAGTGTTCCTAATCTTAAAACTATCGGGGTACAAGGTGGAAACGGTAATATCATTTAATCAGTTCTTTGTTCATAGACTAACATGCATCAACGCAACATTATCTGTCAGCCAAGAAGTACTCAAGTGGTTTTTCTTTAGAAAGATCTAGACTAGAGATAGATCTCCCCGTCTTCTTCACCGCAACTGAGGAAATGTTCCAATTCCATATTTTGAGGACTACAGTGCTTCCCTTCGGAAGGGGCTCCTTCACCTTCTAGTACAACTAGCCCGCCCATTGACGATTGTTCAGGTAGTTGTGCCAAGCAACTGGTAAAACCATTGTGCAATTCCTCTCGGTCAAGGTTGCGACCGATGAAGACTACCCGGTTGCGTCTTTTTTCATCGGGCGCCGAAGGATGAAATCGGTCTCGTGGGGATGGGGAGGTTTCTCTTAATTGCTTCTTACTAAAAAATAGTTCTTCTTTTTCGAGTTGCGGCCTGTGGTTGCTTCACTAAAAAATAGTTCTTCTTTTTCGAGTAGGCAACATGCGGAAAATTTTGAAAATCTACAAGTAGATACCCAATCTAAACGCAGCATGCATCTAAAACCTCCAATCATTAGACCAACTACTTACAATTTCAACTTTACATCTTTCTTCTCATAACAAACGCACCCATCCTGTTTTTCGCCTTGAAAAATCATATGGATGCCTTGGAAAACAAATTTTTCTGCGCAGTTTCGGATCGCAATCACTCCCTTCATGCGAAAAATATCAATGCCCTTCTCTTTGAGTAGACTGCCCATCCACCGATTCAAAAGGTCGAGTTCGCATTCGCCGAGGATGTCGAGGCCGAAGATTAGAAGTAGAAGGTCTACATGATTGTCGCTCTCTATCGATTAGATGCATCAAGAAATGACCTACCTATTACTCCATAAAACAGAAGAAATGCTTTCATCGTGGACGTGCTCTGTTCCTTCCTCGACTAGGAAGTCCGGTTCCATCTCGAGGATCCTGTCCAAAGCGAACGCTTTTTGGTTCAGCACCTCCTTCGCAACATCGATGTTCTCAAATCGCACCGTCTCCGTGATAGAGGCCAGACTATTTACCTCTCGAACTCGGCTTTGAATGCTAGAGAGGACTCCTTGTTCCGATTAGAAAATCACCAGCACTTCTTGGTTTCGGAGAATGTGTGTGTGTTTGCTTCAAATCTTCAGAAAGCAACGTCGTGCAAGAACTGCGACGATACTAGAGAAAGCAATTGTTAGGAATAGATATATTAGACCTTACTTTTATTCATCTTGAAGAGCATCTTTAACGCACTTCCTCCTTAGGAAAGCGGTCAAAGATGCCTCTTAAGATGAATTTCTCCGAGCCTTAAATATAGAAGTCAACTTTATAACTAGTTACATCTCCACTCAAAGAGAACAAGGCGTAACTTTCCCCCTCATCGAATGCCGTGACTAAATCACATTTGTTTAGCAATATCTTGTCCGCAAAAGCCACCTGTTCATGACACTCGTTTTCCACTCCTTCGGGTTTCTCCTCATCCAAGTGCAGGAGAAAGTGCCTCGCATCCACTACGGTGACAATACTGTCTAGCCGAAAAGAGCGCTGTATCAATGGATCGACGAAAAAAGTCTGTGCAACAGGTGCAGGATCAGCGAGGCCAGTAGTTTCGATGATGACAGCCTGAAAATGGAATGAAGGACGTGGTGTGTGCGAGTTTTGGGTATGATTGCAGTTAGGGAGTGCATTTTTTGGGTTATTCGAAAACTGAAATAAGCAAGTAAATGATCAGAATAACCGAGATACTGACGAGAAGGAAGACTAGCCTTGATGTTAAGCTACCTCCCTTATTTCAGGAGTCAGTAACTCGGATATTTTCAGTTTTCGAATATCATGATTCTACATCACTAAAACATATATCCAGTTTTCCAATATCATGATTCTACATCACTAAAACATAAGTAGATGTACGTGTGATTGCCGTTAGGGAGTGTAGTTTTTAGGCTATCATGATTCTACATCACTAAAACATAAGTAGATGGACGTGTGATTGCCGTTAGGGAGTGTAGTTTTTAGGCTATCATGATTCTACATCACTAAAAGTGTTGTACGTCCAATTCCGCCCCTCCCCTCTGCAACAAGTTTCTCAATCCCTGAATCAAGTCGCCACGTACGGTACAACAAATGCAGCCGTTGTTCATCTCTATGATCATCTCGTCTCCTAACTCTTGCCTCCTGTAGATGAGCGAGTCATCGATCCCAATTTCCCCAAATTCGTTTTCGATCACAGCAATCTTAAGATCAGAATTTTGTTCACGCAGAATTTTGTTCAGGAGTGTTGTTTTTCCCGCGCCAAGAAAACCGGTCAATATCGTCACAGGTATCTTCTTGTCTGCAGAGGCTGCGGCTGGTTTCGAACCTTTTCTAGTCGTGCTGCCCGTGTTCTTCTCTGCTTTATTTAGAGGTAGGTTTTTGGTGCTCGCTTACCCCGCTTGTTATGCCTTTCTCATCCTAAGGGAGAGAGGCATAAAAAGCGGTAAGAAAAGCACCTTTAACCTACCCTTAAAATATTGGTACCAGTTGTAGGGCAGTCCTTCGGAGCAGTAGACGTGCTACTTGAACTCGATTCTGTTTTCTTCTCGTCGCAACGCCGCAGTCTAGAGAGTACGAATTTCTGTAGTTTCTTCATTTCTTCTGCCACGTGTTGCTCCTGCTCGTCATCCTGCTCAGCTGTTGTCGGAGCACTGCTCTCGTGCTCTGTTGATCGCTTTATCTGCTGATCTAAGAACAGAATCAACAGGATAGCTTGATACTCGACTCGTGCGCGACTTTCGGCTGAGAGTTCCTCTAGTAAAGAAGCTCTTGTCAGGTACAAGCGGGAGACCTCTTTCCGAATAATGTTCATGATCGTGCGACCAACTTTTTTGGGTAGCTTAGAAGAAGGACAAGAAAGAGCACGGAGAAAGTCATGATAGATGGGGAAAAGTAGGAACAGTAGGCAAATGTTGTTCATCTTTTCGTTCTTGGATTCTGTTCGAGAACATTCTTGTGTAGAACTAAAACTAATCCTACAAATACTTACTTATACTTAATCGCTTAAATTTTACTTCACCCATAATGCTATGCGCTCCTCCCGCCCCCGTATCTCCCGCCAGGTCTTGGAATAGCGGCAACAAGACATGATTGCAAAAAGCCTGCGGATCCGTCAGCAGAAGTCCTTTTGTGTACTGGTCCTCCCTTGACGCAAAGCTCGCACCTATCACTTCTCGAATCGCTTTTTCGCTCCGAGCCACCTTGTCTCCTAATTGTTGTAGCAAAGAAGATACTGAGAGAAATCCTCCTTGACCATGTTGAGAACTACTGTTTTTATCATCTGTCTCCCCTTGTTCTGGCAACAGGTAAGCCTCTTCCCATAGTTCGAAGGCACGCTGAATCCTCTGCATACCTTGGAAGTAGTCCTTTGCATCGCGTAATCGCTCTGCCTCCTCAATGCACTCCTTCCAAGAGGACTGGGAAGATGGAGACTCGTCTGGAAAAGACATGATGGTGATGGTTCTTTCAAGATGAATAGTACTACTGGGTGGAAGTGTTGTTAGTAATTTGGAATGTTTTAATCTCAAGCTGCAGCTCAACTGTGCGCTTGTAATCTCGTTAGCTTTCACGTCGCCTCGCAGTCGTCTTTAAAAAACTAAACAAAAAGAAAAAGGAGTTTTCACGTTCTTTCAACAAGTGAAAATTTAAGTGGCTTGTTTCTATGATGCTCTCTTTTCACGAGGACACAATTTCAGTTTGCAGTTTATCATAGTGGAACAGGTACTTAGAACAAAGATGTTGTTGATGTTCTCTCATTCATCATCATCTCTGATAATAAATTCTCTCTGTTATTGTTTCTCCTTCGTATTGTTAAGGTGAAAGCAGGTCAATTCAAAGGACAAGTGACGACCGCTCCAATTCAAAGGACAAGTGACAATCTAAACATCTAAGCTTCCACTTTCCATATCCTGTATGCCATATGAGTATTTGCTGCTAGGAAAAGGAGTGACGCTACCCACAGGATAGGGCGCACCCAGTACATTTTCTGGAATTCCAATAGGTAAGCCCAGGCCAACCAGTGAAATTCGGCTACAGCCCAGTAAAATAGAGATACGATAACATTTCTCCCTTTTTTTGGATTAGAACGAAGAGATATCCACCTTCAAGCCCATCCTAGAACCTTTTCCCCCTTAGAGGCGCACGGTCTCAGGATGCCTGTGAAGATGGATTTCGTGTGGCCTTAACTGGAATACTTTTTACTCGTAGGAACGCCTCGTGAAAATCCTCATGATCTTCATGTGTTCCTAGAAGGTGGAGTAATCTTCGCATTCCCCTTCCTACATATCTGTCTTCCCATTCCCATTCTTAGGGGTTGAAAGTTGCCGTCTCATCTAGCTCGCATATTATCTACTTAATATGGCTTTTCTACTTGCAGGAGAAGCCATAGACGAGATGCTCTTAGATGATGATAGGTCAACTTCCAACCCTTAACATTCCATCAGAGGTATCTTCATTAGCTCACAAGAGAGCCAACATGACAGAAACTGAAATATCCACAAAAAGTACTGCGCTGTGATCACCCGGTTTAAAGCAACAAAAGCGATCATCTGTAGGCTTGCCGCTTTAAGTAGTGAGAGGACCTTGTGTCTGTGCTCCTGCTTGCTTTCAGTTTCATGTTCTTGAACTTGAAGCACGCTAGTAGATAATAGCTGCATTTCTTCTCTTCTATTCGGAGTACGACTTCGTCCGCCTCTCTTCGTGGGAGAAGGGCTACTTTCTCGGCTTTTGCGTTGGGCACTACTCATAATACGTTTCCGTTTCGCAATACTCATTTTCATCGTACTCCGATTCCCACTCGGAGTTGTACTCGTCCGTTTTTCGTTTCCCCCCGCACGACCTTCTTCATCTTTTACGTCTTTCTTTACGATAGCGGTGGTGCTAAATCTAGAAACTGAAGATGTTGTGTTCATCATCCGGAGACGAGGTGTCGTTGCGATCTTCTTCGAGAAGAACAATGGTGTCAACCCAGTCCCCACAACCGCCAAAAGCTGCACTACTGATGCAGCTTTTTTGATCAGCTGTTGCGTCTCTGGTTCCTCTCTAAAAAGCCAAAACGGGTAGAAGTAAATCGAGAAGTTATGCTGTGAGTCGACGCGTCGTGTATGGTACAGGAAGACGAAATCGATGTACTCCCAGCCAAACGCGTTGTAGCTGAGCAAGGAGGCGCCTAAGAAAACAAGTCCAGCGAAGAAGAAATGGCGAATCAGTAGAGGAAGAATTCTTAAGCTGAATTTCCAGCAGCTTGTCCAATTCTTTCGATCAATATTCAAAGCAACAACAGTCAAAGGAAGCACGAGCATGATCGGGTATATGCGCAGATGTGCTGCCAGTCCGAGTGCAGCGGCCGAGAAAAAGTCGTTGGCTATGCCCTGAAGCGCACGAGACCCCTTATCCTCACGCAGAGAGCCCTTGTCACCACCACCAGGAATACGCAAAAACGAAGATCCCGATGCTAGCAGATCCAACCAGAGAAAAAGCAGCAAACTGACAAGTGAGTCGCAGCTTCCTCGTGTGCTTAGTGCAAAGACGAATGGATTCCAAAGGAAACTTATGGTGGCAGCACACTGAAGATTGCTGACCGTCACCTGGTCAACTTCAGTAGATTCGTAGAGTCTCCCAACCAAACTCCACAATACGATAGCAGCCAGCAAGTCACAAACGGAAAAGAAGATTTTGCCCCATGCGGAGAGGAGTGTGGAATTAGAGGAAGATGAGTCAATGTTTGCTGGCAATGTTTGCTGCCCTTTTCGTAAGATGAACTCTCAATCTCAAGAAATTCAGAAAGGAGCCAGAAATCATAATAACATTCGGCACCATCAACAACGCTATGAGTGGTGAATAGCGGTACTTTGTCAACTCATCTTGCAAAACGGACCGCTTATCTGGGCCAAACACTTCACGTAGATCCGCTTGACTCGGTTCGTAGATGCTTTTGCCGTGATAGAGCAATGCTGTAGCGTTAGAGCTCATCAAAGTAAAAATTCATTTCTTTACCTCGTTATTTCTCAACGTCCCAAGAGGAAGCAAAACGACACCTGGAAATGAAACATTTTGAGCCTTAACAGCGTCGGTGTACACCTCATAGTCCACGTCGGTATATTTGACGCCAGGACTCTCCGTATCTTGCCGCAGCAGTGTCGCAAAATCGATCTCACTGAAGAGGATCAGAGCGAGACGCAAGGCGCCAGCAAAAAGGAGTATGTTGTGGAGAGGACTAGAACAAGGAAGAGGTGAGGAGGAGGACGGAGAGGCGGACTTCCTCGAAGTAGAGGCCGACATCTTCGACTGCCTTCTGCGATTCATCTGGAATGGAGATCGCTCAGCTTGCGAGAAAAGACAGGAAAGAGTAGAAGAACGAGTGTGATCTTGTACATGGCTTGCGAACAGTCGTGAAAGTGTTGTGATAAAGAACCATGAAGTGGCACCATAAAAAGAACATCTTCGAACACCAACACAACTAAAAAGTACTTACAAACATGGATCTTTCTGTCATCCCTAGTTAGCGGTTCTCGTAAGTAGAAGTCGACTACAGTACTGGAGGGCGAAGTGTGCCAGTCGCCGTGCTTTCGTTAACATGCAGCATTCACTTTCAACACTTCAACACTGTTGACCGTTACTTATAACACCCACAAGTCGCATCCGCTCCTCTAAAACGAGGATAACCATTATAATTGTGATCGTTGTTCGGTGAATAGGATACAACACGTCAAAGGAAAACATCAAGGAAGAGGAAGATTCTTCAAAGCTGTACGCAATACTTAAGCATCAAGGAAGATTCTTTTCCCCGCACTATGACACCCCAATCGGCAGGAACTTGCCACTGTGGTCGGATCTAGCATCGTCTGAGATGTCCGAGCCAATAAGCGTCAAGGCTCGACGATTCTCACTTCGTAGCTTGCCGTCTAGGATTAGCGCAATGCATTGTCAAGTTCAAAGTCGCGTTTTTCTTATTCCAGTACTTATACTTGATATCGACTAGTGAATCATGTGAGTGTGTAAAGAGCTTGATCCGCGGTCGTGAAAAGCAGTTACACTGATGTTTACTAAGCACAACCACAAAGCTGCATTTCATCTTGCTCCCCACCATAACATGATCAGATGCACATCGAACAACGCTGAGTCGCGAGAGAGTCGAAGCATCTGTCTCGGTATCCCAAACTCGACTCCCTTTGGTTGCACTCGGACATCGTCTTGGTAGAAACTCTGTCCCGACCACTGATCTGTAAATGCCACTTGGAAGCTAGCGCCAGACGGCAATCGCGAAGTCTCTAGAGTAACTACAATGCTTTTCGTTTGCTTGCTCAACTCTATGGTACTGGGGTCCATTCTTTTCAGCTTCAACTTCGGCCTCACTGGGTATTCGACTGGCGTCGTTATCGCAGTCGTCAATGTCGTCAAAATCAGCAGTGGTCGAGTGTCGCCGTTTCCGAAGATCTCCTCTATCATGGCAACGTCACAACCTTTTCTCTCGTAGGAAATTGACGAGTTGTTACCTCCACCAGCGCCATCGTATGTACTGGAAGCGGTAGTAGAAGAAGCCTCGACAGGTCTCATCCACTGTAGTTGGGACAGGCCAGCTCCTACCGTATGCTGACACTTCCGATCCAGCAATTGGTAAAAATGCGTTTCAGATGCTGAAGTAGATAAAGGAAGTGCAAACGAAGCTTGTTCTTCTCCATCGATGCTGCTGACTATGCGCACTGTGAGAAGGATATTGCTCCCATCAAATGGGTTCGTAGAAGCGCCGGTTGCCGCGGTAGTTGCTCCTCCTGCACCACCTCCGTCGAAAGGATTTGTTGATAATCTGGGATCAAAAGGGTTGCGAGGAGCACTGGTTCTAGCAGCTGGTGTCATCGACGTCGACGTCTGTTGCGCTGCAGTTGGAGTTGTGCTTAGAGGCAGGTTTTTGGTGCTCGCTTGCCCCGCTTGTTATGCCTTTCTCCCTTAGGAGAGGCATAAAAAGCGGTAAGAAAAGCACCTTTAACCTACCCTTAATGTACTAGTACCTACTAGAAGATGTTGATTTTGATTTTGTTGCTGCTGTTGTTGTACTCCACCTACTAGAGGAAGAGAATTTCCATTAGCTGCAGCTGCAAGATTCGGTTGCTGTTGTTGTACTAGGCCTCCTCCACCACCTGGTTGCAGACCTGGTTGCCCTCCATTAGCCAATTGTGGTGGCTGTTGCGGCGGTGGCTGCGCACCGTTCGCTATCGGTGGTATTTGTACAACGGGTTGCAACTGTGGTTGCTGTTGCTGATGTTGCTGCAAGATCGCTCCTGATGAGATTGACGCGGAGAGTCCTTTCCGCTGTTGCGCAGTTGGTGCAACCATACTGCCTTGTTTCGTCTGCTGTTGTGTAGAAGTAGCTCCACTTGCACTAACGCCGCCCTTCATGTTGCTCGGCGGAACAGAGGTGTTAGACCTATGCAGAAAGTGAATGTGGACGGACAAGCAGTTCTCGGACTTAGCAGGAGCTAATGTTCCTGAAATAAAGGCCTACTTTATGAGGACAGTTCAAGTCCTTTATTGCTCTAGTTTGTAACCTGCAACCATAACCGGCACTCTCGCAGCTGCTGGCAACGGCGAGGTTGTGAGGCCCTTTGTCGAGCTCGCGGATGGCGTGGGAGCTGGTTGACCTGGTCCTCCGGCAACTGGCCCTGGTGGAATATTGCTAAGATATGGCGGTGGCGCTCGTTTTCATGATTAGAATCAACAAACATTGAAGATTCTGCTCGCTTCAACGCGATCAAATGAAAGAAGCCAGTAAAGGAACGGCGATTGATTCTATCATGTTGAGGCACCGCAAAGAAAGAAAAAGGTGCCGTGTTCTGTTCTCCGAAAACTCGAAGAAAGCCATATGATGAGGAGGAAGAAGAAGTCTGCGGCTGTGGAGGCAGTTGAGCTGGAATTTGCTTTGCTCCACCCGCTCGCGCCCCAGCAACAGACGGAATTATAACAATAATAAGCTCGATGGTGGACCATAAAAAGACTGGCGATATTGTGTTCGACTATACAACTAGACGTTCTTTGCATCAGCTGCATAGTCCTGAGAAGTCGTAAAAAGAGAAGAACTAACAGACTCTGGCTTTCGAAATATTGAAATTCCGGGAGCGGGAATTTCTCCGCTCAATAACACAACAACCAACGAGAGTCATAAAAGCCCCGGCTCCTCCCGCAGTGTTCTTCCCTGAGCCACCACCTGCACGAATTAGAAAAGCAGCTTGGCGCCATTACAATATCTTTGGATGTGAGGACAGCGTCTATTTCATGCCGACACCTAGATGAAGATACTTACCATACGCATATCATTATCATACGCATCATAATGAAATAACTGTACAACTTGTATCACATTCACAACAACCACATTATCATACGCTTACGCATCATAATGAAACTACAACTTGTATCACATTCACAACAACCACATCCAAAAGCCATAACTCCGATTTACTTGCAGAAGTGCTCTTCCGCAAGCGGTCATGTAGCTGTTCTGCTACGTTGTGAGCCCTGGACAGTTTCCTTTCTGTCTGCGTCTTCTCCTGCTCAGCTCTCTTTCGTTCCTCGCGCTCAACCTCCAAAGCTTGCTGCAACTTTTTCAGTTCTTGGATCAGATGCTGATTCAAAGTGCTACTGGATGGATTAGAGGAAGAGTCCCGCTCAAGTTGTGCCTTGCAATGGATGGAACAAGCATGAAAACAAATATTTCCTCTACGATTTATTCGTCTGGCTCCTATACCCTCCAGTGCCTTAAGTGTAGCTGCTGCGGATGGTGGTGTCGTTATAATTGGCACACTCGATGCCGAAGATGTACCGCCAGACGGCTGCACTGGCAGTGGTGCTGCACTAGATGTTGACCCTCCAGGAGCTCCACCTACCCCTATTGCTTGCCCCAAACTTGGCTGTCCAACTGCACTAGAAGAAGCACCAGATGCACTCGTGGATGATGACGACATAACTGTCGGACCTGCTACCGCAAGAGAAGCAACAGTGCTGTTATTAATCGAAGACGATGAGGGAGGGCCTTGTTCTCCTGTGCTTCGCAAGTGCTTTAGGCCTTTCCGCTGTCTGCCAGTCGGAAGTCCTGGTGGCGGAGTCAGTACAGGAATCGCATGCCCAGGTGGACTTGGGCTCTCCGCTGATGCTGCACTTAACCTAGGTGTTGTACGTAGCTAGTCGCGTATTAATCATGGTGAAAATTATCTTCCGACGAGAAATTCTAGTCGTATTTACAGTGTAAGAACCTAGTGTAAATAATGATAATCAGTGCCATCTACTACATCACGTTGACACTCTTCTTTCCTTCAATCTTCTAGCTTTATCAGACTAACCCCAAGATAATACCGCTTATTTATCGTAGCGACTTGTCTCATAGTGAGACTGTTCGTTCCGGAGGGTGGCGTACTGGTCTCCTCGCTCTCTGAGTCAACGTCCTGCAAGACTTAGAGGCAGGGAGTTTTGTCTGAGACTGAGAGTGTTGTTGTCTGGATATTTATTGTAACAGCCGAAGTTCCAGGGTAATCGTAAAAATGATGAAGAGGAGGATTCGTCTTACTACAATAACAATCGCGCAAGACAAACACGACACTATTCAGAAATTGAAATTTCAAGCCCGTCTGTCAAATGGACCACGACCATAAAGCAATACTACTTCTACGACCATAAAGCAAAGCCCTCTCTCGCCACCGTAGTTCCTCATATTCCACAGTTGCTTCACCGTCGCTGGAGTTGAGTTCTGAGGTGTCTGGCTCTGGACCTGGATCCACTTTATCTTCTAAGAAAATGTCCTCGTAGTCGACATCCTCGCGACCTCTGAGGGGTTCTCGTAGTTGCAGGTCCAACTCTTGGTTTCGCATGCCTTGCGCGAGCGCTGAGACTGCGCGACTGTTGTTGATAACGACTTAGAAGTGGAGGAGTCAGAGGACAGGATGATGATCATCATGATGATGCCTCTGTAAGAAAAACAAAGAAGTGGAGGTTTTGGTGTTGGTGGATAAGTAGAGTGTGTGGTCGTTTGTGGTCGTTTGTTGTACCGAAACCGAATATAGACACTCAAGATAAAGATTGTTGCTGAAGGCAACACTTCTATAATGGCGTCAGAAGTATCAGATACTATCAAATCACAAAAAAATCATAATAGCTCGATTCTTCGGACACATTTTCTGCTCCGCTGTCACCAAGCTTCGCCAGTACTGCTTGTAAGTGTAACCGCAAATGCGGGCTTGTCCCTGGACGCCCAAGCGCATCCCGCAGATACTCCCTAGCTTGTGCTCTGTGGCGGTTGCGCACTGACGCTCGAGTCCGTGAGGATGTGGTCACTACCGCCAACTGGGCCTCTCGGATTCCTAGGGATACCAACTCGTCTGTGGTAAGCCCTACCCGATCTGCGCTCGATGTTTGCAGGTTATGAGATCGCAGTCGCGAAGAGAGGTAGGACGCGCAGTTGCCCATTTTCTTGTTTCGATGCCGCGGATGCCGACACTGACAAGGGCTTGCTGTCTTCTATCTCGACATTGCCACGACCTCGAAGGAAGACCTGGTGCCGATCAGCCTCACTGGCGCACGACGAACATTACAAATTCCACCTAAACAACGCCAGCGAAATTCCCATGAAGGCGACCATTTTCTTTCAAATTTTAACTACTTCATCAATCAATGACTTTTCCCGCTAATCACGATGAGCTTACTAATGCATTCGCTAGCTCTTCTGGCAGCCTTCTACAGTATTCACTTTTCTCATTCTGACTCTCAACAGTTCTCTGCTTCTCGTCCTGGCTCTTCTTTTTATGATTGTACTCTCACCTACACTAGAGCCGGTTTTTCTCAAAAGTCACGTTTTTTCTTTACCGACTTCTCGTCTGCACACTGTTTCCCCTGAATGTCCACTCGTCAAAACTTTCCTCACTACACTCTCGCCAAAAACTGCTGCTCGCGCTCGTATCATCCTTCCAAAGCCAAGCTCTTCCTGCTCCGAAAAGACAATATAATGCGACGCGTGCTCCCGTGGTCACCGCCGCAGTTTTTTTGTTGCGAGGAGATGGAGGCTATTATCCCTTTTTTCTTATAGTCATTGGATCAGTTTTAATTTATTTCTGTACATGTTTCTCTCTAAAAGTGACGAAAAGACGCCATTAGGACGGCTTTTGGAGTCGGAAGTCCACAAAAAAATAGAATGGACGCGACTCAATATTACCACTCAAACATGATACTCTAGTCCGACACTCTTCTACCCAGTAATCACTTGTACTTTACTCAGATGCTGTCGCACGTTAATCAGTTGTACTTTGATCAGTTGTACCTTACTTCTCAGCTCCGGTCCCGGTTGTAAATTCTCCCTACAATTAGTAGATGTACCTTACTTTATCGTATCTTCTGACTATATATAATTCGTTCCTTGTGAAGCTGAAGGTGCTCGCATCTCATCATCATATAGAGAGCTCTGAGTCTGATCATGAATCTTAAACAATTTTCCGATTCATCTTAGCTTCAACAACATGCTAATAGCGAGCTTATCAATTAAATTTATTCGACTGGGCTAGTAATACAAAGTAGATATTGATGAAGTTGCGCACTTCAGTAGGTCGATCTCTGTCGACCAAGTTCTTGTAACTCAACATAAGACTCCGAAAGTTCCAAAAACCACATGACTAGCACTTTAAGAGTGACGAGTAAGTAGAATAACAAGCGCTTAAGTATCAAACTCATCAAACTATAGCTACATCTTCAAGCCACGATGTTGTAGGTCATACCTCTTTAATCACTGTCAGAGAGTGACAAATAGGTCGTGGACTGTGAAGCCTCCGTCGGTGCTCTCCTGCTTGAGGTCATTTTCATCAAGGCAGCACGATTTTTGCTTCTTCTTCTTCTTTTCCGCACGTCGTCATTCAATCTCTTCTCCAAACACATCATCATCCTGCTTCTGCTTCAGCGCTTCTTTTTTCCTCTTTTGTAAGGTCCTTTTGTAATGTGGGTGCTTCTAATGCGGTCAGGATAGTAGATTCATCTCAGTCACGTATCTAAGAAACGCAGTCCAGCTGCACCTCCTCTAAAGCAAGAGGTCTTCTTCATACAACCTCCACCTCCTTCTTCTTCAAAATCACATAGCATCGCATTTCTGCTGATTTTCGAACGAACCCCAACCACGTCTCCCCCAACATCGGCTGCGCCAGAATGCGGAGTGGACCACTCACTTGGCTTCCCATGCGAAGCCCATGTACGGAACATCAACGCCTCTCCAAACTTCATGCGCGGGTAATAGTGCCAATCCTGGTGTTCGCCGTGGGCAACGATATAAATAACCCTGCCCGTTCGGGAAGTTTTCTCATCTCCACCGGAAGGATCATCTTCCTTGAAATACATTTCCTGGATATAAAGGTCATCCATATCTGGACCTCCTTCACCTGGTTTTGGCTTCTCGGCCACGCTTTTAGAGCTCCTCACATCATCGACAACCAGAGGCTTTCCGATCACATCGACCAAAGGCGCCTAGACATTCAGGAAGCAAATGCGGCAATCAGAAGCAGACCCCGAGAATGCGGCAGTGGACGAATCGGACGCTTTCTCAAAGTTGGAGCTCGGATTGTCCTTAAGTCAGTAGACTTGTCCTCGTTGTCAGTAGAGCAGAAAGGGGCTCATCCTAAGTCATCCCTTAGCACTTCCTCCGACGCTAACGACAGTTCATGATATAGCAGATACGAAGTCTCGGAATCGCGTTTCTGTATTGAAGAACCAGCTGGATGGCGATCTGATGCCACCAGCCACACCAAAAGCGGATCCCTTATCCTGTTCCTGCGCTATATTTGCAGGTGAGGAGGTCCATGTATGCTGTACGACCTCTTCCCCTTCTAGAAGTCGCCTCATCCTAGTCAGCCCCACCTCCTTCGAGAAGTCGCAACGCGCTTGCGGTGCTGGAGCGCCACCAGGGAAGCCATCCAGTGGCTTACTGTTTCTGAAGGTAAAGTCGAATACTCCTGCATGGATTGATTCCCACTTTGATTCACGCCTCTGGCGCTGACCTACTTGTTGGCCGTGTTTCAAAGAGTTTCCCACACTCTCTACAACTGCACTCAGCGCTGCCGGCAAGAGTCTTCTGCGGGCAAAGTCCTCTGCTTCCTCATAAGTCTTCAGTTGTTGGCTGTCATTCATATCAGCTACGGGAGCAACTATATCGTCAGTGTCGTCCTTCAGAAGATCATTCCCATCCTTGGAAGACATGTTGACCAGCCTGAGCCCAGCTGTGAATAATTGCTCTTTTTCTCCAAGAGGTCGTAGGCTCTTACAAGCAGCTGCGGACGAGTTGTCCTTCTCGCCGAATCCTCTTACAGTTACACCTCCTCCACAGCGGGGTCCGTTCCTCCTTGCATTTTTCGCCAAAGCTCTGGTCTCTCCCATCCTTACATTCTGGATAGTGTCGCAATGTTGTGCCATGCGGGACGTGAGTTCGTGCTTGTTCTCCCAGACCAATTTGCAGTCCTTCGTTCGTGCGATCGTGGCAGTACACATAGAGCGCCCCTTCCCTTCTGCTTCTCGTAGGGCTTGACGAAGAGGATCGAAAACACCGATGCATGACAGAAGGGCGAAGACCCAGATTGGAAAATGATGCTGGACGCTGTCATAAAGAGGTATAGCAATGGTAGATAAAATTAACAACAGCGTAAGTGGACAGGTCAATACGTAGAAAGGCAACGAACTCGATGGTGATCAAAAAGAAGCACACTAGACACAGGACAAGGACTCCTCGGTCACACGCTTTCCAGATCTGGAATCTTCGCCACGAGTGATGTTGTTTGCCAGTATTGACGATCTTAAAAATCTAAATTTCGACGATCTTGGTAATGCTTTTCGACGATGATCCCCATGCATTATCATGATGCCTGCCTCTGTCTTGATGACTTGATGTGACCGTGGGGAATAGCAGGGACAGGAATGTGAATCTCCAAAACAACATAACCGCTCTCATGAAACATTCAATACAGAGGACAACGTAAGATATCGAGACCCGAGAGCTAAGAAGCAACTTTACCGATTTTTTTTCATCCCGAATCAGTAACCTCTGGCAGAATAATCAGTACATCGAATTTCCCGTTTCTTAAGAAGATACGCCATAGACGCAGGGCCGACTTGCAGGCCTTGGAATTCACGTTTGCCTACACCATAGACGCAGGATCGACTTGCAGGCCTTGGAGTTCACCTTTGCGTACACAATAGATACACGCAGGACAGACTTGCAGGCCTTGGAATTCACCTTTGCGTACACAATAGATACACGCAGGACAGACTTGCAGGCCTTGGAATTCACGTTTGCATTAGCCGATGACAGACACGGTCCTCTCATGGGACAGAATTATCCAACATCTCACATCTACAGCGGAACATAACACATTCATATAAGCAACCCAATGTCACCTGTTATTCGGGGACATGGACGAATCTAACTTACACGTATGGACAATGCAACGTACTCAAGAAGGCCAGAATTCTCGATGCAGTCGCAGATGTAGCACCACAACAACATTTGTAACAACCACTGTGAAGACTTCCTCCTACTTTGCCACTTTTTGTACTTATCATGATCGGCAAACAAATACCTGCACCAAATTCACTGAAAGAGACTATGACAGCTCAATAAATTTCCTTACAACAATTGTGCAGACACATCGACCCTGCTACTTCTCACTTACCACCTCCTCTCACTCATCTAGTTAAGGTATCTCCACATACTAGTGGGTGATCGATCCTTCTCAGAGAGTTCAACCGAAGCACTAGTGAACGAGATACTCGATCATCAATAGCTGCCCAAAAGAATGTCACCATGAGTCTACACGAGGTCGTGGTTCGACTGGCACTCCATCATGTGCGGTGCAATGCGACTGGCACTCGACCATGTGATGCACCAAACGGCGGCGAACTGGTACTCCATCACGTGAAGCACCACACGACGGTGCAAGCGACTGGTACTCGAAACACCTGGGGCACCAGACGGAGGCGGCGTAGTGGGTCACGTGATACACCACAGAGCGGCGTAGTGCACCTGGTGCTCGAAACACGTCGGCCTCGAGACGAAGGCGGCGTAGTGGGTCACGTGAAGCACGACACGACTGTGCAAAGCGACTGGTACTCGAAACACCTGGGGCACTAGACGGAGGCGTAGTGGGACACGTGAAGCACCACATACTGGCGGTGTGCAACTGGCACTCGGTCACGTGAGGCACTAGACGGAGACGTAGTTTAGCTAGTACGCGAATACGTTGATGCTGTAAAAAAGGATTTTTAGATTTTCAAACTTTGGTCCTTCAGAATGGCAATACATCACGACCTTCTTGTACGTGAAGGTGCATATCCTCCACAACACATCAGAACAACAGGAATAATATGAACCTCCCCAACTACAGTATGATATTCCAATGAACGAAAAAACACTAATTTAGAAAAAGTAGATACCTTCATGCCAGCCTTTGCACTTGCAAAGGGCCCTCCTGTCAACATCCGGCTTCTCCAAGCCGCGAAACGCCTTTTCTAAGGTGTCGCGCTACTTGTGTTTCGTGCTGCTTGTCCACTGTTTCTCGGAGGGATGAGGCCCTTATCTTGCTATCCTGCTAGAGGTACCAGTCCAGACAGTACCAGTTCATCTCAATGTCCCAAGCGCATCCGAGGTCCGTGCCCGTATCCGTAGGATTCGTCTTGATTTCCACGAAGTGGGAAGCTGCTCCTTGCCATGCTCCATATGACTGAGACTGTTTTTGGTGGACGTAGGATTTGACATTGCCGAAAATGGATGCTACGCGTATGCCTCCTTGTACTCGAAAGACCACTGCGAATCGGAGACTTTGAAAGCATTGAGTGAACAGCGCCACATTGTGGCTTCACCTGAGGTTTGTTTTTAGGTAAAGGAGGAATGTTTTTGTTTCTTTGTGTGAGATGAAATGTACTATGTCTTCCAGATCACAGCTTCATTGTCATCTTACATGTTTGTTATGTTGACATCTGAAAGCAGCTTGCTGTAGGCTCACCTTTATCCTCTGCATGGCTCCTGGTCCTTCCGCTACGACACGACGCTTGCCATAACAGCGACAAAGGACCGGAGCCCATGGACCACGACCGGGAGAGCCGCAGCCGCATCTTTTTTCTGATGAAACAAATTCTAAATCTAATTTTCTTTCAGAAGATGAAGAAAGTACTTCCTTGGAAATCAGATTCTAAAAACGTCTACACAGGACAAAAAGTGGGTCAGGTTTACACTGTTGTGTGTAGAAATCATCCTTATGCTTTGTAGAAGACAACATTAACCGGCGCTTTTTGATCTCTGGTGGCTTCAGGATCAATGTTGATCATCTTCCCTTTGCTGGGCAGGAACACGTCCTCCTCTTCCCTAAGCTCTTCGCAGCATGCGCATTCGGTGATACGAACATCTTCGTAAGTGGATGCCACGCTTTTCGACTTACGGAATCTTTCTTCGTTTAGAAGATTTAGATTTGTTAGCATGCAGGGGGAGAATATCATAAAGGTTGGATGTTTTTTTCCATGTGTCTTGCTTTCACTATGTTGTTCCCACTGAAATTTACTGGCAGAGTTCGCTGCGTAGTATTTTGCAATCGTAGGACAAAGGTTGAGCAAGCAGCTCAGAATACTCACAAAAACAAAAATAGTGAATTCATGTATCAAGTCATCGGGCGGGGACTGCAGAGGGGGATGCTGGTTGGTTGGTTGGTTAGGGTAGCGGTAAGGATTCACTGCCATTGGGTGAGGACTGCCAGGGATAGACGTATCCGAGTTTCTGTACTGCGTCAAAATTTGTTCAAAACTCCGCATCGAAATGGCGATGATCTTCTTGGAAAAAAAACGTCGAAATCAAGTGCGTGTCCTCCCCAACAAGCAGAGAAACTATAGTAGTGGTCTCCTTCAGTTACTGCGTTGGCAGACGATGCCGCCACACCCTGTGGTCCTTATGATCTAGTTACACCATCCAGTAATCAAGCTTCTGCTACACTTTGGTGTTGTCCTGCCGCAGCCGGCAATGGAAATCGTGTCAACGTGCCAAGTTTGTACGCACCATGAAGGACTAGAGCGGCAAGTGCGTCTACTGCGTCTACTGCGCCGCCTGCTGGAGGAGAATCGCAACTAGTGAAAGCCTCGCGGTCAGACCAAAACACGTCACCCTGAGTCAGTGGAACGGAATCCCAAGAAGCGAAATGTAAGCTGTTGCTCAAACCAAACCGATAAATCCCGAGGTGTTGTGCGGATGCCTTCTGCGCCAGCCTCTTGAAGTCCTCGTGGATCAACTCCGGATACGTTTCGGAAACCGCCTCGTATTTTTCCTGGTCAACAACATATTCCCGGACGGCGGTATTCTGATACTCGGAGATGATGTCGCAAAACCTGCTCCTGAGACTCTCTCTTTGCTCCATGAACAAGTGGACTTGTTGCGCTTCTGAAAGTGAAACGAGTGCTTGTTGTAGGTCCGCGAGTCCTTGTTGTTGCTCCGCGAGTGCCTGTTGTTGGTACGCGAGTGCTTGTTCTTGGCTCAAGACTCCTTGTAATTGGTTCTCGAGTACTTGTTGTTGTTGGCTGATTGCGCGAGCAACAGGATGAGCTCCATTCACGGCTTCTTTGAAGCTGTCAGCGGCGCTAATAACGTCTGTCAGGGCGAGGTCATCCTGTGCATGCATACTGGCCGGACGTGCGCTTGCTGCTTGCCCTGGCAAACCAGCTGAAGTGGTGAGGTCCATGGGGTCTATCAAGTAAAATTTGGAACAAGGAGATATCCGAATCTGGCACCAAGATGGATTACTTAATATAAATATTCTATAATTGTTCTCGAACATATCAAAATCAGAGAAAGTATGAATTTGAAGTGTAGCATCAGAATGTGATAAAATCCAAAAGTAATACCATTTGGAAGAGGTGAAAGAGGTAAAGGAGAAGGGTCGCCTCCAGCAACCGGTGAAACACTGTGAGAGCCCGCCTGCGCCGAATTAGTTCCTGGTGTGGGCAAACCTATCAAGGAAAATTTTGGACAAGGAGGAGTCCGAATATGATACCTGTGCCCATGAAGATGCATGACAGTTTCTTCAATATTTGGTTTTTAGACATATCAGAGAGCAGTATAGTAGTGGATAGAATACGGATCTCATACGGTTACGGTCAATACTGTAGATAAAGGACCAGATGCCCCAATGTGATGCAAAGGTGAAAGACTACGACTTGAGCAAGTAAAAGACCAGCTGGAAGAAATGGATGAGCGTTAAGGCAACTGGACGAGGGGCAGGTAAAGGAGCGGGAGGGGATGTAGGTAAAGAACCGAGATCTGTAGGACTGCCCATACCGTCAACGGCATCGGGAAAATCCCTGCGCACCCGCTGCACCAAACTAACACCGCCTACTGGAACTGGCTCTGCACTACTAACTTCGTCAGCATCACCATCATGGTCAGAATCTGGTGTCTGTTTGACGGCACCGTCAACAGGCTGAAAATCGCCTTCAGTGCCGATTTGGAGATGGCCTAGGTCTACGCGTTCACGTTTTAGACCGACTATGCCGAAAGGAGCAACGACAGCCGCATATTGGAGAAATTTCGAGCAGAGACAACGCCGCATCCTGTTGTGATTGTCTATCTAGAAAGTCTAAAGAGCGTTGCTAAGTCCGTCGTGTTCTGAGAACTATTGGCTAGACACCTCTTAAGGACAAGGATTGGTTACTTTCTAATATTTCTAAGTTTGCAGCAAGGAAGTCAACGCTTTTAAGTTGTCCGCTTTCCACTCTTATGCAGTTTTTCTCTCAAATTTTGGCTGATGCTCTTTCCCAAGATCATGCTCTCTAAAACTTCAATCGCGCACATCAGCAAGCTTTTTTGATGGCCTCTTTTAAAACACTCATGTAAAGAAGCTCACTTTTAAGAGTACTAGAACACATTTCTCCTGCAATTGGGTGTACTGCGGTGCACACTTCCAAATTGAATAACTTTCAGATAGGAGCTGTGGACCAGAAGTCATCATAAAAAAATGAGGATTACCTGAGAAGGTATTTCAGCGTGGATATAGGAGTTATAAGTTTTTACCTCATTTACTTTGTGGCTTCTTCTCATTGTGATGAAGATTCTTACATCGTCACTTCATCTTCGTTGAGGCGGATGTAATCCTTCATCGGATGTACCTATTGAATTCGGAGGACGAAAAAGTTCATCCGTTAATCGTGTTGTCTCCCCAATCTATTATTAAGCTATAATTTTTCATCTTTCTAAGGTGCAAAAACTGTAACGCACGCGCGCGCGTTACGCGCGCGCGTAATAACGCGTTACGCGCGCGCGCGTTACGCGCGAAATAAGGCGCGCGCGTTACATGCGCGCGGCGCGCGCGCGTACCGCGCGCGCGCATGGTCCTGGCGAGCCGCATGCCGGCCCTGTGTGAGCCCAGCCCCGTGCGAGCTCGGCCCCGTGTGAGCCCAGCCTCGTGTGAGCCCAGCCCCGTTTCAGTTCGGCTGGGCCTTGTGCGAGCCCGGACCCAAGCGAGCCCGGTCCCGCCGGCAGCTCCGTGCGAGCCCAGCCGGCCCCGTGTGAGCCCAGCCTCGTGCGAGCTCAGCGGACCCCCTGCGAGCTAAGTGGGTCTT